ATTCCTGGAATGCCTTTAACCCCCGGGTGAGAATCTCAATTTTTATTTATTTCTCTAATTTTACCTGCCTTGATTCTAAAAGTTCCATTTAATTCAGATGTTACCCTTCTAAGAATTCTTCCCAGAACCACCCATAATTCAGGGTTCTCAGGCTTTGAGATATCCCTCTACTCAGGCCTTCATTTGTAAAAGCAAAAACAAACCAAAAATAGATAAAACAAAAAATCACCCACAACTAGACAGAGGCATGCGTATGTAACATCTCTTTCTCATTCTTTCCCTGTCCCTGAACTCCTTCCTCTTCATCACTGAAGTTATGAAAGCTTTTAATAAATGCATTAAGAATAAAATGAAATATACATAATAAAACTGAAAATGTTAAAAAAAATAGTATTTATTACTTTGAGTTTTGAAGAATTTAAAACCACAGGTCACATTATATTCTGAAATGAATTCTAGGAGGCTTAAAGAATTAAATATAAACAGACACACACACACCCACACCCAAAGTAGGAAAGAACAGAATAGAATACATAGTAAATCTCTGAAGATGGAAGAAATTTCAGAGCCTTAGAAAAGTATTCAATATCCTAAAAGAAAGATGAACAGGTCTTACTTTGGTGCCTAAAAAATAGGATTTATTTACTGAAAATACAAAGGGTTGATGTCTATATTGGTAAAGAACCCATACAAAACAATTTAAGAATACTCAATGAGTAGAAGGGCAAAGGACATGAAGAAACAATTCACAAGAGAAGAAATGCAAGTGGTGGCCACCATATGCAATAATGTTCAATATTGCTCTTAATTCAAATTAAAGCAACAAGGTTCTGCTTTCCCCCCATTTATTCTTATGGGTCACAATTCCTATTACTAAACTTCCTTCCAAAATGGTTACAGCAATTCATACTGCTTCCAGGAGTGCCCAAGAGCACCAATTTTATTACTTCTTTCCTACCATTTGGCATTATCTTCTTAGATTTTTTAATTCATGCCCTTTCACCCAGTACTTTTATTTCCCAGAACTTGTATCAGGCTAATAATCCCAAATATGATGAAAAAAGGTTCATCACAGTATTTTAAAATATAGGACAATGGTACACAATCCAGCAATAGGAACGGTCAAATATAGTCTATCCACTTGATGGATCTGAGTGTAACCATTAAAAAAAAATGAAAGGAAGTACAAAATCCTTTCCTACTTTTCCACATTTCATTTACTGTAGTTATATCACTTTTTGTTTAGAAATTATGCTTGCACAGTATTGTAAACAATCCACCAACTAGTATCCTGAATATGATGAAAGAATATTGTAACTGGTGTCCAGGGACCTTGAATTTCTTTCGGTCTGTCAAATGGGCACCATCTCTCCTCCCTGGGTGAAAGGATGCATTCCTTTAGTTGTAGTGAAAATGACGACTAGACAAGCCATGCAGAGGCACAGGCTGGTTGAAGCGTCTCGCTGGCGCTTGGATGGGCGCTGCCTCAGCCTCGTCCTGAAGCAGTCAGTCTGGGGCAGCCGCCTTGAGCATGAGGGCTGTGAGCCCCAGTGAGCACCATGGGCTGCTCTCTCACTGCTGCACTCAGGGAAGAAATTCAGGGTCCCTGGACACCCAGTCAGAATATTCTTTCATCATATTCGGGACACTAGTTGATGGATTATTTACAATAATAGGCAAGCATAATTTCTAAACAAAAAAGAGATTTCAATAAGAGGTTTTAAAAGGATGCATGTTCTACTTTTTCATTGCAGAAATGCCATTCTCCTTTCTTAGGGACACAGACCCCTTTGCTTAACTTGCTAAAGAAAACATAACTTGCAAACATTACAGGTGGGGTCTAAGCTCATGTAGGGGGTGTGGCTGGGGGAGTCTCAGGTTCCAAGGGGAAGATTTTCCTAAGAGTCTTCTATAATATTTTTATACTCTAAAGTACACACGCACATGTACACACAAGCTCGAGTACCAAAAGGACTCTGACCAATGAAATGCCCTAGGAACACTGACACCACTATGGTGGTTCCAAGATGGGCTCACAGTATGGGAGGTGGTAGGGAAGAGCAAGGCTCTGGAGTTGGGCTGATCAGGGTCTGAATCTGGATTCTGCTACTTATGTGATCTTGGTAAGAGACTCTTCTCAGGTGTATAAATACAATGTGTAAGAATTAAATGAGATAATGTATGCAAAGCCGGTAGTACACTAGCTGGCATATTGTGAACAGCCTGGAAATGGTAGCCTTGTCTGTAGCTATTCTAAACAGGGTACCAGGTGTAACTGTGTTTACATTAGGGACCTGGCATTCCAGAGCTTTAAGCTACTCTGAGAAATTTGATTTCCCTCTCCCCAGCCAGTGCTCTCCCATCTGCTACACTCTGGTACACAGATTTACTTGGGAGAAGAGACTGTGGAGAGAGGGTTGCAAAGGGAGAACCACATGGCATTTGGTCCCTTGCTCAGCTCAGGGACTAAATTTCTTCCTCTTCAGGAGAGAGGGGGCATTCACCTCACTTCTGTGCAGAACTCAGGGGCTTCAGAGCAACGATGGATGAGATGTTAGAGCTCAGAAGACTGCATTCTTGGGTTCGTAGAGTTCTCAGAGTGAAGCCATATTAGGGAACAAGATCCCCAGAAGATGGCAGATGTCCAGTGCGTGTGGACTTGCTCTGGAGCCTGTGAGGTACTCTCTGGAGACCCCCAGAAATACTTGGGGGTACTCTGCAGGGGCTACTGCCCTTCATAAAGGTGAGGGCACTCGAGCAATGAAGTTTGGGTTTAACTGCTAAGGGAAACTCCTCACACCCATCGACTGAGGCCTGCAGACATGTTAAGAACACAAGATTTCCATTTACCATAGGAAGACGGTATATTGAGTTATTAAGAACTGGGAATGGAAGAAGAGTGGGTGAGGCCTTACATTGCTGGCGAAGCTTGGCAGCTACTGACAATTCTCAGTCTCCTGCAAAAGTACAGACTCAGCCGAGTGGTTAAGTTCACACGCTCCGCTTTGGCAGCCCAGGGTTTCACTGATTCGGATTCTGGGTGCGGACAAGGTACCACTCATCAGGCCACGCTGAGGCGGCATCCCACATGCCACAACTAGAAGGACCCACAGCTAGAATATACAACTATGTACTGGGGGGCTTTGGGGAGAAGAAGAAGAAGAAGAAAAAAAAGACTGATAAAGGACCTTAGCTCAGGTGCCAGTTTTCTTTTTTAGAGATTGGCATGGAGCTAACAACTGTTGCCAATCTTTTTTTTTTTTTGAGGAAGATTAGCCCTGAGCTAACTGCTCCAATCCTCCTCTTTTTGCTGAGGAAGACTGGCCCTGAGCTAACATCTGTGCCCATCTTCCTCTACTTTATATGTGGGACGCCTATCACAGCATGGCGTGCCAAGTGGTGCCATGTCCGTACCCAGAATCTGAACCGGTGAACCTCGGGTAGCCAAAGCAGAACGTGTGAACTTAACCACTGGGCCACCAGGCCGGCCCCTGCCAATCTTTTTTTTTTCCTACCTTTTCTCCCCAAATCCCCCCAGTACACAGTTGTATATTTTTTTAGTTGTAGGTCCTTCTAGTTGTGGCATGTGGGATACCGCCTCAACATGGCTTGAAGAGCAGTGCCACGTCCTTGCCCAGGATCCGAACCGGTGAAACCCTGGGCCACTGAAGCGGAGCATGTGAACTTAACCACTCGGCCATGGGGCCGGTCCCAAGTGCCAATCTTTAAAAAAAAAAAAAAGCACAGCTTCATCTATGGGTTTATCAGCAACTGTTCAAAGGCTTTGGGGTTTATCCTAACTTTGACAATGGGCTTCTAGCTTTTGTTTAAAAATTATTTTATTGTGAAATATATCATACAAAATATATATAAAACAGGCTTCTAGTTTATGTAATTAACATTGTTGAAATTATAGGGATCAAAGACATGAATGAACCTGGAGGGCATGATGCTGAGTGAAATAAGCCAGATAGAGAAAGACAAGTACTATACAGTGTCACTTATATGTGGAATCTAAAAAAAAACATTGAAGGGCTGGCCCGGTGACCCAGCGGTTAAGTTTGCATCTTCTGCTTTGGTGGCCTAGGGTTCCCTGGTTGGGATCCTAGATGCGGACATGGCACTGCTTGTCAAGCCAAGCTGTGGCAGGCGTCCCACATATAAAGTAGAGGAAGATGGGCACGGATGTTAGCTCAGGGCCAGTCTTCCTCAGCAAAAAGAGGAGGCTTGGTGGCAGATGTTGGCTCAGGGCTAATGTTCCCCCCGCCCCCCCAAAAAAAGTTGAACTCACAGAAGCAGAGAGTAGGATGGTGGTTGCCAGGGGCTTGGGGAGTGGGAGAAATGGGGAAAGGTTGGGCAAAGCGTACAAACTTTCAGTTATCTGATGAGTAAATTATGAGGATCTAACATAGAGCATGGTGACCATAGTTAATAATTCTGTATCGTATACTTCAAATCTGCTAACAGAGTGTGGTTCTTAAGCCTTCTCACTATGTACACAGACATGGGCACACAAAAAATAACTATGTGGGGTGATGGATGTGTCAATTAACTTAACTGTGATAAACATTTCATGATGTGTACTTATATCAAAACCATCACTTTGTACACTTTAAACATATATAATTTTATTGGTCAATTATACCTTAATACAGCTGGGGGAAAAGGGCTAAATCACTCATTTTAGAGATTAAGAAACAAAAGCTCAGAGATTTACCCAAGATTATACAATTAATGGTAGTATTTTTTATTTTTTAAAGAGCTAATCTTGTTATTTCACTTTTTAGACTTCTTAATACTACTGAAAAGTTGATAATCTTATTTTTTAAATTTCATTCAAATTTGATTTAGTAAGTTTTCCTCTAGCTTATACTCTTGATAACGTCATATGATAAGACTCTAGATTTTATCCTTCTCAAAACTCCAGGTGATTTCTAATTATAAAATAATGTGTAAAGCATGCTTCTTTAAATACTTAAGAAAAAGAAAAGAGACAGCTGTTTAGTTATCTTGAAATCCATTTATTCTGCTGGGAAACAAAGTGTCTTATGTTCATGAAGTTTACAAACATCTCCTTATGTTCAAAATGTAACCAATATTTCCCTTTTATTTATACCAATGTGAATTTTGTTTCTTGAAGCTTTCTAACATTTCCTGAGCAATTTTCCGTAAGAGAGACTGACTTTTCTACTGAAAATATCAGAAAGGAAAATGAATAACAGATTTATTAAGTAAAATAAGTTACCTAAATATTCTAAAGGGAATTCTAAATAGAATAGCTATTTTGTGAAAGCCTCAAAGTCGAGGCAAAGAGCGATAAACTTTAAAATCTTATTAAAACTTATGCTTACAGATGAGCACTCCTTCCTGGCTGGCAGAGCTTTGAGTCCATTTGAGGTCTGGCAGCCGTGGTAACATCACTCAGGAGGGAAAAGTACATCAGGGAGGGCCAGATTTTCAGTCTGTTGCCTTCTGTCCCTTTCAGATAACTCTTGAGATCCTGGTTGCGGTTACCCGAGCAAATTACCCATTCACTGGGTCTGTATTTCTCAGAGAGAGAAAAGTCTGTAATTTATGATCAAAGTCAATGGCTCTGAATTGAGGTTCCTTGTATTTTCTGGTCATCTTGGCACCCAGATATGTGATGAGCTCACATCTCTCCAAAAACTGTTCCATCTTCCTCTTATACTTTTTTCTTGTATATTCAGAACCTTTGGGATTAAAAGCTGTAGAAAATGTCACAGAACTGTGAATGTTTTCTGTGAGGTTAGTGAATCATTAAATTACAGAGAAAGAGAACTGTGTGTGTGATTGTGCTGAGAAGATAGCCAAATCCCAAATAAGATTTGGGGATTATTCTATTTTAGATCATAATTGCCTCTATTCACCCTCCTGTATGGCATGGATTATTGAGAGCTGACTGTATTACTCATAGTCCCAGCTTTAAAAACTAGAAATTCAGTTTTATTATTATTATTTTGCTGAGGAAGATTCTCCCTGAGCTAACATCTGTGTCAATCTTCCTCTATTTTGTATGTGGGTCGCTGCCACAGCATGGCTGCTGATGAGTGCTGTAGGTCCGTGCCTGGGAACTGAACCTGGGCCGCCAAAGTAGAGCATGCTAACCACTAGGCAACAGGGCCAGCCTCTCAGTTTTATTATTTTTGTTAAAATATTTGCTACCAACATACACACACACACACACACACTGCAAGAAATCAACCCAGATCAACAAGCTCATCCTATTTATCACATATATTATAATTAATGTTAAACTAGTTCTGAGTAGCATATCACTAAAAAAGACATACCTTTTAGGTGAAATGCTATATAGAGCAGCGCAGATCTCTTTATACTCAAGAAGGGGAATTTGGGCTTTAAGCATCCTGCTGAATTCATTGCCTTGATTAGAGATGTTGCGATACCCTACAGGCGGGGAACAATTTAAGTCAGGCATATATTTGAACTTCATTTCTTTTCCTAGTGGCAAATAGATAAAGAGACAATTCTTTGCCTCAAATAGCCTCTTGGGGTTGGGGATGGGGTTTATAAAGATGGTTAGATGACCACTTAGCTAACAGGAAATGCAAAATACCTTTGATTAGGAAAAAAATGAAAATTACAAACTGGCTTAGTGCCAACTAGGTGATGGCTACATGGGCCTCATTACACAATTCTCTCTATTTTTGTACGTTTGACATTTTCCCTAATAAAAAGGTAAAAAAGAAAGAAGGGGCCACTGGGCTTTGAGTTGTCTTGGCCCATCTCCGCTTCCATTGCTAGGGACCGGGCAGACTGCTTCCCACCATCAGGACCCTTGGCCACCTGACAAGCAATTCTAGAGAGCACAGTTACCAGTGCAGCTGTGAAAGAAGGTGGGAGGCCTGCCTGATGCAACTCGGCCGTTAGGAGAATACTGCTCGCTGGGTGAGCCTCATTGTGCCTTTTGATAGTAAACCACACTGAAGGGCTAACCATCTAGGTGAGTTGAAAAAAACGAAGCGGTTAAGAAACGCATAAAATTGTGCCCTGAGCATTTATTTTATAGGATTTTTTAAAAAAGGTTTTTTAAAATAGTAGTTGGCTACTGGTAAGTTTTAGAAATAAAATGTGACTTGAGCAGAAAGTTTCATCTGGATTTGGGGCAAAATACGGGTTTGGTGGTTCAGCTGTAGTGACACTGCGACTCGATTCCAGTGCGGGTATTTGGGACTTCGCTATGGAAGCAGGGGCTTTTCCCGTATTTTATTTTCACAACCGCCCGTAAACAAAAAAGCTTAAGAGTGGATTTGCAGCTTAAAATCAGAAAACTCTGCCTTGAGTTACATTGTTACCAAGATAAAAACTATTGTTAAAGAAGAGATCGTTGTACTCTTGTGCTATATAATCATAGAAAATCATGTCACGGAACCTGTTCCAGATATCCTGGCAAAGGAAGGCTAGTAAGATGTATCGGTTCCTTTAACGGCGGAAGTTTGTTTGGAAGCTTCTGATTCCAGTACTTCAGTGGCGACCTGAGAACGCAAAGTTCATTAGATGGATGCTCACAAATGTACTCACGTGTGTCCATAGGAATGTATGTATACAAGAGACAACTAAAAGGTAAAGTTCACTACCTGCTTTTTATCCCCTGGAGAAAATGATACAAGTGGGAAGACCCGGCTCCTAGGAATTCATGACCACCATCTTCGCTTGGGTCCCCAGCCCTGGTCACTTATTCTGTTTTCTTATTTTTCACAGCAACTATGTAAAACTTTATTCTCTTCAAACTTCTAACTCTCCCACCACCCCCTACACAGGTGCATGCTATATAAAGAGAAACCATCAGAGCGGAACTTCCTCAACTGCTCATCACAAGTAAAGCCGCACACAGGTTCCTCTTTCCATGGCAGAGCTTACTTCCCATCCAAGATCAGTTTCCTCTGTACTCTGGATCCCCACTCCACCCTCTCTCCAGGCATCTTACTATAGCACTTTCTCTCTCCCCCTCACCTTTGGCATTTCCCTCTTTACTGCATCCTTCCCACGCATCTGCGTTTAAACAAGCTCATACCTCCCTCATGTAAAAACAAAAAAAAAAAAAGAAAAAGGAAAAACCACCTGCACTCCTTCCTCTATCCCTTCCAGCCACTAATGTCTCTTCTTTTTTTACAGTTAAATTTCTTCAAACAGTGAGCGTCACAGGAGACCACAACTACTGCACAAATTCCATCTACAGATGCGATTCGATCCACATAAGATTTTTAAAAAAATTTGAATCGGTCACGAATGTTTAAAAATTAGGAAAATTTAAAAAGAAATTTGGTTTTCAATTTCTTGTGAAAACGGAAATGTCCGGTAGCAGATGAGCGGCTGCTGCCCCCTTTAGTTGGGGCATGCGCAGTCCAGTTTGCCACAGTCCCCACCACTTCCTCCGTTTCACACCCAACCTGCTTCCCTCCCATCCTTTACCTTCTTGGATGCTGTAGGCGTCTGTGTTTGTAACCTCTGGACTACAGGCAAGGTCTTAATTTCCTCGTCTCTCATCCACTCCTTGGCATTCTGAAATTGGCTTCCACTCACCTCACTCTAATGAAACCATTCTTGCCAAAATCACTAATGACCTGTTATAACCTAAATCCGACACGCTTTTCAGCTCTTGTCTCGTTTCACCTCTAAGCAGCATTTAAACCTTTGGCCAAGCCATCCCAGACACTTTCTCTCCCCTTCTCCTCCCCAGAGCCTCTCCCTCCTGGCTCCCCTTTCACCTCTTTGTGGGTTCTTCTTTTTCATCCTCCCTTGCAAGGTCTTCTTCTGACATTCATGTATTGGTGTTTCTCAGGACTTGGTCCTAAGCCCGCTCCTTTCCCCACACCACTCTTCATGGGGGAACCCCATCATGCTGTATTATTTGGGACAGGGTCACTCCAACAGCCTCATAACTGGTATTCCTGCTCCAATCCACTATCAACACTCCGATGATAGTCTCTCTCCAAAGTAAATTTGATTATAACATTGGAAACCAATCAATGTATTCATACTGCCCTTCAGATCAAGTCCAAATGATTGATGGTGATTTTACTTGGCCTTCTGCATTCTGGCCCTGCTCACCATCTCCAGCCTCACCTCTTGCTCCTTCCCCTCTCCACATCACACTAGCCATGCTGAATTTCGTGCAGTTGTGTGATTCCCTGGGCCAGGTTTGTTTGTGGGTTCCTCTGCTTGGAACCTGCTCCTCTTTCCCTTCGTCTAGGCAATTCCCACTCCCCCTTCAGGCTGTCCCCCAACAGATAATTCACTCAGACTTTTGGGTTAGACTTCCCCAGAACTCCTGGCATTTTCCCATCCTAAACCCCATCACATTCTGTTGTTATCAGGTCCTTAAAGTCTCTCTTACCCAGGAGCCTCAGGCTTTGGGACAGAAGGGACCAGGCTTTGTTCACCATCATATATGTATGTATACATATGTGGATATGGGTATGCATGTATGTGTATGTGTGTGTGTATACACACACATATATATCCCAGCATGGTGCATTGAACATAGAAGATATTCAATAAATAATGAATGGTCTTACCGCAAAAATTTCTGGAGTTTTTCTCTGCTCTCACAAATATATATACGATCACGATATTCTAAAGCATAGTTAATGTCACCAGGTACTAGGGCTTCATATCTGAAAGAAAAATATATACTGTATAATTAATATGCAGTACTGTGTAAATAAAATGTCAAAAAAATTTCATTTTTCTATCTATGCACCTCAAATAGAACATTTTCAGTTAAACAATAGCGACCTTTTGAGCAGATGTTATCATATGAAGGCTTATTCTGGGTGGAGATGTCCTCCTGTGCTTGCACGAGGACTAGGACTTGCCTTTGTTTCCCATCTTCATAGGTTACTGGACAGTAGCCCTGGAGCTCAGCGCACTTGGGAAATCGGCTCTTCAGCTCTGACAGCGTCAGCCTCTTGGGGATCATGTCGGCCGATGGGAGCGCGTGAGGTGCTAATGGAGGCACATACAATTCTGGGTTCTCCAAAAATTTCTATTAAAAAAGGGTTACAGCAACAAGACTGTTTACAACAGGAATACTAGGCCAATCAAACATCCATTGAGGCTGTCCTGCCACTCTCCCCATTTCCAGTAGCAATGTTCTGTCCTTCACGCCATCTGAGAGCTGCTTTCTGCACTCCAATAACTCCTTCCCTGTCTGGAAGTTCCCTTATAGTAATACTTGCAAGTAACTGCATCTAAGGAAGGTCTCTCCTAATCTCATTTGCTCACTCACTCACTCACCCATTCATACAAAAACTATTTGTTGAGCTCCCAGTATGTGCCAGGCACTGGAGGGTACATGGTCACCTGCCCACCTGTCATTAACTAGTTGGCAGCTCTTTGGCAGGTGTGTTAATTCTCCAGCTCCAGTGATCCCTCTGTAAAGTGGAGGGGGCAGCCCAGATACACGATCTCTAATGCCACTTCCAGTTTTAAAATTCTGTGATCATCACTTCAATAAGCAGGAAGAAATAAATGCCTTTTTAATAAAAGTGATCAAACATTTTAATTCTTCAGAGGAAAAGAAATGTTCAGAGGAATCTGATTAGTTTTCAGAACTACCAACCTTTTCATATCATCAAATTGTGACATCGTAATATCAGAACAAAGCTACATCCTGTTCCACTGGACAGAAGTATAAGGTTTACGGGGAGTTCTAGTGATAGAAAAAATCTTAAAGCACAAGAGACATAAGTCAGCTCTTGCTTCATTTCCACTGACTTTGACTTCCCTTCTGCACCCTTGGAGCTGAATCGCCTGGATGCCCACCTGTGGGCTGAGCATCTCATCTCATCAATACATCTCATCCGTTAGTGGGGCTCACAGCTGGGTCGCCCTACCTGTGAAACTGGCCCAGGCCGAAGGCCCATCACTGACCCTGGACTTCTGCTCTGTGCCAAAATACATCTTGGGATGCAGTCCCAGGACTGGCCACTGAGTGGCCTCATTGGTCCCAGTGTCACAGGTTCCAATAACGGGCCACCTGGTCCTAGTCCCAGGTGTTCCCAGCGTGCCCACCCCTTCCTGTTTGATGAATTCGGAGACAGGCATTTTCTTTCCCTAGCAAATGTTTGGCGTTAGGAACAAACTTACGTTTAGTTTTTCCCGAGAACTCATTTTATAATAGTGCCCTCTGAACTCTGCTGCAAATTCCAAGGACTCAGTTACAGAGCAATCAACTAATTCATGTGATTCTGCCAGGCTGACAGGGCAGAACTGTTCAAATTCACCCAGGCGAGAAATCAGTTCTTGAGGCGTGATGCATAACCTGTCAATGCAGGCGGCTTTTCCTAGGATTAACAAAGGAACTATTATTATATGTATTTTTTCATAGGAAACACAATAATTTTTAAAATTAAAATAATTTCAATCACACAAGCACTATACAAATGCATACACCCTGTAAAATTCCCAACAATAGAGTAAAAAGTAAAAATTTCTCTTCACACCTCTGTCTTCTCAATCCAACATCCCTCCTGAGAGGTAATCACTATTGCATTTGTCTCCTTTTCAGACATTTTCTATACATTTGCATATACACAGGTATGTTCTTTTGCATATAGGATGCTTATGCCACTATACTGTAAACATTAGTCTGCAACTTGCTTTTATCCGTTAGTTATGGTCTTTGACATCTTTCTGTATCAGTTTATACATTTATCTAATCCTTTTTAATTGATGCATAGTATTCCACTGCACAAATATACACATAGTTTATGTATGTTCTGTTACATGTTATGTTAAATGTTTAACCATTTATCTGTTGATAAATGTTTTAATAGTTTTTAATTCTTAGTTATTATAAGCTATATATATGTATATACACATAGCCACTCATACACACACACGTAAATTTGCTATATATTTTTAAATTTCCTATGGAATAGATTTCAGGAAGTACAAATAGTTTGCTGACATGATGTTACTGACACAAATCTCTCCCTGTGCCCAACGACCCCCAAGAGAAGGGAAGCACATTTATCCAAGAGTGACTAGGTTTACCCCAAAGAGTCTATTTTACAAAGAAAAAGCCCAAGTTCCCTCAACGGGAAAGTCTAAGAGCGTTCTCCCCAATACTCCACTGGAGTGGGGACTCCAAAGCAGTACGAGATGTTATAGAAAATAAAATGACTTTCTTAATACATCTTAGTTATAATGAGTAAATTTTGATCCCAGTATACTTTGTTAATGGTCCCTTTCACCAGTGAAAAGTTTTACCTTTTTAAAAAATTATTATTATGCCTAGGAAGGTCTTAAATTGATTATAAAATTGTGAAGTATAAATCATACTTTGGTTTGTTATGTGACAGCATAAACAGAACATTTATCCTTAGGAATTAAAGTGATGTGTCTATAAGCCAAGGAATGCAGAGAATTGCCGGCAAGACTGGAGGCTAAGAGAAAGGCATGGGACAGATTCTTCCCTGGAGCCTTCAGAGAGAGGATGGCCCCGCCAACACCGTGATTTTGAGCTTCTAGCCTCCAGAACTTTGAGAGAATACGTTTCTGTTGTTTAAACCATCCAGTTCGTGGTACTTTGTTACAGCAGCCTTGGGAAACTAAAACAGTTACCAAAAAACCCCTGTGACTTCTGTCTTTTGGCATTCTTTCTTTCTTGCCTTGTCAGCTTGTTCACTTGATAAAGCAAGCCGCCATGTTGGAAAGGTCCATATGGCAAGGAACTAAAGGTGGCCTCTGTCCACCAGCCAGGAAGGAACTGATGGTCTCAGTCTAACAACCCTTAAGGAATGAAATTTTGTCAACACACTTGAGTGAGGACGATAGTGGATTCTTCACACTGCCTTCAGATGAGACCATAGTCGTGTCCAACACCTTGATTGTAACCTTGTGAGAGACCCTGAAGCAGAGCACCCAGTTAAACCGTGCCTGGATTCCTGACCCATAGAAACTGGGAGTGTGTGTGTGTGTTGTTTTAAGCTGCTAAGTTGTGGAATAATTTGTTATGCAGCAATACATAAATTAATACACTATTCTATCTGTTGTTTATGACAGAGATAAAAAGGCTGAGAAGCCCCAATATTCCTTTCCTACAAAGAATATTATACTACTATAATACTACAGTGGTAAAATATTATTATTCTAAACTATTACAACGTACATTACTATGGTATAATAATATATAGCATTATTAAAGTATCCAGCATTATGTAGTGCTATAATATTATACTACGTGGTACTATATTATTATAGTCCCAGATTGCTCTTTAGCTCAGATGTGCTGAGCCTCACTAATCCTGACATGTTTAGTGACAGGGTAATTTAGAATCACATGGCTTCAAGTCCTAAAATATACTCATATATCTCTTTTTCCGATTCTTGGGATATTCTTGATGACATCTGGCAACGTCTATATGTCCCTTTCTGCAATGGGCAGAACAGGAATCGCTTAATCTTCTAGCCCTGACCTTGCCCCATCTCATTAGTAGGAGTAAACTGTGGCCCTCTGATAGGGGAGGATCATTTGAACAGCATACAAAGGAAATGTAGAATGAAAAAATCAAAACTAAATTCAAACAATCAGGTCCAGGCTAGATTATCAGGTGGAAAGGGAAGCAGAAGAGCAACAGGGCAGACTTCAGTTAGATTCAATTATTCAAGACAGGGGCAAGTATATATGGCATAATGTCCCGGCTGCACTGGGGCCTCATCCAGACTCCTCTTCAGGGCTTCTGCACCTGTCTCCCAGTTGTTGGGAACATTGGTGCTGATGGCTCACAGCTGCATGAGAATTATCCCTCTATCACTGGTTATACCTCCTCCCAGAGTGACCTGTGGTCAATGATAGGTCAATAGAGGGATAGAGAGCCTGGCCCCCTCTCCTCAATCAGGGAAATTTTGAAGGTCCATCCCAGCTCCAGAGCTTCCCTCTAGGATCTGATGAGACTTCTGTTTCCACCACGCTGCAGGTTCGTTACTCCCTCTGCCCAATTCTACATCCTCACACCCCCACTGCTGTATCTCCTGATTAGGGTTGCCAGATAAAATAGAGGACGCCCAGTTAAGTTTGAATTTCAGATAAATAATGAATAGTTTTTGGTGTATGTCCCATGCAATATTTGAGATACACTTATATTAAAAAGTTATTCATTGTTTATCTGAAATTCAAATTTAACTGGGCATCCTGTAATTTTATTTGCTAAATCTGGCAACACTACTCTGGAGAGTACTTCCTGATAAAGCTTCTGCACACAACCTTTCATCATAAGTCTGTTTCCAGGGAACTCAGTCTAAGACAGGGAGGGCGAAATAGGGTAACAGGAAGACGAATGAGACACAAGTTTGGCTTTCAAAGTCTGCTGTGGAATGTTTTACTAGAGTGATGCTATCCAAAACTTATTGGGAGTATGTTCCCAAAAACTTAATTCTCTCTTTCCTCTCACTCTTATCTTCCTGACTTGTAATCCTCAGGTGCAAACAAATTCCCAATTTGCACACAAACAGGAACCAGAGATACTGGTAAGGCCCAAATAATGAAGCAAACCAAGATTCAATGTTGCAATTATTATCAGAATCCTCATTGCATTTTTCCTTGTACAAGATTCTTAGTCATGTTGCTCCCTCATACCTCATTATATCTTCTCTGTAGTTTCCAAAGTTAAACAAAGTCATTAAACAGATGTCTGTGAGAACCCTACAGATAAATTTTGGAGTTATCACTCTTTTCAGAGATATAAGTTGTAGACAAGTTTGTGTATTTTTGGAAGAAAATCAAGAAACTTATAGGAATGTGTAATCAAACCTTTTCTTTCATAGATTCCAAATATAGATTAAAAGACATTTTACATTCAAGTTTAATTTTTTTATTTCTGTAATACCATAATGAATGTAAATAGTAAAAGTAACTTTAATTCTAGATTCCTAAACAAAATTTTGCCAAGTGTCACTCCACAGACCATTGCCCTTGTATTACTACCATTCTTGAAACTAGCATTCTTGAAACTAGTTGGACCAAACACTGTAAACTCTTATAGTGAGAGACCATGTACCATTTTTATGTGCTAGGTTCACTCAGGTATTCAATAAGTGATAGCTTGAGCAGAAGCAGTCATTTATTAGAACCAATACACATGCCCGTGATAATTGGACAGTACCATATATTTAAAATATTGATTAAGACCGTGGGACCAAATGCTGAAATTGAATGAATTATGGTACCATGAGTTAGGCATGTATAGACTTCAAATTCATATTTCATTATATTTTAACAGTTAAATGTTTTCTTACCTGCTTTTATTCTTTCCAGGTATATCTGCAAATATTTATTCACCATTTGAATTTTCTTAATGACTTCATTCCAGACCCACCATTTGCTGTGAAACCCATCAATCACATACCAGTTCTGATGTTGTTCTTGATAATATTTCCTAATCTCAACAATATTTTTGTGATGCTTTGCATTTTTGATGGCTATAATCTGTGTGCTGTTGTGCAATGGATAAGGCAAACTAAGAGAGGAACAGAGAAGGAATGGAAAAAGCTGTTAAAAACATACTTTTTTTCTGGATGATTAAAGTTCATTCCTTTATCATTGTTTCCTCACATACATTACCTTTGTTCCTTTTTTTTTTCGAGGAGCAATCTTTTGAAAATCTCCTTAGAAGGCACATCCAACTCAAAGATGATCATGGGAATGATTGCCCTAGCTTCCAACAGACTCATTTGATATTTAGTTACAGGGTATCCATCAATGACAACACTAACAAGGAGAAACATAAAAATAAAAATTCCATATTTCTTTTCTCTCATACCTTTCTCTCTGTCTTCTAGAACCAGTTCATCTCTATAGGAGTAGCCCCATGCTCTGCCTTATGTAACTTGATGTATCTTCTTTTGGTTTGTCATCTTTCTTGCTATATATTTTTTATTATTTTATTATTATTTTTAATTTTTTGGTGAGGAAGATGGGGCCTGAGCTAACATCTATTGCCAATCTTCCTCTTTTTGCTTTTGGAAGATTGGTGATGAGCTGACATCTCTGCTAATCTTCTTCTATTTTGTATGTGGGACGCCACCACAGCATGGCTTGATGAGCAGTGTGTAGGTCCACACCCAGGATGCAAACTCATGAACCCTGAGCCACTGAAGCAGAGTGCATGAACTTAACCACTATGCCACTGGGCTGGCCCCCATTTCTACATTTTTAACCTCAGTCAGCCCAAAAGCCAGGAGGAGGGCAGCATACATATGTGTACAGTCCTGAATTCATACTCTTAGCATCATAGAACTAGGTTTTGGCAGAATCTGAGAGATAACACATGTAATAACTTGAACATTGTGTTATCCAATTGGTGCTATTATTCTAAGCATGAAAACAGAGGAAAGAACATAAGTTTCATAGGCAAACAGACTTAGATTTGAAACCTGGTTTGAGAGCCTCAGTTTTCAGTAAAATAGGGGAAATGATATTTAACCCTTAGAGTTGTCTTAAGTATTGTAGACCAGGTATGTAAAGCAACTGGAACAGGGCCTGGCACAATGCAGTATCTTAGCAAGAGATTAAGAAAATAAGGGAGAAATTGTGTTCTAGAGTGCTTTTGCAGTAAAGCTCTGTGAGGAGGCTGGGGTGCGGGAAGGGGGCATGCGGAGTTGGTGAGGGGAGCCCTGTGATGTCTGGGAAAGAATCATTTCCTCAAGCTCCGTCAAGCCCCTCAGCAGAAATGATGGAGAATTTAAGTTAGTCCAACAGGCTGAGATAATGAGAGTGTTACTACCAAATTGAGAGGAGGAATAAAGGCTGTCAGCAAATTCTGGGCGGAAAGTCAAGAAACTCACTCTGAGTGACCGCGCATGCTGGCTGACGGTCACCAGGAAGGGCTGGTTTGGACTAAGTCACAGGATGCCTTCTCTCAATGCTATCCAGCCACGTCTCTAGGCACTAACTAGTTCTAAGTTCTATGGCAGAGACGATTGTAAGTTAACGGAGCCAGACAAGCCTAATAGAGAATGTATGGGGGTGCCATTGTTGTTGTTTTTTTTAATGGAGAGTAGCTCAATTTCTTTATCCTGTGAAGGGTCACTTGAGCGGCCCTCAGGATTAGGGAAATTCAGGGTGAATCGGCAATTACTGGCCTGGTATTAAAGTGAAATAAAACCTTTGCAACTCAACCAAGGTTGCCTTCAATGAGGTCCCTCGTATGCAAAGCTGAATGCCAGGGATGAGGGAACTCAATTTGCATACGTTCCAGGGCGGTCTCTGGGTAAAAAAATCTGACACCCCAGAATCTGCTCCCCCATAACTGAATTGTCCAAGGACTTGATTAAGGACCAGTGGCAGGGGAGAACAAGGAGGCTCCTGATATAAAACAACCTTGAGAAAATCAGGGGGATTCTAGGTTGGTGACTGGGGCTTAAGAGCAGGGTCTTAGGTTTCACCGGCTTTTACTACTGGGTGTCACCAGTGGCTCTGCTGGGGAGTAATGGTTGAGCAGAGGAGTGTAAACTGAAGAGACAGCTCAGACATGGGGCTCTCCAGTCCGAATGTGGCACCAGGAAAGGACTGCTACCTGTGCAGAGAGCTGGGCCAGTGAGACACCATCTCCACTGCACTGGTGTCATCTGGGGACAGGGGAGAGCCACGCCTTCAGCACTCCACGGGCAGTGAGAAGCTCCACTGGGTTCTGGAAGTCACATTGGCCTCCTCTGAGGACTGTGTAAACCTGGTGACTTCTGGATAATTCAGGGGTTGTGGCACGGAGTGAAGTGGCCTGCTGGCTATTTTTGGCATGTCAGTGTTCAAGCCAAGTTTTAGGTTGACAGAAAATTAAAAATTAAAATATGTCACCCTATAGGTGCCCTTTGCAAGAGCTTTAAATCCTGTTTGAGGTAAGTGTTTTAAATTCCAGTGAGGAATTTCTTGAAAGACTTCACTCCCCGCCCCGCCCTCACTTACCCTACTGTATTACATACACTTCCCATCAGAGCTATTTCCAAGGCTTGAACAGCCAGTTCATCCGGTGCTGTCATTCCTTTATGAAGATGCCAATTTAACATAAGTGCCAGCTCTGTATTTGGTTGATCATTTAATATATAACGCAAAGCTTCTCCCATTGACAAATGCTTTAAACCATATTCACTTGAAATTTTTTGGGCAACTGAAAAACATTAAAACGTTAAACTTAACCCATTTTGCAAATTCATCAGTCAACCTTAGTTTCAGATTCTGGTTAACTGACATGAACAGCAACCTAATCTTCACATTCCTCAAAGAAATTTTGAAAGTTAAAATTGTTACATCTTCTTGAATTAGGACTGTCAAAGGTCAATCATCGTTAGTACTTCAGGTTATGTGGCTGATGCATCGGTTAATAAGCCAACTCTTTGGGGCTTTTTTAAAATAACCAAACCAACATTTCAGTGTTTTCTTCCTTCTACACAAGGTAGAAAAATTTTTGGGAGTTTTACAAGGCATCCTTTGTATACTATTAATATTTAATATTATGTCCAAAATAACAATCTAACACTCCTGTGTCGCTGGGTTGTATCTTTTCCCTGTCTATCCATTTATGGACTCCACGCTACAATTAGGACCCCATACCCTCCACAGTTTGGTCTCAGTTAATCTTCTAGGAAATAATTTTTAAAATTTATAATGGCATACCTGACATTCTAATAGTAATTTGCAGCTTACGAGGTACTTTTTCTTTTGTGATCTTGTTTGGTATTTTCAACCATTCTGTCAGTTGGGTAGAATGGATATTGAAATCCCAATTTTACTGATGAGAGAACTGAAGCCCACTTTGAAATGGAATGATTGGTCCAAGGTCACACAGATGTTGCCATTGGTTGAAAGAGGACTCACCTTGGCCTCTGCTTCTCCCAAATGAGACCATAGACAATGACTTCCAGTAACGATTAGATGTGGGAGTGCTCTGTCGTGGTCTATATACCCTGCCCCATCACTGTCTGGAGGCAGCAGTGTGTAGAGGACACTGAGAGAGCTCATCCCATCTCATGGAGAATGCAGACTAACTGACTACAGTTACGGCCACCCTAAAGGGATACCCTTGTGAGAGCCACACGGCCCTTAATCTCAGCTTTGCCACAAATGCTGGAATCAGATCTAATTTTTTAAAGCTGTAAAAATAATAAAGCTTTCACAATTTGACAGCTTGTTAAAATTCAACTCTATTTCAACAAAGAAATGAGAAATCAGGTTGTCTTGTCTACACTTTCACCTTTTGCTCTGGTTGTTGGATCTTATTTCGAATGTTAATATTCTGCTATCTTTGGGAAATATTATCTTTGTGAACATTTAAAATATGACTGTTAAAGACTCTTTTATCATGTTAAGAAGTTTAAATGGGTAAAGCAAGCTTTTCATCTGAAGAGCTGGAATACAAAACTTCCCTTTATTATTCCTCGTGAGAAATTAATCTTTGACCTCATCTCTCCCCTTCTTTCTCTATTCCGTCAGTCATTAAGTCCTATTGTTTTCCTTTTAAATATCTCCTGTATCTGTCCTTTTCATTCCATTCTCACTGTGACCAACCACTGTTCACATTATGAAATACTACACCAACCTATGGTTGGACTATTTGCTTTTAAAAACAAAAACCTAAACCAGAATCTAAAGTTACACAAAATTCAAACACTATAGGAATACAGTTTACCAAATGCCTTTTTCAGCAATGATTTAAGACAATGGATTTTCACTCTTTAAACCATTAATACAGTAGATTATATTTTAAAAATCTTTTAATATAATTTTTATGCTAATATAATCTTATACTGTTATTTGACTATACTTACAAGTAATACTAGTTCATAATTGCGTTATATTAGTTTGTGTTATCTTTGTTAGGTCTTGATGTCAGGATTAAGCTAATTTAAAAATGAATTTATATTCTTTATAGCTTTTTGATTGTATGGACTATATTTCTTAATAAAAAATAAACTGAAAATAAATTGGGAAGCTTACTGTCTTTTCCGTTACTCTGAAAAAGCTTATAAACTGATGGAATAAATGAAAAGCAGTAAGTTAAGTTAAGTTAATATATTGAGGTATATGAGGAAGCCATTTTGATTTGGCCTGACCTTGTTTTTTCCAGAATGGCCTCATGTGGCCTGTCAAGCATGCACTGTACACCTGCTTTAAACATTTACAGTATCCCAAAGCAAAGAATGTTGCCTTAAAGATAGGGATGTTGCCTCCCCTCATATCAGTATTTCTTTGAAGATAAGCATTCCTTCCCAGAAACCAGGGTCAGACTGACCTGCTGTATGTAGCAAAACATCTTGTGATTGCAGTAGAAGAAAAAGAAGTATTCCTGTCATATTTGTTCCTTGTTCCAAAATGGTTCCTTGTTCCAAAATGGTATATAGCTGTCTAATGCTCTACATTTTGCATCTCTGGAGTGCTTCCCTCCCTGGTGGAGTTGGTCTCCCAGGCTATAGTCCTCAGAATTGGCTCATATGTTAAACGCACCTTGATTTTGATCTATAGATTGATTATTAGTTCTTTGCATCAACAAAGCACAGGAAGTATCTCTTGAGTTTTTAATTCTTTGAAAGTTTGATATAATTTTCCTCCAAAACCATCTGAACCTGGGCTTTTTTTGGAGTGGGAGTATATTTTTGAATGCCTTCTCTTCAATGGTTATTGGCCACTTTAGGTTTTCTGTCTCTTTTTGAGTCAATTTTGATGGTTGGTTTCCTGGAGAAGCGACACTAGTTTTCAGGGGATTCTTTTACGCTTAAGGATAACAAAAGCCAACACACCCTTACCTGTAGTTTTCCCAGATTTTGGTGGCCCCACAATGGCAATCCTAATGGGCACGGTAGGCTTAGGTTTGGGTTGGCGGATATATTTTATAGGGTTCTTCATAAATTTTTCTTTAGTTTCCTTACTAGATAAAAAATAAATATACTGACGATGGATTACAGGATAAACTGGAGTCTCAGAATTTTCAAGTGGCTTGAATGTCTCTCCTTCACTTAGCTGCAATATACACACAATTGAATTCCTAAGTTAGCTTTAATTTATGCAGCATTTCCCCCAAATACGTTTGTAAAAAACAATTTGTAAAATAAGAAATCTTTCTCACAGAATAAGAAAACTAATTATAATCAAATATTAATATTAAAAAACCATGGAAAAAGAGCAAATTATTTTACATCCACATGCCATTAATGTAATCTTTCTTAAATGGTTTCAGTTTATGACAATTACAGTAGTGCCCCCTTATCCACGATTGCACTTTCTGTGGTTTCAGTTATCTGTGATCAATAGCAGTCTGAAAATATTAAATGGAAGATTCCAGAGATAAACAATTCATAGGTTTAAATTGCGCACCACTCTGAGTAATGTGATCAAATATTTTGCCATCCTGCTCTGCCCCACTGGGGACATGAATCATCCCTTTGTCCACCTTTTCCATGCTCTATATGCTACCTGCCCGCTAACCACTTAGTGGTCTTCTCAGTTGTTAGATGGTCTGTCTTGGCATTGCAGTGCTTGTGCTCAAATAACCCTTATTTTACTTAATAATGGCCCTAACGTGTAAGAGTAGTGATGCTGGCAATTCAGATATGCCAAAGAAAAGTTATTGTTGTTCACTTCTTACTGTGCCTAATTTATAAATTAAACTTTATCTTAGGTATGTATGTATAGGAAAAACATGGTATCTATAGGGTTTAGTACTATCTGTGGTTTCAGTCATCCACTGGGGGTCTTGGAACATAACCATGGGTGGGGGGACTACTGTATAGTTCTACTTTCTTTATATCATCTTTGCTGGATATCGAATGTTTCTGCCAAGGAGTGTAGAGCTGTTTGGATATACTCACAGGCCAATTTAACCTTACAGACAGGGCCATGCCTAAGGTGGTGTTATGGATGGAAATGTGTCTCCCCAAATTCAGAAGTTGAAGCCCCAACCCCCAAAGTGGCGATAGGGCCTTTAAGGAGGGAATTAAGGTCAAATGAAGTCATGGGAGTAGGGCCTAATGCAATAGGACTGCTGTCCTTCTGAGAAGAGGAAGAGACACCAGGAGGGCATGAGCACAGGAAAGGCCAGGTGAGGACATAGTGAAAAGTTGTCGTCTGCAAGCCAAGAAGAGAGGTCTCACCAGAAAACCGTCCCTGCTGACACCTTGATCTTGGACTTCCAGCACCTAGAACTGTGAGAAAATATATTTCTCTTGTTTACGCCACCCAGTCTGTGGTATTCTGTTATGGCAGCCTGAGTAGAAAATACACGTGGGGTCTTGGATTATCTTTTGGAGTATATGGGTAGGACAAATCCCACTGGCTTATCTTCCATATTTTTATACCAGTGAAGTTCCACTCACATAAGCATCAAGAGCAGCTGCAAAAGGGAAAACTACACTTAACAGGTAGCCTAACATGTAGGTATGGGATGGAGTGGGAGGCGTGGTCCCACATCTTGGCATTGGTGATGATGAGAACTGGATAATTAATTGATGCTGGGTTTGAACATCTTTTTTTACAGCATCAGCTGGCCAAGTATCAGTCATCCCGGACTTGACAGAGTAAGTGTGAAACAGTGTGGTCATATCACTTCTCCCCAGAGTTACATCAGGACAGTTGTCACAGATCAATGGTATTGTCAACATCATCATTACTGGGCTGGAGTAACACTCATGGTTGGGAGTAAATGCTAGGGATAAGGAGAAACTCAGGGATGGGGTGGGAATGTTTGCTCTAGGTCTTATTAACAAAAGAAAAGCTGAAAGTTTAATGATTCCATTTCAAATTCCCAAATTAAGCATGAATCTTTACAGTAGTTTCTTCTGTTGCCCAAAATATCTAGCATGTATCCCTTCTCCTCTGAGGGTTGGAATACCCACGGTGCCATCAAATAGAAATATCAAATTGTCAGGCACCCAGAAAGATTCCCAACAGCCTTGAAAAATGATTATATGCTTTAACCTTCCAATGACCACGTACTCATTTCTCCACAAGGCATTTTTGTACAATCCTAAATATTTAGACATGGGCCCTTTTTCTTTTTCTCCCTAAATTGGGTTCTGACATTGCCTGCTTCTTCCCCTCTCTTGCCCATCTCAGAGAGAAGGTTAGGGTGTGACTATATTTCAAAAGCTTTCCAGCTGATTCTAACACATGCTTAACTTTCTCCAATTCTCTATGGAGGGAACTGTCATAGTGTTTCTATATTTCAGTACGATATTTGAAAAGGTTTCTCTTGACATCCTTATGATTAAGATAAAGAAGAGAGCACAATTAAGTAGAATTGAAACTGACTGTGTCAATATCAATCAAGAAGGAGGTTGCAAGTAACATGCACAGGGCTCCACTTTGGATGCTGTCCTCCAAAATAGTTTTTATCAGTGACCAAAAATAGTAACACATATTAAGAACAACAATAACTTATATTAATTGAGCACTTACAAAAACCAAGCACTGTTGCAAGACTTTACAGGAATTAACTTGTTTAATCTTGTAACAATATTGTAAGGTAGGAACTATTCTTATTCCCATTGTGCAAATGGGAATGGCTCAGAGAGGTTAAGTAATTTGTCCAAGGTCACTCAGCCAGTAAGTGGTGATTTTGAACTCAGGCAGTCTGGTTCCAGAGGCCATGGTCCTCTCCACTGTGCTGTTATTGATGGAAATGAGAAGGAACACTGGTCGAGTGAGCAGGTCACTATTACAGCAAATTCTTTTATTGTCTTTATAGCACTTAAGACTATGTGACAAGAACCTATTTGTTTGTTTACTTATTTATTGCCTATCCCTTCTCCCTAACCCAACTAGAATATAAAGTCTAGACAAAAGGAACTTTGTTTTGCTCACTCTTCTGTCCCCAGGGACTAGAACAGTGGCTGCTATGCTGTTGGTTAAGACTTGCTGTAAACCATCCCACATTTGAAGTTATTGAATTCCAATTGGATTAAATCTGTCTATCCACACTGCATAAAAACAGTACTTGGAAATAAGTGTGTTAGGAACATTAATGACACATTTTATATGGTGTCTCACACTTTCCAGGGGACTTTATACTCTTGCATTGGATCACAGCGGCCTAGTGGCTTTATTCTTCCATCTAAAACGTAAGGAAATGGAATTAAAGAGTTTAAATGACTTGCCTAAAATTAGATAGCAAATAAGCCCCAGAGCTCAGTTCTCTAGATGTCTAGTTTCAAAATATTTCCACTACCATCTTCTTCTGCCACAAAGTTAAAACCAAGTTGGAATTGGGTTATTGCTACAGAAATGGATGAAAGAAATTACACCTTCCATCTACTTTTCCCACTTCAGAAAGGCAAAACAACCACATATATTTATAGCTGGTTAAGAATACTGTACAATGCTTACAATTTTTGAAATTATCCACTCTCTTCTTCTTAGACATACTTTATAAAAAAAGAAAGAAATAGAAGAGAGAACATGGCTTTCAAATGCATTTGCTGCCATTACCTTTACGGGGTCCCAGTAGCCGAAAGAGCTTATGTGCTTGTAGGTAAGGCCCAGCATTTTCTGGGCAAGGCGTGGTGCAATTGGATAACATTTCTCAAAGATGCTCGCACGATTCTCCACCAGTGGTTTCAGTTTCATATTCAGCATATATTGTACAATGTGAATTTTCCGGGCTCCATTAATGAGAATTACCGGTATCAGAAACTTCTCAAGTTCTTCCTGATGAGAAAAATCATAAAACCGAACATTTTTAGTGGGAAGAAGCCTGGTAGACTTCAGTCGCAGCACACAGACACCGCTGGAGACTGACTGCTTCAGTATAGAGAAAGAATATTTTTCGGCTTCCGAGCAGCTGTGTGTTGGTAGCTAAAACCTTTGATCCCATGTGGCTTCCACGTTGCCCTTAATTTATTAACTTGTTTTCACAATTGTAAGTGGTGCTGACGAGAGAGAATACAGCCCTAAAATGTAGACTTCTTTTGAAATCTTAGAAAGAAACCAAAGCATAAACCACACTGCTTTTGTTTTATTCTCAAATGTTATTTTTTGAATTATGAAAAATGAAGGAAAAGTAATAACCTGTATGCTTTGTAAATTACTCAAATCTGTTTCAAATTTTTCTCCCAGTTCGCCTTTCAGGCGTTCGAGTGCATCGATTTCCTGTTCTTCATCTTCCTCACTCATCGCTTCATCTTTCGGAAACTCCTCTTCGAGGATGTTGTCAATATCATCATCCTCTTCTTCAGGCTCTTCCTGGCTAAATTCATCGTCTTCTCTACCAATCTAAGGAAGAAAATACTCCCTTTTACTATGCATATAAAATATGTAAAATATATACACATAGAAATACGTAACACTGCTAACTAATCATCGGAATAATTCATATTCACTGGCTATTGGTTGGTATGGTGTGGCAACGTTCATCTAGTAACACACTAAAATTTTAACTATTTGGCATCCAGAAATTTAATACCGTCAAGACTCTGACACCACAGTGATCCCATAAATAAATACATAGACAAGATATTAAATGCCATTTATGTTTATGGTGTCAGAATGTCACATGTTTTTGATAGCCTTCAGTAACAATATTTAATGTAACCTAGCTGTGTTACTAGCTGTGTTAGTCACTAGCTGTGTTAGTTTGGACAAGATCAGTTTCTTCATCTGGAATGCTATAGAAATAATAAAAGTACCTACCTTACAAGACTGTTAGGAGTATTAAATAAGTTAATTTACATGCAAAGCTCTTAGAAAGGTGTCTGGCACATGGTAAGCATGCAAATGATAGCTATTATAGCTATTGTAGTCACTTTGTATAAAGCACTGTGCTAATAGAACAGCATATGCCCTTAAGGAGGTTACAGCCTATCTGAGTAAACAAGGATAATACATAAATGATTATTGAAGACCATGACAGGATACCGATACTAAGCGGTGTTAGATAAGCTTTAATATTTGTCCTCCTGCACTGCCGCCACGCTCCTCTCCCTGACGTATTCCCTGTCTCACTTGGAGCACTGCCTTCCAGTTGGAAATCTGAGCGTTATCTTGACTCCTCGCTCTCTATTGTTGCACATCCAGTTTCCAAGGACCGTAATCATAGATGATGCTTCAAACTCCCTCCTTTCCAATCCACTGCACTGTTCCCCTCTCACTCTCTCTCTTACCTGCGATCGTCTGAGCAGCTTGCTAGTTCCTAATCTTCCTAACAGATTAGACCCTGGTTCCTTTCAAAGGCCCCCAGAGCTGGGATTTGGCCTTGCAAGTGCAGAGAGAAAGATGGGAGGATAGGGGTCCATTCCTGCTCTGTGCCCAGGTTCTTCTCTCTCCAAACGGAGCTTGGCTACGGGACAAGTGTTTCTCAGTTTTGGTTCTTTTTTATTTGAGTTTTGAAACCATTTGGTCCTCTTAACTACTTTCTCCTTTTCCTTATGTTTTGACATTTTCTCATCCTGAGATTTGATTTTCTATGGCTCCTCGGCAATATGGTGGGACGAGTCCATATGACAAGCCGGGGACATCCGAGTTCCAGACGACATGTGCTCACCTCTCTGTCTCTGCTTAATAGCTCTTCCAAGTGGTTTGTTAATTTTAAAAATTAAACTATATAAGTTTAAAAAGAAATTCATTTTTGCCATAAAGATCAAATTATATAGCATTATATAGGACAAAAAAAGTCTCCCTTCACACTGCCATCTCTATTTCTACTCTCCTACTTGGAAATAATTTTGGTTAACAATTTGGTTAGGATGCTTTTGGATGTTCAAACACACACACACACAATTATATTTTATTTTAAACATCAATGAGATTGCTTTATTTTCTATAATTTTCTTTTTTAAAAAAGCAATTTAGCAATATATTTAAATTTTTTTCATATGAGGACATACATCTCATTATTTTTTTAGCTATTCTTGCATTTTAAAAATATGTGTTTTTTGTTGTTCTTGTCCTATAGAAACCATTTTAGGAACAGTAAAATAAACAGTAAAAAGTAGCCACTGTTAAAATAAAAAACAAATGGAGACCAGCCTTGAAAGTTCCCTGAGTGGACAAAACCATTTTGGCCAGATAAACAAAGCTTAATTTAGCTTATTTTGCAAAACTAAGTTGACCTGGGTCATTTCTTGCTTATGCCTTTGGAAATCATGAGCAAAACTTAAACTGTTTCCCAAGATCGATATGAGGTAACCACTGACCAACTCCCTATCATTTCAGGAAATGCTACTGTTACAGCCAATCTCTGTGAAGAATAAGCAGTCGCTACTCTCTCACTATACAAGCTACTTTATAACAATGTACCCCTGAGCCTCCTCCCGTGTTTTAGTTTGAGCGCTCCTGGTTTGCAAACTGTCTTTTTGGTGTGTATACAACAAACTTTTATTAATTACTACTTTGGTGATTCGTTGGTTGTACTTACGTTATTTCTCAATTTTGGACACCACTTCTGACCCTTACGATATTGGTTTCTCTTTCCCACAAGTGGTAATGAGAAATTTAGCTCACTTATGTTACTTCTCTTTTGTTCTCTTCTGCCTAATCCTGGGTTTTAGTCATATTTTTAATTCTTAATTCTGCATTGAGTGCCTTTAACTTTAAATACTCTCCCCAAATCTCTATTTATTGAGTTACCATTTTTAGATGTATGTTTTGATTTCCCACAATTCAAGAGGATGGCTTACTCTTCCTTCCACTTTTCCCTCTCTTCAGTTTCTAAATTTTTGTCGCCAATATTATTACACTTACATTTCTGTCTTGTAACTGCAGTTAAGTATTTAGTGCTTTACACAGAAATTGATTCTAAAAGTTGAAGGCAAACAAACAGCATTTGATTCATTCTGAAAGTGGAAATCCAATAAACAGCATCTGCTATATTTAATTACATAACCCTTGTTCACCTCAGCCACAGATAGTAACAGAGGAGATGCAACTCTTTATCAAGAAACATGTACTATTCTAAGGAGAATGTTTCAAGTATCAAGGTCAAACAGTGTTTTTTCTGATTATTCAAAATCATGCCACATTTTAATTTGTCCCACATTTGGATAATGCTTTTCTTGCCCCTCCCCTCTCCACATATATCTGGGTTTTTCTGTTTTTGTCTCGTTTTGTAGACAGAAGAAGGTTATTTATCATATCAATTGGCTACTTTTTTCAGGAAGAATGTATGAAAGGCTAATTTTCTTTTTTTTTTTTTTTTGAGGAAGGTTAGCCCTGAGCTAACTACTGTCAATCCTCCTCTTTTTGCTGAGGAAGACTGGCCCTGAGCTAACATCCATGCCCATCTTCCTCTACTTTATACGTGGGACTCCTACCGCAGAATGGCTTTTGCCAAGTGGTGTCATGTACGCACCCAGGATCTGAACTGGCAAACCCCAGGCCACCGAGAAGTGGAATGTGCAAACTTAAGTGCTGCGCCACTGGGCCGGCCCCCTGAAAGGCTAATTTTCAAAGACCTTAAATACCTGAAAATGTTTCCACTGCATTCTCACTCATTATAAATAGTTTGGCTAGGTATGAAATTCTGGGTGGAACATCATTTCACTCAGAATTTTGAAGACGTTGTCTTTGTCTTCTGTCATCTAGCACTGTTGGTGAGAAGTCTGCAAATCTTATCCACAGTCCTTTGTAGATATCTTTTTTTCACTTTGGAAATTGTTAAGATCTTCTCTTTATACTTAACAATCTCAGACTTCATGAGCATATGTCTAATGTAGATATCTTTTAATTTGTTCTGCTTGGCCTTCATCGAACCCTTGCAATTTGAAGACTCCCTGCTCTCTTCAATATGGGGAACTTTTTTTTTGATATTTCTTAGATTATTTCCTCCTTTATTTCATCTCTTTTCACTTTTTTGGAATGCATATTAGATGTTCACCCTTCTGGATTGACCCCATATATCTCCAGTCTTTTCTTCTGTATTTTCTATCTCTTGCATTTTTGTTCTATATTTGAAAAACTTCTTTGACTTTTCCTTCAAATCTTTCTATTCAACTTCTAGTTAGTTTAAATTATATATTTTAGTTTCCATGGACTCTTTTTCGCTCTCTGGTTTTTCATAGCATCCTGTTTTTGTTTTATGGGTACCAGTTCCTGAATTTTCTGAAGGAAATTGGAAATTCTTAAATATTTAATAATGTTTCCCATATTGTCTATTTGTTTTAGAGTTGACTGTTCTGTTTCTTCATCTTGGGTTCTTCTTTGCGGTGATAATTTACCTCAAGTACATGGTGATCTTTGGTTGTCCATTCATTTTTATGAATGAAGGACTAAGTTGATTAATTCAGAGCAACTGCAAGCTCTGGGTGTGTGAGCAGGGCAGGTTGTACCATGCTTCCACTTAAGATGTGAGGATGTGAAGAGGCAGGCAGGCTGGATTTTGCTGCAAATGATGAAGGGCATCAACTAACATTCCGTGGCAGCCAGCATCTTCTAGACAGATTATTTAACTACTTTAGAAATTATTTACCTTTGTTCTTCATGGAGGCAAATGTCACTGTTACATGAGGAGCTGGTGGGGGAAATCTTAAATAACTTTTCTGCAATTAACCATCTTAGACTTTCTAGATAATCAAATTATATGCAAATAATGAGTTTTGTTCTTACTCTTCAACCTGTATGCTATTTCTTTTTCTTATCATCTTGCTTTGGCTAGTGCCTTCAGTACAATGTTGAATTTTCTAAAGGTTAATATCCCAAAAATCTTCACAGAAGACCATCTGAGAGACCCACAGGTTAATTCTTCCTAGGGAAAAAAGGTTTTATTTTTCTGTAAATGGCAATTTGATCTTCTGGAAAAGTGCTTTTTTTTCCCCTGACATCTTGCATCTTTTAGTCCTTATATTAGAAGAAGTATATTCTAAAATTAATGGTCTCAGAGATCTTCCTCCAGTATGAAGAAATAAGTTCATTTAGCCTCTAGTGGATAATGACCATAAACCATGGACAAAACACACATGAACACACATTTTCTCTCTCTTGCTTGCTCATTTGATGGCCTCTGGAGAGGGAACAATGGCAGATTTTGGAGAGTAGTCAAAATTTGGAGGAAACAATTGGCTTAGTGTGAGTTTTCTGATTTTGTGCATTTACTGAGAGGGCAGCCTCCATTAGAGTGGTGGTGGCACAGGATGACCAAAACTCTGATAGAAAGCTTGCCATCTTTCCAGCTGGAGCAATGAGGCAAAGGAACCACAAACAGGGCACTAGAGAGTGAGGGTAAACTCCGGAGTTGAGAGAGCCAGAGAAGAGAACAGGAAATTCAGTTTGCAAAGATTGTGCAAGTCTCTGGCTAATCTCTGAACCATACGCACATGGGCTGTTTGAGAACAGTATAAACTGAATTGCCACCCATTCCAGGCATGACAAAGTTTGCAGGTTTAGTCTTACCAACTTAATTGCCTACTACAGCAAAAATATCAGCCCTCTTTGGAGGTATATAGCAGAATCTAGAATGCTCACAGCATAACATTCACAATTCTAGGATATAATCCAAAATTACTCAATATATGAAGGATCATGAGATAAGACCCATTCTCATAAGGAAAGAAAATCATCAAATATCCAGTCCAGGTGTTAGAGTTACCAAACAAAAACTCGAAAGCAGTCATTATCACTAGGATTAATGAGGAAAAGGAAAATATGCTTATAATAAATGGGAAGATAGGAAATCTCAGGAGGGAACTAAAAAACATAAAAACAAACCAGATGGAAATTTTAGAACTAAAAAATACAATATTTGAAATTTTAAAAATGTAGAGTGGGCTCAATAGTAGAATAGAAATGACAGGGAAGAATCAGTGAATTTGAAGATAGACCAATAGAAATTATCCAACTTGAAGAAGATGGAGAAAAAAGACTGAGTAAATTAACAGCTCCGGGGACATGTGGAACAACCATGAAAGATCTAACCTACATGTAACTGATTTTCAGAAGAAGACAGACAGCAAATGGGTCAGAAAAATATTTGAAGAAACAATGTGCAAAGTTTCCCCAAATTTAGTGAAAGACATAAATTTACAGATTAAAGAACCTTAGTGAACCCCAAACTATATAAATATGAAGAAAATGACATGCAAGCATATTATAATCAAACGAGTGAAAAGCAAAGATACAGAGAAAATCTTGAAAGCAGCCAGAGAAAAACAGTACAGGAAAACAATTCAGCTGACATCCTTTTCCCATCCATCTGGTTTCCACCATGCCAGCGGAATGAATGAAGAACATCAGAAATGGTCAATATCTGGACACACGCAAAAGAGGATTTATTTAAAATACATATGACTGTTTAAAACAAAAACTGTAAATTTTTCTTGTGGAGAAATGTAATATTTATAATGTATTTCATTGTAAAACCCAACAACTAGAGCATAAATAATGTAGGGGGAGTGGGGGTGGGAGTAAATGGACTTACGCAGTCACAAGGTTTCTAAAATATCACGTGGGATAATATTGACTCTAAGTAGAATGTGAAAAGCTAAGGATGTATATGTAATTTGAGAGCAACCACTAAAAAATACATAGAGGTATAACTAAAAAGCCAATGGAGAATTAAAATGGATTTCTAAAATAATCCAAATAATAAATAATAATTGTTCAAATAATCCCAGAGGAGCTGGAAAGGGGAAACAGAAAACAGAGGGGACAAACAGAAAACAAATAGAAGTCATAGTTTCAGAGAAATAGGGCTAGATTTGGGGTAAGCTGTCTCATAACTTTCTATTGGTAGGGGAAGGTAGGAAGTAGGCTACATCTGGAGATGTAGGCTACGTCAGGAGAGCGATGGAGAGCATCGTCAGAATGCTTACTGTTGGGGAGGAAATGAGAGAAGAAATGAAGACACGGAAGAAGGAGAAGCAAGGGAGCTGTCAGAGTTCCAAGGCCCTTCCCAGTACAGACGCATGTCACTCAGACACTAGATACTCTTCTTACACTGGGAAGTGAGGTTGCTTCTCATTCTGGATTTGAGACCCTATTCTAAACTGTATGGTTCAGTGCCTTGAAACTTAATCCCCAGCCTGCATGCCCCACGCACACTTTTGCTTGCTGTTCCATCCCCAAAAGCCCTCTGCACATAGACCTTTGGGGCTATACACTTTGCCTTCTCCCTAGAATGTGTTGGGGATGGTCTTGGCCTGGTACTTGGTCTTGAACCTTGTTTCAACCTCATTTGGACCCTGACTTTGGCTTCCTCTCAGTACTTAGGGTATGCATGTGTGTCAACCATTCACTCGGGCAGTGTCTCTTAACAGTTCTGCTTACTTGCTGTCCTGGCTCCCCGTCCTGGCTTGTCCTGGCTTGTCCTGGCTTTCTCCTGCCTGTGGCTACCCAACACTTGATAGAAGAGACCCGGGCACCAGAGAAGGAGCCAGTGGACAGGAAGAGAGCCAGGAGTCTGAAGCGAGCAGTAGGAGGAGAAGCAAGGTCTTTGAGGAGTTGGAGGTATACCAGGAAAATCTCGACATGAAGGGGTTGGAGTGTAGAATATTCTTTCGTCACACCTGGAGACTAAAATTCCACCAGATGGCGACATTTTCCTATGAAATTCATGCAAGTGGTCCCCTTGAGACTTGGAAGTGATTTCTCATGTTAAAAGTGTTTTATCTGCTGCTAAAAATTCAGACAGTAATGGCAATGATTTTTGTTAAGGGTGAGAAGACAAACCAGGGAAGGGCTTTATCCGCATATGGTTGCCCAATTAGTTATAAAAAGGTGAGTCATGGAGCTGCATATTCTGCTCAAAGAGGCAAATAATAAGGCGGCTGGTTCTGTTCATGAAAGCAAGCTCCAGGGTCTATGTGGAGTCAGGATGGACTGGACCAGGATGTCACATTAACCGATTATAACAATCACATTAAGTGATCCTTGAGATGTTACACCTTGTTTATTCTTTCTTTGTCTGAGGCAACAGCAGACATAGCCTATAAAATTCCCAAGAAAGGAGTTGAAAAAAATCACTGCACACTTTTAACCTTTAATTCATGAAAAATCTCAGAAATTGTCTTCCAAAAGTCAGTTTTTATATACTAATTGTGTGCGATGTATAGCCAATTTTATAAAAGATGAAGCCTCAGGAGGGCTAACTTACAAAACCCTATTTAATTTATAAGATAGAATATTGAATCTTTGAATGAAAATAAGAAATCCCACCATTCTAATATTAACAAATGGAAAAATTATAAACTAACTTATGCGTAACTATTAATTTATATATAATTGCATTCATGGCTGATCCTCCAGTAACGGAAATGGTGTCAGGCGCGCTGTGAGTGCTGACGGACCGTCTGAATGAATGGATGTAGACCAAGTTAAATAGTGAAGAAGAGGCTTCTTGTTCCTCAGATGGTGCCCAAACTTTCTCAGTTAAAGGTCTTAGGTCTACTTCTGGTTGTAAATACTTTGGACAAAGAAACATTGTTGTGGTCCCTCTTCTGCAACCTTTTGACCCACAGTTATAGTCGCATTGTATCACTAGTCCTCTGTACATACACATCCACACCAGGGGATACATGCTTGCATGTGTAGCAAGCTGTATTTTCTGTTATTTTTCTTTTCTCCTTTCCCTTGTTGGGTTGAACATTTTTATACAGATGGAATTCTGATTATGGGGGGATCAGCCCTGAAAAGATGTTACGAGGATGCCTTAAACCAGAGGAAATGGAAGAGGGCAGGGGCGATCCTATCGTTTGCCTTGGTTACAAGGGTTACTTTAAGCTGATGTATAAATATGAGCCTCAGGGCCTTTATAGAACTAGCTTGTCTCGTCACACCGGCTCTTCAATTTCTGCACCCTTGATTGCTTGGCTGTAGCATTTGGGTGACGTAGGTCAACTGGGAATAGCTTCTCTGTAAACAAAACAAAATCCATGATCTTCAAGGTTCATCTTTTTAAAAAGATCAACAAATGAAGAGGAGCTGCACTGAGCATCTGGCACAGTATACGACTCTCAGAGTTCACAGGCTCTGCCCCGTTCCGTGCTTTATCTCCACATCATCTCTATTTTAATGCTAGCACAACTTCACAGGCTGTCTGTCTAGACCGCATTCCCAAGCTCCCAGCCTGTCTTCCTGTGGCATGGACTGAAGTGTGAAAACCAAAAATGAAAATCCAACTGAAGCAGAGTTTAATGTAGTATTATATTTTGTATTAGATTATTTGAGCATCTTGAGTGGTTTTCTTTCCTTTGAAAAAGTTCACTTTTCTGATTGTAAAAATAATGAAAGGTCGTTGTAAACAGCTATGGAATACCAAAAAGTATAAAGAAAATGAAAATGATATATAATCTCACTACTTGTACATAAACTCTGTGTATTTCCTTTAAGACTTTTCTCTATGCATCTTTTTATTTTATATTATTGAGATTTAAAGTATATATATATATATATATATATATATATATATATATATATATATGGGTGTACTGCTTTAAAAAATTTTTTATTTACTTACCTCCCCTTTCTTGTTTTTCTCTCTCTCTGCTATAAGTTCAGCCCTTCTTTTAGAAATCATATCATCCTGTTAAGGAAAAAGACATTTAAAACCTTTAACGAATAATGATAAAATTACTTTCTATGTATTAATATTTTTTCCCAAAGTGGGAATACCATTTGGATGGAATGATGGTGAGCTTTCCAGAAAAGTATGTGATGGTGGTAATCATGTTACTTACATCTTTGTACCTCTGGATCTCTCGGTCGGCTATTTCCCTCCTGAGGGATAAAGAGCACTTGGGGTCAGTCGCTCTTTCAACAAATTTTAGAACTCCTTTTCAAAATTTATTACTTATTTGTTTGCTTTAGGTGGAGAGGTGGATTTTATATGTGGAGAAATAGGAAAATACTTGGAGACAATTTGTTGAAAATGAGAATTTTTTATCATACTATTAAAATGGAATAGGCTAAAAAATCTAAAAATACATAAACATATAAGGAAAGTGCAGGTACTTTGGATATGTTCACAGACATGGTGGATGGGTGGTCCTCCAGGCTTTCTAGAGGCCTCCAAATCTACTGCAATGGATCCATTGATACGGCCCCCAAGTTTACATGAAAATTAATCAGCACCCTTTGGGTTTCGAAGCTTATTAGCTCGGGACTCTCGAACTGGTGTCCCTTTAAATCCTGGGAGATCAGAGTAGTGGCTACAGACATACCCCCGGGGCTCTGGTCTTGGCCAACAGGAGCCTGTTGCTTTTATCTGGCAATTACTGAGTATATATTCCAGAGAATTTATGTTTTTCTGACATTCAAGAAATATTGGTAGATAGAATTATAAAACTGAATGGAATCAAATTCATTTAGTTTTTGAGCCCCCAGAGAGATTCTGTAGCTCTTTAGAGGGTAAGAGTTTACAAAAGCTCTTATTATTTCCTTTTTTGTTTTTTTTAAGATTGGCACCTGAGCTAACAACTGTTGCCAATCTTTTTTTTGTTTTACTGCTTTATCTCCCCAAATCCACCCTGGTGCATAGTTGTATATCTTAGCTGCAGGTCCTTCTAGTTGTGGCATGTGGGACGCCGCCTCAGCATGGCCTGATGAGCGGTACCATGTCCGTGCCCAGGATCCGAACGGGTGAAACCCTGGGCCACCACAGTCGAGCGTGAGAACTTAACCACTTGGCCATGGGGCCGGCCCCATATTTCGTTTTTTTAAACCAGAGTTTACCATAGGTGCTTTAACTGTAGAGTTGTGAAAACAGTCTCCTTTGTGTTTTCATAACATACACAGAAACCACTGTATACACCTCAAAGAAATGCAAAGCATACACAGTAACACACATACATACTCTGAGTCTATTTTTCCTCTGATCCTTTCACTCAAATAAGTAGTGGTCAGGGAATTTTAACTAATTATTCTATGTCTGCCAGGTGCCATCACTGTTCTGAGCATTGCAATATATAGTCTTTCATTTTCTGCTCAAAACACACTGCAAGGCAGACAGTATTATCCCCCTGTAAAGGGGAGATAACAAAATCGGAGGGTTTAACTCATGTAATGCCACATGGCTAGTGTGAGGATGGAGTCAGAAGCTCCCAGATAAGGGAATAGAAAAGCATATGGTATGTTGGGTGTTGAGGAGGAGGGTTTGTATTTGTTCCAACTGAGAAAGTTAGAAAGAGGGTTTGGAACAAGATTGGGAGAGCTTTAAATGTCAGACTAAGGAGTTCAGACCTTAATGGGTGGCTTGATCAAAATAGACTTTTAGGAAGATCAGTCTGGAGGTAGCCAGAAGGATGGCCTGGAGGGCCCAGGGATGAAGCCAGGAAGGATGATTAGGAGGTCACTGTAGGAGCGCTGGGTGTGAGCTGAGAGGGATCTGAACCAGGGCAGCATGGTGTGTGTGAAAAGAAGGAGCAAATGCATGAGGTTATAAACTAGCTCCTGAAACCTGCTCTGTCCTGTTCCCTATCCTGAAAATTCTAAGGGTATGGAATGTCTAGGTTGGAGCTTCATTGCCCCAGAGATGCTCTGTCCAATATGGTAGCTACCAGCCACTTGTGGCTATTTATATCAAAATTAAATAAAATTGAACATTTGCTTTCTCAGCCTGACTAAGCCCATTTCAAGTGCTCAATAGCTACATGTGTGGCTAATGGCTGCTGTATTGGACAGTGAAGATACAGACCATTTCCACCATCACAGAGAGCTCTGTGTCAGCGCCCGTCCAGAGGTGCCAAGTCCCACAGTGAGGTAACACGCAATGGGCTCTGGCGTGCCTTCTTCTCTTTTCCATTCTTAAGCTTACAAAGCCTCTTGCTGGCAGACACTTTGGTCCATTTTCTTCGGAGAGGTCGGGCAGCAGAAAAGGGAAGACTGTCATCAAGAACAATGTGAAGAAGGGTATCTGTCCACATCTCTCCTTACTTCCATGGTTCTTGGACAGCTGACAGCTTGGCTTGCCTGATTTTGCATGGCACAGGGATGGCCTGGGACACGCAACCTCAGTGTGGTGGAGCAGAGGGAGGGATGGCAGCGCCCTTGAAGGGATTTCCTCCAGTTAACCCCAAGATGAGAAGAACTTGACAACTGTGTCTCAGCAGTGAAAGAGGAACTTCACGGTTTTTAACACTTTGGCTGTCTATAATTTCATGAATATCAAGTTGTGAGAATGTTTTAAATAATTTAAGTCACAGTATCTCAGAATTGGAATTAACTGATTAACTCTCTGACACTACAGAGAGCTTTCTTCCATACTATCCTTGCCAAATGTCTATTCAGTGTATGCTTACCTATTGACAAGTAGCTCACCGCCTTCAGCCTTGGTTCTTTAGGAAAGTCTTACCAATAATGAAATACGTCTCCCTTTACCTTCCTCCGATCAACGGTAGTTCCTACCCTTGTGGCCACATGGAACAACCACAAGCTCTCTTCAGCATGGAAGCCCTTCAGATAATTTAACACTGCTCTATGTTGCATCTTGGTCTTCCTAGTTCCAGATTTGAAAGCCCCATTCTTTCTACCCGAGGCCAGATCTATGGATTTTCCCTTTCAAGACATGTCATATAAATGGAATGAATCATATAGTATGTACTTTTCTGCCTGTCTTCTTTCACTCAGGACAATGATTTTGATATTCACCCATGTAGTAGGTTGGATGAATGTATCAATAGTTCATTCTTTTTAAATATTGAGTACTATTCCATTATATTTATATATTTATATTTAAATATTGAGTACTATTCCACTTATTTAGCTTTATAAAATTGTAAGATATTTAAAGTATACTCCATGATGATTTGATATACATATACATTGTGAAGAGATTCCTCCCATTTAGTTATTAACATATCCCTCATTTTACATATTTATCTTTTTTTTTTTTTGGTGACAACACATAAGTTCTACTCTCTCCGCAAATTTCAATTATTCAATAGAGTGTTATCAACTATAGTCCCCACATTGTACATTAGACCCTCAGATCTTGCTCACCTTATAGCTGAAAGTTTGTATCCTTTTGCCAACCTCTCCCTATTTATCCCACCTTCTGGCCCCTGGCAACTACTCTTCTACCCTCTGTTTCTATGAGTTTGATTTTTTTTTTTTAAGATTCTACATTTAAGTGATACTGTGTAGTATTTGTCTTTCTGTATCGGCTTATTTGACTTAGCATAATGCTCTCAAGGTTCACCCATGCTCTTGTAAACACCAGGCTTTTCTTCTTTCTCATGCCTGAGTAATATTTAATTGCATATATATACACCACATCTTCTTTATCCAATCATTTGTTGACAGACATTTAGGTTGTTTCCAGATTTTGGCTACTGTGAATGATGTTGCAGTGAACATGGGAGCGCAGGTCTCTCTTCAATGTGCTGTTTTCATTTCCTTTGGATGTGTACCCTGAAGTGGAATTGCTGGATCATGTGGTTGTTCTATTTGTAATGTTTTGAGGAACCTCCATACTGTTTTCCATAGTGGCTGCACCAATTTACATTCCCACCAGCAGTGCATCAGGGTTCCCTTTCTCCACATCCTCGCCAACATTTGGTATTTCTTGTCTGTTTGATGATAGCCATTCTAACAAGTGTAAGGTGATATCTCATTGTGGTTTTGATTTGTATTTCCCTGATGATTAGTGAAACTATTGGTTTTTCTCATGTACCCTATTGGCCATTTGTATGTCTTCTTCGGAAAAATGTCTATTCAGTTCATCTGTACATTACTTAACTGAATTGCTTGGGTTTTTTTGTTTGTTTGTTTTGAGGAAGATTAGCCCTGAGCTAACATCTGCCTACCAATCCTCTTTTTTTTTTGCTGAGGAAGACTGGCCCTGAGCTAACATCCATGCCCATCTTCCTCTACTGTATATGTGGGACGCCTGCCTCATCATGGCTTGCCAAACAGTGTGCAGGTCTGCACCTGAGATCCGAACCGGTGAACCCTGGGCTGCTGAAGCAGAATGTGTGAACTTAACTGCTGTGCCACCGGGCTGGCCCCAAATTGTTTGTTTTTTGATATTGAGTTGTGTGAGTTCTTTATATATTTTGGATTTTAACTCCTAATCAGATACATTATTTCCAAACGTCTTCTCCCGTTCTGTAGGTTACCTTTTCATTTTGTTAATGGTTTCCCTTGCTGTGCAGAAGCTTTTTAATTTGACATAGTCCCACTGGTTTGTTTTTGCTTTAGGTGTCAAATCCAAAAAAAATCATCATCAAGACTGATGTCAAGGAGCTTACCCCTTATGTTTTCTTGTAGGAGTTTTATGGTTTCAGGTCTTACATTCAAGTCTTTAATCCATTTTGAGTTGATTTTTTGTATAGTGTAAGATGGTGGTCCAGTTTCATTCTTTTGCATATGGCCGCCAGGTTTTCCCACCACCATTTACTGAAGAGACTATTATTTCCCCATTGTATAGTCTTGGCTCCTTTGTTGTAAATTAATTGATGCTTATGTGTGGAATTATTTCTGGGCTCTCTATTCTGTTCCATTAATCTCTGTGTCTAGTCTGCTATTGAACCCATCTGTTAAGTTTTCCAGTTCAGTTGTTCCTTAGCTCAGTGATTTCTGTTTGATACTTTCTTATATTTGCTATCTCTGTTGAAATTCTCACTTTGCTCGTGCACTGTTCACCTGACACTGGTGAGCATGTTTATGACCATTATTTTGAACTCTTTATTAGGTAAATGACTTATCCCCATTTCAATAAGGTCTGTTTCTGGAGTGTTACCTTGTTCTTTTGTTTGAAACACATTCCTTTGTTTCTTCATTTTCTTTCACTCTGTGTTGGTGCCTGCACATTAGATAAAACAGCCACCTCTCCCAGCCTTGAGGGAGTAGTCTGTGTAGGAGGTGAACCTTATCCATCAGCCTGGTCCGAGCTCTTGGCTGTCTCTCAAATCTTTGTGATTGTCCAAGACGTCTTCTTTGTTCTTAATCTCCCCGTGGGTGAGGGAGTGCCACGCTCTGTCAGTGACCTAGTGGAGAGGATCCAGTCAGCACACACTGATTGGGAGCTGGACCCTCAGGCAGCAGCTGTTTTGATGTGGGTGCTGTGGGTATTTTCTCATTTACTCAATGTGTGGAGTCACTCAGCTAGTCTCTAGATTTCTTTTAGAGCAAATTACTTCGCGTGTAGCTGTAGATTCAGGATGTCCGTGGGAGAAGGTGAGTTCAGGAGGTTCCTATGTCACCATCTTGGACTGGAACCCAGGGCACCCTCTCTGAATGTCTACCATGTTTTGCTTATCCATTCATCAGTTGATGGACATTAGGTTGTTTCCACTCTTTAGCTATTATGACTAATGCTGTTATGAACATTCATATACAAATTTTTATATGGACATGTTTTCATTTCTGTTAGATTCTTAGGAGTGGAATTTCTGGGTTCCCTGTGAAACTTTTGAACACTTTATGAATTCTCCTCAGACTACAGTTTTAGAAAAGACGCTCTAAGCTAATATCGGGATTTATTTCACTATAGGCTAACATGGCCTTAATGGATGGTGGCATCATTCCAGGAGCTGGTGAAAAAGCCACTGAAAATTTTAATTCTTTGTGTTTCCAGATCTGCTCCACTGGTTGCCTCTTGCACTTTGCTCCTGGATCTGTTATAAGGATCCTCTGGTGCTACCACTAACTTTAATTCTATTTGGAGAGAGAAACATTAACACATTGATAATCACATAGGCCTCAAATAATTCTTAACTTTTTAATTATAAATAGTCTTAATAATTGATGAAAAGTATTTTCATATTGATTGTGATATTAAAATCAGGAAACAATATTTTTGTAAAGACCATTTTATAAATTGAATAGATGCTGAACAAATTTACTCCCATGCTTTTGTACTGGATACATACCTTGATTTTTGCCTTTATTTCTTTGATGAGTTTTTTCCTGTCTAATTTCTTCTTTTGTTTCTGTTTCCACTTTTCCATTTGGGAAGGAAGGAGGCGTTCAGAAATATCTTGATCATCAACTTGTATAATAACAGCAGCATCCGGGAAAAATCCATGTTCCCCCAGAAACTGGGCCTCATCAGGATACCGAGGGAAACCATCTAATATAAAACCTGTGGAACTAGGTGGAAATTTCATTATTTACTTTATTTGCTTCAAATATTATATTATAAATATTAACTTAAAAATGAAAAAAGCATTGATAAATCAACTTTATATAAGATGTGTGATGAATAGTTTAAAAAGTTTACTGTGGTATCTTTTTTTTAATATTTCTACTTGTGTAAACATGGTGTTTCTTCTCCCAAATATATTGAATTAGATTAAAATTATAATGTTTTATACTTATATTTATAGCACAGACAAGTTCTCTTTAATTGTAAATAATCTTAATATTTGATGAAAAATTAAGAGAAAATAAATTCTCTGCTTGGGAGGAATGCCCAGCCTAACGAGTGAATCACTTTTTATGTAAAGAGTATGCTTGGCCAGCTCACCTTTAGAGGGAATCTTCGTCATTTAGTAGTTTTTCTTCTAATAATGCTTTCTTTCATGAGACAATTCATACCCTCTTCCCCGGGTCCCCCTATAACCAATGACAATTTTTTTTTGAAGAAGATTAGCCCTGAGCTAACTGCCGCCAATCCTCCTCTTTTTGCTGAGGAAGACTGGCCCTGAGCTAACATCCATGCCCATCTTCCTCTACTTTATATGTGGGGCGCCCACCACAGCATGGCTTGCCAAGCAGTGCCATGTCCACACCCGGGATCTGAACCGGTGAACCCTGGGCCGCTGAAGCGGAATGTGTGCACTTAACTGCCGCGCCACTGGGCTGGCCCCGGCAATTATTAATATATGTATCCTGGCTCATATGTGTAAGATGATTATATTCAAATAGGATTTTCAGACTTGCCCAAGTATGATGAAACTTTAAGGATCAGGAAAATAATTGGAATGTTAACACGTTTTCATTGTGGAGTACTTATAAAACAATCAGGCTTTGAGATCTTGGCTCTGTTTAGTTGAGAGAGTCAATATTGGTCCCCTTTTGAATAAGAGTTTATCTTGTTTACCTAAAATTTGGTTTGTTTTAAATGTTTACATTTAAACATGTTTTCTTCTTAATTTGAACAAGGCTTTCATGAGCATTTGAGAGTTTCAGCCCTTAACTGACATTTAAAGATGTTTCCCATCTTATTAAACGGGCAACTTTCCATAGATTGGCTGTAAGATATGTGTCCTTTTCTTTAGAGATGCCTTCAGCACAATCTCTTCTGGGAGGAACTGTTTCATTCCTATGGTTCCAGCTGTCATTTCTTTGTCAATGACTTAAAAACCTTTATCTCTACACCCAACCTCTCTTCTCAGTTTTGATTCAGAATTTTCAAAAAGCTGCTTAGTTTCTCCATCTGAGTGTCCTTCAGGAATTACATATGCATCATACTGTCAAAAATCAGACCACTGTTACACCTTCACTCTGCTCTTCCTTCTGACTCACTAGTACTCAGGTGCCAAACTTCACAGGCATTTGCACCCCTCCCTCAATTCTCTTACTTCTTACGCATAATAGCTAAGTCCTGGCATGCCATCTTCTGTACCCACATTTCTATTTCTACCATTACACCTTAGTTCAGGCTCTCATTATGTTTCTCCAGGACTAATGCAATAGCCTTTTTAAAATGTGTTCAATCTTTTCCTGATTATAAAAGCAACAAATCCCACCATAGAAAAATTGGAAAATAAGAGAAAAGAATAAAAAAGACAAAGTTATCCATAATCTTATATCCCAGAGGTTATTGACATGTTGTTTTGTTTCTTTACAGTTTGTTCTTCATATGTACATCTATCATTCTATAAATGATTTTGCATTTACTTTTTCAAACTTAACATTATATAATAACATTTCTCATGGTATTACAAATTCTTTATTATAATAAATTTTAATGGTTGCATAATATTCAGCTATTTTATTTAGGCTTTTACCATTTCACTTTTTACTTTCAATTCTTCAATCGATATGCTTTTTTTTTTTTTAATGTATAGTGTGAGGTCCGGAGCTAAATTAATGAAGAACAACCCATGTGTTGCAGGCAACCTGCGTATGTGTACTATAACTATTGATCTAATTGAAGGAAGAGAAAATTAAAATCAAAGCTGACGAGTAACAATCCCCCTCACTCATTTAGGCCAGGGACTAAGCAAACGAGAGTGCCCAGGGAAGCACGGGGAATGGCCAGTTATTTGAATTCTCTATGATATAGTTTCCTTATCTCCAAAACGAGATAATAAAGGTTTCTATCCCATAGGGTAGTTGTAAGGATTAAGTAAATGGATATGAATGAGATAGAGTAGAATAGTACCTGGCACATAGTAAGTTCCATATAAGTGTTTGCTGTTATCAGTACTATAAATACCATTTCACTTTCTTCTGGTGGATTCCAGGGCAAGAGATTCTGGTTAGGAAATCGAGGGGAAGTTTTAAACTCTGGTGACCTGACCTGGAGAGTCTTAAGCTTGTCCTGTCTGGGGTCAGGCTCGTTCATGGCTTTTGGCAAAGGGATAACACTATGGACAGCTATTAAGTGGTCTTAATTGTAATTGTTAAAAGGCTACAAGGAAGACTCCAGTCCATCACTAGCACACATGGGTTTAGAACATGAGTTCTCCACCTCGACTACACATTAGAATCACCTGGGGAGCTCCCCAAAAATACCGATGGCTGGGTCCCAATCTCACACTCCTAGAGATATTGATTCAATTGTTCTGGGGTGGGGACTCCGGTATCAGTATTTTTAAAACAATTCTCTAGATGTTTTTAATGTGTAGAATCACCAATTTACACCAGTATAAAGGAGAAAATTCTTAAATTTGTGTTGGATTGCATTTTTAACATTTAATAATAATGCAAATAAAAGTCAGTAAATGTATAATCTAATATCAATTAAGATACCGTATTGGTTCTTGAAGCCACCACTCAGAAAGAATTACTTCAAGAATTTCGGGAGGCAATGGCTCATTTTCCATTAGACTTGCTCGGATTGTTTCTTCTTCATCTGTAAGTTGTACTTCTGGAGGCTAAAAACAAGAATCAGAAAAGAAACCCCCCAAATTTAAAATTCCATATTAATAAATAATACTATCTTTACATAGTTGATTAGGATAAGACCTCTTTTTCTCAGGTCATTTTTTTATACCATTGCTTGTGAACATTTAAAAATTTTCTTTAAACTAATGTTTAATACGGTTTTAAGTATTAAATTATATCTACTGTAGCTAAGGGGAGTTACCAGTGATGAGCATGATTGATTTTCATACATGGTCTCAGGATATCTGTCTCATCACTTTTTGCTAAAACCTTGTTCAGTCTATACCACACACCTATAAGGCTTAACTGACTTTTGTCATCTCTCTTAAAATTATTCAACCTAGATCTTGATTAAAGGATGGGCCAGCCAGGTAGTCATCTGGAATACAATCTGTACCTGCGTCCATTTACGGGGGAGCATTTGAGAAGAAAAGGGTCTTGCTATACGAGAATTGGTTAAAAAGTGAGTTAGAATTAAGAACTTTCTCTTTACAACCCCAGATAGAAACCACCTAAGAAACACATACAAACTTTCTTCTGAGGCATCATTGGAATTTAAAATTTTGAGATCTCTACTCGCGTTGGGGCAGACTTTTATGATATTTGATAGAAAACCAAGAACATAATAATGGAAAATCTTATATTCTAGGTCAGACATATCAAATCAAATAACATAGTCCCAAATAAATGCTGTACAACAGTCTTGTCAGGGAAAGCTTTTCCAATTTTTCTTGCAGTCATGTAAAACTCAGTATTTTATGTTCTAGATGAGCAATAAAATCTTTATTTAACACATGGGGAGGATGATTCTTAAATGACTTTCACGGGTTATTTCTTCTTCTTCTTAGAAACCGCTTATATTTTACTTCCCAAAAGTAATGCCTGTAAGCACAAATATCTGCCAAGAGAGTATTAATATTACTACCGGCTTCTTGGTGTTTTCTTCCTCAATCGTAATGTTGGCCTGACTTGCCAGCTCTTCAAGTTCTTGTCTTGCAAGTTGTTCTTCCTCAGAATCTTCCTCAAATCCAGGTCCAATTTTCTTCTCAGTTTTGAGCATTAGTTTTTCTTGAAGAAACTCTTCAAACTGAATGTGGAAAATGCCCAGTTTTTCTGCCAGCTGTCGTCCACAGACAGTTTTGCCAGAGCCGTGCGGACCCAAAAGGCATATTCTTAATGGAGGAGCCTGCCATGGAGGGGTGGGTCAGGGAGAGGTAGGGCAGAAGAAGAGTGAAAAAAAGGAAGTTTTGAGTAATTTAGAAAACATAAGACTTCTTAACTGCCCTCCCTAAGACTGAATTATCACTTCGCAAACTCAAGGATATTTCCACATTAGGATATCAACTAAAATGATACATTGCATCAACAATGGCCCTCAGGGAGCATCAACAACCATAAGATCATCTAGATATCATGTGCCAGAAGGAATTTAATAAAATAATATTAGTTTTGTTTATTTAGAGAAGTTTTAATTTAAAAAAAATGGAAAGATACTTTCTTAGCATGATAAAAAAAAATCTCTCTACCAAACAAATAGCCCATTAATAATGAAACACTAGAGACCCCTTCACTAATTTCTACAATCTTCGTATAGGAGATGAGGGCGCCAGAAGCCAGAGAACCCACTGAGATGCAGTTGTACGGATTGTCCATCGGATGATGAAATTGTCATGAACAGTGGTGAGAGTTGGGATGAATCAGCAGCTAAATCTTTTGTGCACGTGGGGAAATGACTATGAAATTGGTAGGTGACACTAAGGGGAACAGGGAGAATGTGATGTATGTGGAGAGAATGAGCCCCAAAGGGGCTGGAAGTAATGGATTGAGAACAGCAGAGAGAAGCAAGGAGCACAGCCTCATCACCGTCTGTCCTTGGGAAGGAAACATTCAGAGAAGAGTGTAAAGATGCAAGGAAAAAATACACCAGAGAAATACAGAAGAAAGAGCAGTTACGTAACTCAGAGACTAGGGAAAAAAAAATTTTTTTTAAAGAAATTTAAGAGGTTTAAGAAGATAGCAAGTCCACAAGAGAGGAAGAGAATATTTGAAACAAGAACTATCAGAGAAATGAAAGAGTTTTAAGATTAAAAATATGATTGCTAAAGTAAAAAGTTCAACAGTACTGTGAAATTCTAGGATTCCCTAGCACGAAAAACATGTGATTTCAGCTTAAACATGCACTGTGTGTTCAGTGCAATGAATAAAAAAGATCCTGAACAGTTTTAAGAACACAAAGAATGAAAAGAAGCTCTTAAGAGCTTTCAGATACTGAAAAAATAAAGCTTACCTACAAAGGGATTAAAATAGCCTAGAGACACTGGATGCTAGCACACAGTAAAGCAATATCTTTAATATTCTGAAAGGGAGTGATTTGCAACCTGGAATTCTATGCTCATACAAATTGTCAAATATATATAGGAGCCAAAGGATGACATTTTCAGATATGAAGAGAGTTAGCTGAAAATGTGTTTCAACAAAACAAGAGTTTGAAAATCCCACAGAAGCAAGAGGAAGACACGATATAAATATCTGCTGATTTTGCCACCCGGCATTTATTCATTCTTCTGTTAACCATATCTGGATTCCCCTCTGGGAGACCACCCTTCATCACTCTCAGTTTACGTGCTGCTGGTGGAATTGATTCCATCATTAGTTCAAGAATTGGGCATGTGACAAGACTCAAGTCAACTGAGGCCTCACAAAACAAGTAACGCAAAATAGAGAGACTTGAGAACGGTATGAAATTATGTAGCTGCAGTCTCACACCATACTTTTAGATCACACTTTAAATCCCTCAGCGATAAAATTGCTGGAGTAACATCTCCCTCACTGACAGGTTAAACTTTGGGCAATTAGAGCCGTCTGGAATTCAGAGCATATTAAAGAAGCTGGTTAGTGAAGAAAAATGTTGCTGGCAAACCCAGCATACTTGATGCTCTGCAGAAAACCTGTAAAATCACTATCAAGATTTCAGGCTCTTATCCACATGGATTTGTATAAAACAAAGCAACAGATCACAAGCAGCAAAACAGACTGAGAGGAAATAAAGCAAGACCAACAAAAAGAAAAGGCCACAGTCCTTAAATGACTCCTAACACCAGCAGTGCGGGAAGGTACAACCACCCATATATGCCAATAGTCCCCATGGGCACCATATAAAAATGGAGGTTCATGAAAATGCCCAAATGATCCAGAAGAGTTTAAATCATGTTCTATATGTTCTGTTTAAGAAGGCATTGCTGCTATTGAAAGTAGTGACAATTTATTGTGTTCTATATATTTTGATTTTGCAATCTAGGGAATTATACTAACAATATAATTCAAGAGAAACAAAGGACAATATGCCCAAAGATTTCCTCGACGCTATTTCAAATTCATGATGGCAAAATCACGCTATGAAAAATACTGTGAAAAAATGTCTAACAATAAATTGGATGTTTAAATGGTATATCAAAAGGATTAAGCATTATGAGATCTATGTAAAAATATGTAAACTTTTATTGATATAATGTTAAGTGAGAAAACAGATTGTAAAATAGAATATGCATTGGGAAGAATATATATTGATGTGGAAGAGGATGAGAAAATAAAACATAAAAATGAAGGCTCTTGTCTAAAGCTGGTACAGTTATGTGTGCACTTTATTTTAGAAAATGAATAAAATATTGCCATAATGTATTCTTTTATTATTGCGGTAAAATAAACATAACATAAAATTTACCATTTTAACCATTTTCAAGAGTGTATTCAGTGGCATTAAGGACACTCACAATGTTGCACAACTATCGCCACTCTCTCTCTCCAGCACTTTTTCATCGTCCCAAAGTGGAACTCTGTACCCATGAAACAAGAACTCCCATCCCCCCCTCCTCCTAGGCCCTGGCAACCACTATTCTATTCTCCGTCCCTGTGAAATTGCCTATTCTAGGTGCCTTGTATAAGTGGAATCATACAGTATTTGTTCTTTTGTGTCCGGCTTTAACAAATATTTTTTAAAGAATATAGAAAACTGTTCCAATGGTGATAAACAAGTAAGAAAAAAAACGTTCCCACAAACTTAGGAAAACACTGATTGTTCTAAAGCCATGGCAACAGTAGCCACTTGATCCAGTTTTAAAATGGTTTAATTATCAAGGACAACTCACCTCAGAGAACATTGTTTTGTAACCCAACAAATCAGAGTCAGCCCTCACTCCTGAGAGTCAACCAGTTGGGCGTGGACTTGCCCCTAAAATCATGTCTCTGGGTGTGAACCAGGTCAACAACGGTAATCCCACATCTACAGACGTCAATCCACTGAAAGTCCACTGACCCCTGAATCGCACCCTTCCCCAGAATCCTTGTAATCTTATAATTGACAGACTGCTCTCCTGCAGAGACTAACCAGCATAGCTAGCCTTTAATACAGTAAGCAGCAGATTCAGCCGTCTTTTCACTTCAGCTAAAAAGACAGTAAGTGTTGGTTTGAAACAAGACATTACTGTAGAAATCAAAATAGATAATTATTTTATGTTATATTCCAAAAAGTTGTTCTTGGAACTGAGATATTTTCCCTATATTGTCATATCAGATAACAACGGGGACTTCACTATTAAGTAAAATGGCGGAGGTAATTAATTAGTCCCTAAAAAAGGACTCAGGGCGATCATTAGGACAGGAATATTGTTTTCACCTTTAATGGTTCTTTACCAGCCACGTACTCCTCAGGATGCTCCAAAAACTTTTCTTTAGCTTCAGGACTTGAAAAGTAGTAGATCTTTTCTCGATATTTAGCTGATTCTTCTGTGTTGCATGGCCGTAGGATGAAGTTTTCTTTGAGAACCACTGGGCAAAAGTGTTTTGTGTCTCCCAAATGCCTCCTCTTCTCTTTAATTCTGTCTTCGTTCTAGAAATATTATTCAGAGTTTGGAGAACATTATTAAAAAGTATACTGAAGCAATACTAAACAGAATTTTAAAAAATAATGCATCTGGAATAATATTTAATCCATAACAATACACCTTTAAAACAATCCACAGAAGGCCAGTCTGTATACCATTTTATTTCATTTTAAAAATCAGTTTCTCATATCCTTCTAAGTTCACATCTGAAGCTTCTTTATTTTCAGAAAGATTTTTCATAAAGAAAGCAAAGTAGAACTGAGAGTGAGGAGTCCCCAGACCTCTGCAGACAAAGGTGTGATGAAAAGCCCCAGGATACGCTGGTCTAGGGTCACTACGAGGTCAGCGTCTAAAATAAAATTATTCCCAGGAAGTAAAAACTGAGTCAGGGCCACAACTTCTCCCCCACTGACAATCAAATGGGAGATGCCTCAGGATCTGCTTTGTTTCCTACTAAGTGGGTATGTAATCAAATAAGAATTTGGAAATGCTTTACTTAGTTCAGTTGGAAATGTGTCATCTATTTTCATTTGTGTTAAAAAAAAATGTGTAAAGTCCTTTAAGGATTCTTGCAATTTACTTAAAGCAGTGGAAGTGCATTTAAAAATAATTTTCTGTTTTGTAAAATACATGCTTATTGTAAAAATATTCAAAACACATCACAATGCATAAAAAGTGAAAATCTCCTCTCACCTTTTCCCTTATAATACTATATCAATATGCTTAACAGTTTTATGTGTCCTTCCAGACCCTTTTTTCTAAGCATATCCTACCAATATACATACAAAAATAGACATATATTTAGGCAAAAATACAGTACTTTAAAAAATACCAACGGAATAAAACTTTACATGATTACTCTACAACACGTCCCTTTTTTTCCCCAAAACAAGATATAACGAACAACTTCCTGAAAAGGTGCAAAGATGAGACTAATCTATACTTTTCTTGCACCATTCTTGTTCAGTTTTTGTATCGGGTTATGCAGGCTTCCAAATGAGCTGCGGAGCATTGATCTTTTCCCGTGATGTGGAAGAGTTTAAACAATATCGGAATTATCTCATCAATAAAGGTACATTAGAAATGACCTTTAACTCCCCTCTATTATGTTCGTTTGCTCAACTTTTGTCTTTCTTCCTAAGCAAATTTGAGTAATTGATATTTTGAAAATCTTTCTCATCTTGACTTTAAAATGTTATTAGTATAAATCTCCTGTAATTTTAAAAAGACTTTCTTTTTTATCTGATTATATACCCATTTCTGTTTCAAATGTTATTTATTGTTGCTTCTTTTTACCTTATTCAACTTGCCAGAAGTTTGTCTATTTTATTGCTCATCAGAAAATCAGCTTTTCAGTTTTTGAAATTAGGTCTACTGTTTTTATTTTGTCTTGTTTTCCTGTTTGGTTAATTTTTGCCTTTAATCGTCTTTCTACTTTCTTTTGGTTTATTTTGTTGGTTTTTTCCCAGGTTCTTGATTTGAATGCTTACTTAACTTTTCCACTCTTCTTGTTTTTCAATAAATGCACTTTAAAGAAGGGTTGCCAAATTTAGCAAATAAAAATGCAGGCTCCCCAGTTATGTTTGAATTTCAGTTAAAAAATAATTTTTAGTATGTACCAGACATAAGCATGTACCTTATATAAAAAAATATTTATTTGTCTTAAATTCAAATTTTATTGGGTATCATGGTTTTTTTTAAAATCTGGCAATTCTAATTTCTATTTCTGCCATACAACAAAGCTTTTATATATGATCTTTTAATCAATTTTTTTAATTTTTAATTTTTATTAAAAATTTTAATTTAAAAAATAATTAAAAAATTGTAATTAGTTTTAAATAGACTGTAGTTTCATTTTTGATTTCTTATTTAACTCATTAGCATTTAGAAAGAAAATATGTATATATATATTTTAATTTCAAATGTTTATATTGGGGGATAAGGAACTGTCCTTCTGGGGTTAATTTTTTGTTTTATTGCATTGTGATCAGAGAATCTGGTCTGGAAGATTTCTACTCTTTATAATTTGCTGTGATTTTCTTTGTGAACTCTTACATGAGCATTAAAGAGAATGTTTGCTTTTTATGGGTACAGAGTTCTCTACTGATTAGAATAAGCTTATTTAGGGTGTTTATCAAATCTTCATTATCTTATTTATTATTTGTCTGTGTAAGCTGTCAATTTCTGAGACACGTTAAAGGACTGTACTAAGACTGTACTGCAGTAGCATCATATCCTTGTATCTCTAAGATTTTGTCTCATAAGATTTGTAATTGTTATACTGTCTACATTCCTTATTCCTCCTATTAGCATTGACGAAGATTCTTTGCTTAACCAAACTCTAGTCCTGCTTCTCTGAGCCCTCTTCTCAACCAGGCTTTAACCTTGTTCTATAAAGACTTGCATATTGACAGATGAATGGATAAAGAAATTGTGGTCTATGTATATACAACTGAATATTATTCAGCCATAGAAAAAGAAGGAAATCCTGCCATTTGTGGCAACTTGGATGGTCCTTGAGGATATTATGCTAAGTGAAATAAGCGAGACAGAGAAAGACAAATGTTGTATGATTTCACTTATATGTGGAATCTAGGGGGAAAAAAAGCCAAACTCATAGAAACAGAGAACAGAATGGTAGTTGCCAGGGGTCGAGGGGTACAAACTCCCAGTTATAAGATGAATAAGTTTTGGGAATCTTAATGTACAGCATGGTGACTATAGTTAACAGTAATGTATTATCTACTTGAAAGTTGCTAAAAGAATAGATCTTAAATGTTCTCATCACCAAAAAAAATTGTAATTATGTGAAGTGGTGGACATGTTAACTAACCTTATGTTCGTAATCATTTCATAATATATACATAAATCATCATGTCATACACCTTAAACTTACAAAACGTTATATGTCAATTATATCTTAATTAGGCTGGAAAAAAAAAGACTTAAACACTAACATAGTTTCTAACAGCTCAAGGCCACCTCCCTGAGATGACCCTACCCCCACCTTAAAGTGTCTGCCTGAGAAAACTCAGGGCTGCCCCCAAAATCTACTGTTTGTTCCAGCCAACACCTGAGGACAGGGCCCCTGTCTCCCAGTCTCTGTGGGAGCACAGAATCCTAACTTCCACAATTGCCAGCTAGCAGACATGGCTGGTCTAATCGAGTTTCCACTGACTAACCCCTCATGAATTTTCACTTTCCCGACTCTACGGAGCTCCTGCTTGTCCCCCTCCTTACTCCCTAATTCTCCCTGTAAAACGTCCAGTCACCTCTGTACAAAGTGGAGTTCAGTTCACAATTGCAATAGTTATTTCTGATTAAAATCAGTCCTAATCTCTTTAACTAGTACCTGGCTTTGTTTATCGTTGACAATATAAAATATCTTTTTTGTTGTTTTAATGCATTTCTCCTTGAATTCGAGTTTTACTGATATTCAGAATGTCATTTCTTCTTTTTTTTTGCTAGCATTTGCTTTTCATATCTTGATCCCATTTGAGTCATTTTGTTTTTACAATTAATTGTTATAAATGGCATACATTTTTTGACTTCAGTTTTTCCTTATAATGAGTTGGCCTAGAATTATCTTTAAATAAATTTTAGAAATAGAATGTGAGGTATGTGTGTGTGGTGGTGTTGGTGATAGTGGGATCTTGGAGCAAGAGATTCTGGAAAGATGGTGATCTGAAGACCCTCCCGTCCTTTCTCCCCCACCTCCTCAGTGTTAAATAGCTACTGGTGGCTGGTATCCAAGGACATCTGAGGGGAGGAGACTGTGCAGCACTCTTTGCTGCTATGGGCTGGATGAATGCCTGGAGACAAACATCAGAGGGACCAGAGTATCAGGATGATAAGTCCTAGGAGGTATTTTGTTTGCAGAGATCTGTGGATTTCCTGGGGGAATGTTAGCACCAGCAACTACCACCCAGGAGTGTTTGTGGTCTCTCTGGTCTGCAAAAGACCAAGAAAAAGCTGTATGGATGGGAGGAGTCCTTCCTGACCCAGCATCTGGGCAAGTATGAGGAATCCAGGTAACTGGGCTTGTCCCAGGCCTCAGCAACCAACAGGTGGCCTTTCTGCTCTACACTCCTGACCAAAATGGAGAGAAGTCACTTTGCCTTTCACAACTTTCGGGAACGTGTCACCTAAAGCACTCCAGCAATAGACCTGAACCCCACTGAGCCAAAGGAAAAAGAGAAAACGACCACCCATCTAGAAGAGCCTGAAAGATGAGTCAGATCAAACAGACCACAAAACTCTGCAACACAAAGATGGAAGAAACTCTATCTCTGAGTAGAAAAATAATGAAGGCATTTATAGAGATTCGAGTGAACACTAGAAAGTGCATGAGTGCCAACAAAAATATGCAAATGAGCTGAGGAAGAGAGTGACCAATTGTGGTAATGGCCCCCCAAAGAGTCTCAGAACCTGCGAACACGTTACCTTCTGTGTGGGATTAAGTTAAGGCTCTTGAGATGGGAAGGTCACCCAGGTGGGCCCAATGTAATATGATTAGGACAAGGGTCCTTATAAGACGGAAAGACCGTCAAAGGCAGAAGGAGATGCGATGACTGACAGCAGAGGTTGAAGTGATGTGCTTTAAAGATGGAGGAAGAGGCCACAAGCCAAAGAGTGCAGGTGACCTTCTGAGGCTAGGAAGGACAGGAAAAGGAGTCTCCTCTAGAGGAAGGACCAGCACTACCAACACTGGTTTTAGCCCTGAAAGATTCATTTCAGACGAGTGACCTGGAAAGCTGTACAATAATTTGATTGTTTTAAGCCACCAACTTTGTAGTAATTTGTTACAGCCTCAATAGAAAACCAGAGACCCCAATGAATGTCGTAAGTTAGAAGATTGAATGGAAGACTTATCTACATGTATAGGAACAAAGTGAAAAGAGATGTAAAGTTTGAGGGAAAAGGTAAGATATTTGGAGGATAGATCCAGGAGACCTAATCAGTAACAGATTTTATGAAAGGAGAAAAAGAGATGGAGGGGAGGCAAGAATGAATTTCCCACACACACAGAAATATATAACCTACAGAGTTAAAGGCGCGCCAAGGACAGGCAGGATTGATGAGAACAGACAAACACCTGGGCACATCCTGGCAGGATTCCTGACTGCAGTGGCATTAGAACTGTTGTTTCTCTTTGTACTTTTTCTTTGGCAAAAGGGAAATATCTTTGTTGTTGATTTTTTCCAGTTATAAAATGATATATTTCTAATGTTAGAAAATCAGATAATATAGACAAATATTTAAAAAATAAAAATTACTTGTATGTCTATCACTCAGAGATAACCACTATTAACATTTTTAACAGCTTGATTGAGGCATAACTGACATTAAAACATTGTACATATTTAAAGTATATAATTTGATAAGTTTAGACATATTTACTCTTCCGTGAAACCATCACCACAAGCAAGATAGTGAATATATTTATCAATACCATAGTTTGCTCACGCCTCTTTGTAATCCTTCCTCCTGCCCCTTTCTGCCTCCTACCTGGCCCATCCCCAGGCAACCACTGCTCTGTCTTTTGTCACTATAATTAGTTTGCGTTTTCTAGAATTTTATATAAATGGAATCATACAGTGTGCATTCTTTTTTGTCTGGCTTCTTTCTCTTAGCACAATTATTTTGAGATTCATCCAGGTTTTGCATGTATCAGCAGTTCTTTTATTTAATTTTTTTTTGCTGTGTACTCTTCCAGGTCTAATTATCCCCCATTCCTGAGGCTCGACTGTTTTTAGCACCCTACCCAATGCCCCATGAATTGGGAGGTTATTCCAGTCTGGTTGGGAACAGGCATGATTTCTGGCCCGGTGTGAGATCTGAGTACCAGTCCCTCTTTCTTTTCAGGTGGTCCTTCCCCTGGCCTCGAGTAGTTTCCTCACGTGCAAAGCTGATCAGCGCTCGGCTGAGCGCCTGAAGGGGATGCTCTGCAGGTCTCCAGAGTTCCCTCTCTGTGCAGTCCTCTCCTCTCTGGTCCCTTCTCTGTAAGCTGTAGCTGCTCTGGTGCCTCGGGATTCTGTGCTCCATCTCCTCCAATCCAGGACTCTTCCAGGCTCTGCCTGGGTCCCTCCTCCTGGTACCATGGCCTGGACAAGGCACAGGACCTTACAGACAGCAAACTGGGGATATCACAGGGTGCACCTCATTTGTTTGCTGTTTCTCTGGAACCATGGTGCTTCACTAGTCATGTCAATGTCTTCAAAATGGTTTCATATATTGTATGCTGTTTTTAGTTGTTTCAGGCAGAAGGGTAAATCCATTCCCTCTTACTCCAACTTGCCCAGAATGACTGTGAACATTTTAGTATATATATTCCCAGAATTTTTCTTATGATGTACTTATATGTTTTACTTTTGGCTGCATATCACCTTTCTTCCCTTTTCTAGTAACATGACCCTTTCCCTTCTTCTCATGGAGAACTGCTCCTTCCACATTCGGTGTCAAGTGGACCAGACAATCATAGTAACTTCCCACCGCGTAGTCACTGGGTGGGCACGTGACCGAGGTTGGTTCAGTCACATAGGAACTCCTCTGGTTACTACGAATAGTCAGGGCAATTGACTGAGCTGGGAGAAGCCAACTTCTTTCTTGCTCTTTTTCCATTTGGATATAAAGATAGAGGGCTCTCTTTCCTTAGATCAAATTTTCTAAGGATCTGCTCCCAGAACTCCTGGCAGCCAAAGTCTATCTTATTTGGAAAAAACATCTTTGCAGACGTAATTAAGGATCTCAAGATGATATATCATTGTTCATTCTCCAAGTGGTCCCTAAATCCAATGACAAGTGTCTTTGTAAGAGAAGTAGAAGACACAGAAGAGGAGAAGGCCATGTGCAGACAGAGGCAGAGGCTGGAGTTAAGCAGCCACAAGCCAAGGATTACCTGGAGCCACCAGAAGTGGAACAGGCAAGGAAGGATTCTCCTAGAGCCTTGGGAGGGAGCGTGGCCCTATGACACCTTGACTTCAGAATCCTGGCCTTGAGAACCACGAGAGAATAAATGTCTGTAGTTTAAGCCTTCCAGTTGGCAGTACTTTGTTATGGCAGACTTAGGAAACTTATACAGCAGGGAAAACGGATCTGTGTCGTGGTAAATTAGGCAGAATGGAAGTGAGGAAAAAACACTGTATTATCAATAAAGACCATACTTAAAAATAAAATTGTAAGTATTACAGACAGCCTGAGAATTGCCTGCAGATACAAGAAAGAGAACGTTCTCTTGCAGAGCAGAGCGGACACAGAAGAAGAAGGCAGAAGGATGATTGAAGAAGAGAATCTGAATATAAGCAGGACAAAACCCACATCCTTTAGCCATCCTGACTGAAGGGCTTAGCAGTCTTCGTGATAAGGTACTGAGGGTTGTTATCAGAATCACACTACATAACTTGTTGTTTGACACACAGATATTTGGGGTTCAATTAATTACAACTGTATGTTTATCTAACTTAATACATTATTTTCTTTTATTGACAAAACCCAAAATTAAAAGGATCACTTCCTATTTTATTATTGATAGATGCCTGAATTGAGTGGCTATCAAATGAGCCTGGTTATGATGTTGGTGCCAAGGGAGTAGACTGGTGCCTGAAAACGGGTTGTTCCTGTCTGAGAATACCACTTGTTACTATCGTGTAAGCAGCCTCTCAAAGATACCACTGCTGTAGTCTACATAAGACACCTACTTCTGTTAAATTTACAAAATATTTGTTTCGAATACCTGTACATTTTTCCATGGAAAATTTCTTTTAAAGATTTCCCCCTTTTCTTTTTCATGTGTGTAATATACTATCTAAGTAGCCCTGGCATTTCAGGGGTCAAGTGAGGCTGGAGTGGAGGCAAAGAGTGTTGAAAATGTTTTCGTTTTTTAAAAGATTTTATTTATTTTAAATTTATTTTTATCTTTTATTTTTCCTTCTTCTCCCCAATGCCCCCTAGTACATAGTTGTATACTCTAGTTGTGGGTCCTTCTCGTTGTGGCATGTAGTATGCCACCTCAGCGTGGCTTGATGAGCTGTGCAAGGTCCGCGCCCAGGATCTGAACTGACGAAACCCTGGGCCTCCAAAGTGGAGAGCGCGAAGTTAACCACTTGCCCGGGGGCCAGGCCCTGAAAATCCTTACTTACAAAATTGAGGATGCCTGCTTGTTTTCTTGGTGTCCCAAAGTGCTAGTTACCACTCTAGACAGTGCACTTTCAATGACGTGACCAATGTGAATGACGGTAATAAAAGACTCAGACCTCTTCCTCTTCCTCGTCTTCCTCCTCTAGCTCCTCATCAGCCTCGGCTTCCGCCTGGTAGTCTTCTGTTTCTTCATCATAATCTTCCAAAGTTAACTCCCATGCAGGGTACTGAAAAGGTTCTATAAAAGAAAGAAGAAACATCTGGGAAGATATTTTTAGGATAAAAGGATATTAGCATATCATAGTAGTCAAAGATTTGGAAAATTAATTACAATGACTGATTCTCTTAGTTTAAATGTGTATGCAAATAGGCCTTTACAAATTCGTCGAGTGACCACTGGCCAGTTTGACCAGTGCTGTCTGTGTCCCAGGGCTGTTCTGATTGGTGGGAGCCTGCGCTGTGAGAGTTGTTAAATATTTCAGATATCATCTCTGGATATATTGAACGTTTTACTTCATAAACCATCAAGAAAGGCTTTAAACGTTCACAGTGCTTTTAATAATATTACCTGCTCTTGACAATAAATGTTATGATTACAGCCCTTACTTTCCATAGTCTCCATCACTTTTTGAAGTAGTTCCTCTGGAGTTTTGTCAGCAATCTCCAATTTTAAAATCTGAATGAAAGAGTCATTGATTGTTGCTTCCAGCAGTTGCCAGGCAGAGCGGAAAGATTTAACCTGCTCTTTAAGTGGCTCCATTTCAGGGACATCAGGATAAGCATCTTCTGGAAACTCAGGTAGTACAACTTTTGAGTAAAGGCAAAAGGAAAAAAAAGAGGCTTCAAATATTATATCTTTAGTCATATTGCCAAAATACTTTATACTTTATAATATTTTAAAAACATTTGAAAGAAATAGCGTTCTAAGCAATACTGTACATTTATAAGTTCATATTTTAATTATGCTCTGTTCCTTGTATTGGCTGTAGATGAATTATTAACCATTAATAAAATCCAAATTATTTGGATAATTAATATGAATTTAATATGGACTTCAACTGTTAATAAAATGTATAAAATAAAATTTGATGAAAAACAATGTTATAAGCTGTCAAGATACACTTTTAATGTAATAAGCTAAATAAATATATCACACATCAACTGGCATACAAGATAGAAATAAGTAGGAAGTTGATACTACGCCTAAAATAGGGGACTAGGCCCTTCGTAAGACAATCTGAAGAGCATGTTTACACACTAACTGCTTTTATTTTATAATCTAACCTGTTTCAGGTAATTCTTTAGTTTCCATGTCCTCTTTGGATCCTTTTGGAATTTCTCTTTCAACTGTAGTATCCTCAGTAATCTCAGATACTTAAAAAAGAAATCTAATAGTTAGTGTTTGAATTTTAAAACATTATTTCTTTATGAAAGTTTTGGCACAAAGAAAATTTCAAAATGCAGTTTAAATTGTATATACTATGTCTAATTGAAAATACAATTCCTGTTAGGTAAAGTATAGCCTAAAAATACCTAATAGAATAAGGCAGAGAATGAAGAATATTCTTAAATATACAAAAGGACAGGGGCTGGCCCCATGGCCAAGTGGTTGGGTTCATGCACTCTGCTTTGGCAGCCCAGGGTTTCGCAGGTTCTGATCCTGGGTGTCGATATGGCACTGCTCATCAAACCATCCTGAGGTGGTTTCCCATATAGCAGAGCCAGAAGGACCTACAACTAGAATATACAACTATGTACTGGGGGGCTTTGGGGAGAAGAAGAAGAAAAAAAAGATTGGCAACAGATGTTAGCTCAAGTGCCAATCTTTAAAAAATGAATAAATAAATATAGTGGCTACAAAAAACAACCCAAAAAGGATATTGACCAGAATAATAACTGACACATGGTACATACAATTCTGACTGATAACTATTGTTAAATATTATTCAAACTTCTGTTTACATAGCATCAGACCAGCAGTACCTGATATTTCTTTTAGTTTCTTATTAAGATACCCATGAAGATACACCAAAAGACCATAAAGTGACAATAGGATGATGATATGCCAAAGTCTCAGTTTTGGGTGTAGGTTTGGTGAAATTGAGAATAATATTAATTAATATCACTGTTGAAGGTATAGATCGAAAGCTATTTTTCTGGATGATACAAGACGTGCTTCATGTACAGATCTAGCATATATGGTTTCAGGGAAGGAAGTACTAATCATCTGTCTTCTCACCCCACAGTCTCTCCTGGTTCTGAGACACAAGTTTTGTGTGGACTAAATACATATATAGATAAATAATCTCTATTCATCTATCTGTCTATCTATCTATCTATCTATCTATCTATCTATCTATCTATCTTTGTTCTGTGACACTGTGGAAACTGTCTTCTAAGTTAGCTAAAGTAATGGTTGAGTCCTCTTTCTACAGAATCTATAATGTTTGATACTCAAGAGAGCAGATATTAAAAGGGGACAAGCCTTGGGCTTGCCTGCTGGCAGCATGTTTAATTATAAGGTACTCAGTTGCCTAAGAAAAGAATGACAAAGACAAGAAGACCACCAAGAATATACAGAGAATTCTAAACTTGTCTTAGCTTCTGTGGCTTAATCCGAGACTGCAATAGTTAGGGATGAAGATTCAGCCTCAGTCTAGAAAAGTCACACAAGATCAACACTTACTAAATATCACAACTTGAACTAGGTTGATGCACAATAACTTGACCTTCAGGAATATCTGAGAGTATCAGGCAAGAAGTTTAAGTGAAATGTGTGTGTGTGTGTGTGTGTGTGTGTGTGTGTGTCTGGTGGTTCTTAGAAATACTCGACCTACCCTTTGTGTTGCTTACCCTACTCTACCTGCCAAAGTTGGATATATAGTCTGCTCCACTCAAGGAGAAGTCAACAGCAACAAAACAACAACAGCGACAACAACAACAAGGCCTATGAAAAGATCTTATAATGAAGGAAAAGAGAGTATGATCCTAAGATGCAGATAAAGAGCTTGCTTCTGAAAAAGATTTCTTATAGAAAGCAAAGTAAAGTAAAGTAAATTTTAGAAGATAAATGCTTGGTGTACTCAAAAAGCACAGGAGGACAACAGAATCTATGAAATAGGAACCATGAGGCAAAAAGAGAGATCAACCTAGGATAAAGGCAGAAATACAAGAAAGCTAGTTGAAATAAAAAAACAATGCAAGGAAAGAAAAAGTGCAGTAGCAGAATTAACATATGCATCAGGGGAGAGGCAGTAAGGAGCATAAAATAAATCAGAGACGAGGAGGATAACAACTCTCCAAAGAATGCAGGGAGAAAGAACAAAGAGATGAAAACTATCAGGAAGAAGAAGATGAATATGGTTGAGAAACAATAACTATGTAACCAAAAAATAATAAGTGATCCTGAAAAAGGAATCTGAAGCAATAAATGAAGATATAATTGAAGAAAACCATTTTGAGCTAGACGAAGACTGTGGTATGAAGAGAAAAAGAGCTCAGCAAATTCTAGGAAAAATTGCTCATATCCAGCAAAGTTTTAAAAAATAATGGTATTGAAAAATATCCTTTGAGGGGCTGGCCCCGTGCCAAGTGGTTAGGTTTGTGCGCTCCGCTTCGGTGGCCCAGGGTTTTGCTGGTTTGGATCCTGGGCATGGACATGGCACCACTCATCAGGCCATGCTGAGGCAGCATCCCACATGCCACAACTAGAAGGACCCACAACCAAAAATATGCAACTATGTACTGGGGGGCTTTGGGGAGAAAAAGGAAAAACAAAATCTTTAAAAAAATATCCTTTGAACATCCCTGCAGGAGAAAGAAAAGAACATAAATTAAGTGATATCAGATGTTTCCTTGTGTTGAGGACAATGGAACAATGTCAACATGCAGGATCTTGAGAAGAGGTTATGATAATAATTTAATAGCTTCTAAGTTGTTTTTCATGTGTGAAAGCAATAGAGTTGCAAGAACTCACACAATATACCACCTTGGATATTTAAAAAATTAATCAGAGATATAGGCCAGATGACTAAGAGAAGAATCAAAATGAAAATCTCACAAATGGAGAAACTGTGGGATTTGGGAGACATCCCAAGGGTATTATCAACAATCCCAACACTACATAGCTGCATAAATCTACGGCCAGTTCTAACAGACTGGAAAGGACTGGCCACACCAGTGGGCATTCAACAATGTGGAAGAGTTGTGCCCTCTTTTTCAGAATAATACCTGGAGGAAGTTTATAAATAATTTCAGTATGAATAGTTATAGTTTGTGAGAATAACTCTGTGGTAGGACTTAAGAAATGTCCCAGAGAAAACTTTTCTCTTAAGTCCAAACAGGTCACAGGTCACAACGAAATCCCATGATAGAAAAACTGAAAGGAAATACATCAGAATGTTAAATATTTATTGCCTTTTGCTGGAAGAACTCTGGTCATTTTCTCTCATCTTTCTATTTGTATGCATTCTACATTTTTTATAATTAGCACACATTATATCAAACTTGACTGGATATCCGAATGATTTTTAAACACACAATTCAACATTGATTATACCAGAAGTATGATCACTGTCTTTGAGAGACTTTCCCCAAATTTTAAGTGGTCTATATTCTACTCAACACGTCAATTCATTGTGACCTGTGGACACACTGTGCAGCTAAGTCATCCTAGAGTTTATGTTTTCAGGATCAGATTTTTCATACTGAGCCTTTTCTATGATTTAAGGCAATAATTTATAAAACTTTTCACAGGCTAAATTTTTTCTCCTATGGCAGTAGTTCTCAACTGTTAGCAAGTATAAGAATTATCTGAGGTGTTCATTAAAATGTAGATTCCTAAACTCCATCCTTACTGAACTTACTGAACCAGAATGTGGGTTAAAATAAAGAACCTTAGGTGATGCTGACGCAGGTGATCTACCCCACAAGAAAACATTTCTTGGGGATGTGGAACTCTAAAGTTTCAGTTGAGCATTTGTTTAAGAATTTGAGCAGATTAAAACCTGCTTCTTGAGTAAAATCTTGAACTCTGGCCCTAGGCAATCCCGCCCCTAGGCATTCCTGCAACCTGCAATCTGGCAAGGAGAGTAGGGTGCATACTGTCGGGCTCCTTCACATCCTCTCTAACTCCTCTTTTCCCTGGCCTTCGGCCATACAGGCAGCAAAGCCAAATCAAATCCCCAGATTCCCTGCAGCTAAGAGTGGCCAGTGACACAATTCTGCTTGATGAAGTGTAGGTGGGAGTCCCTCGAGTTTATCTATTTCCTGAATTAAAAATAAAAAGTTAAAGCTTGCAAGGGGAAAGCTTGTCCTTAGCCCTTTGCTGCTTCCTGCTTCTCCAAGCCTGTAATGCAGACATGTTTTGATGCAGCAGCCACCGTTTGATTGTGAGGATGGAAGAACAGGAGGACAGAAGATGCTTGGATCTTGGATGACATCTCTGTGCTCTCAAACCAGCCCTGAACTCACCAATGAGACACATCTCTTATTTAAGACAGTGTTTTTGGCATTTCTGTTATTTGGAGACAAATGCAATCACAATATATACAGATAGAATGGCCTTCCACTTAAGCAAGGTCGGCAGTATGCTTCTTAATTTAGAAAGTCAATCCTGTCAGTTGCTTGATAGTTGAAGTCCGTGATCAACCCTTAATCAACAACGTTGATCATCAGTACTCCAGAATTTATCAGAGGTAAACCTTGAATTGTTTGCTGCTTAAATCTGGTCAGGTGTCTGGCTAATAGGGTGGCAAGAAGGGACTTGCAGAATGTGCAGTAATTGCTCACTCCAGGCTGCCCAGTCTGGTCCTAATAACATGCTGAAGTCAGGCTTTACCTGGCAGAGATTCAGTAGACTGGGTCTTGATCAGACCATGGCATTGGTTTTTACACAGCCTTGAAGGAATCACTGGTTTTTGGGACACGCTATCTGTGCAGTAGCTACTATGAGGGCTGTCCTTAAATATCCCAGATGTCTGCTGTCCTCTGTTCCTTTTCTTTGAGTTGCACTTCCTGTAATGGGCTGAACTGTGTCCCTACGAAAGATATGTTCACATTCTGACCCCAGGTTCCTGTGAATGTGATCTTATGTAGAAATAGAGTCTTTGCAGAAGTAATTAGTTAAGGACCTCCAATGAAAGGTGTCCTTATAAAAGGAGAGGCACACACACTCACACAGACACACACTCACACAGACACACACACACACAGACACACAGAAGAAGGCCATGTGAAGATAAAGGCAGAGATTGGAGTGATACAGCTACAAACCAAGGAACATCGAGGATTGCCAGGAGCCCCCAGAAGGTAGGAAGAGGAAAGAAAGAATTCTTCCTTGGAGCCTTCAGAGGGAGCATGGCCCTGGTAACACTTTGATTTTAGACTTCTAGCCTCCAGATCTGTGAGAGAAGAAATTTCTGTTGTTTTAAACCACCAAATTTATGGGAATTTGTTACAGCAGCTCTAGGAAACGAATACATTTCCCAATACTTACTTGAAAACAAGCATTGGAGAGCAATGTGGAATTTATGAAGATTTGGCAAGGGAGAGATGAAAGAGACTTTATATCACACAGTCTGCAGCAGACCCTGTTGCTAACTCACCCAGCGGCCATTTTCCTCTTCTTCCTTCCTGTCAGAGCTGTGCTTTTGTTCCGGTGTTTATCCCCTCCTCACATGGCTGAGGGAGGGTGACCCCATCTCCAGCTCCAGGAATTTATCCTGATTCATCTAAGCCCAAAATGTTGATTCCTTTCCTTCTGCTATTTGGGGAGGGAAGTGATTTTGAGAGCTCTAAGTTTTAGTTTAGCTTAATTTAGGATAGGAATCCTGAGCTCTGACCTTCTCAGAATTTACATCAGGCAGATGAGGAGCAAAGCCCTAAGTGCCAGGCTGGTAATGATGATGCTAAAGCATCAACTATTTGCCAGACACTATGCTAGGTGCTTTAAATGTTTCTGTCCCTACAAAAACTCTGCTGGGTAAATATTCCTAACGCTGTTTTACAAATGAAGAACTTGAGGTGCAGAACAATGATATAAACTTGTCATATAGCAGCCAGAGTGAAATTTAAAAAATGTTAATGAGATCATATGACTACTTGCACTTAGAGAAAACGCCATACTCTCTAAGCCTCTGGCCTCTGCCTTGCTCTCCAACCTCATCTCTCACTTCCCTCTTGCTCACTGTGCTCCAGCCACACTCAGTTTCTTCCTTGACCATGGGAGCTGTGCTCACCTCTGAGCCTTTGCAGTGGCGAGATGTTTGTCCAGATCCTTTTCAGCCTTTCTGTCTTGCCTCAAGTGTTATCTTCTCAGATGACACTCTTCCATGACTATAATGTTTAGTGTTGCCTCTTCCAAACCATACCCATAGTCTCCGCCTGCTCATTCATTCAACAAGCATTTATTGGGCACCTACTATATCCCAGCTACTGCTTTAATACTTTCATATATTTTCTTCATGGCACTTAACACTATTGTAAATTACCTTAGTTATTTACTTGTTTGTTTTTGTTCTTCATCCCACAGAATGAGTGTTCCTTGAGGGTAGGGACCTTGACTATCTTGATCATGCAGAGTCCCTATTACCTAGGGCAGTCCTGTTGCTTTGCCTGGCACTTGGAAGGAATTCAATAAATATTTGTTAAGGGAATGGATAAATTTCCCAATGTTCATTAATAGCTGACTCTATTATATCTCCATGAAGCTCTTGGAATGAAGCACTGTGATGCAAGCCAATGGTTCCTCTAAGCTCATGTTCTTGCAAGTTCCATGCACAATTTGCCTATACCTAACCAGTACATAAAGAGAGCAAATTAGGAATGATCAAAGTGATTAACTAGCCTCTGAATGCATCAGAATGTTATTGACCTTCAAGCAATACATGTGTCATTCCATTTTAAGAAGGCTAGAGTGACAACAGGATTGAAATGAGACTTCAGTCACCCTATCTGAGCATTGACAGAGGTAATGATTATCTTGTGGCCCCAGACAGAAGTCAAACTCCAAAGGAAAAGATGTATTCCCTAGCAAGAGGCATAAAAAACCTGTTTTGGGTATGTATTAATCTCATGTAGCTGCCGTAACAAATTACCACAAATTTGGTGGCTTAAAACAACAGAAATGGATTCTCTCACAGTTCTGAAGCCCGGAAGTCACAAGTCAAGGTGTTGGCAGGGCTGTGCTACCTCCGGAGGTTCTGGAGAGAATCCTTTCCTGCCTCTTCAAGCTTCTCTTGGCTGCTGCCATTCTTTGGCTTGAGGCTGAACCACTCCAGTGTCTGCCTCCATCTTCACATCACCTTCTCTGTGTGGGGGTCTAACCTCCCTCTGCCTCTCTCTTATAAGGACACTCGTGATGGTATTTAGGGCCCATATGCATAATCCAGGATAATCTCCCCATCTGAAAATATTTAGTCACATCTGCAAAGACCTTTCTTCCATATAAGATAACATCTGCAGGTTCTGGGAATTTGGATGTGGATATATGGCGGCCAACATCAGCCCACCATAGGGTACTCTGGGTAATGTAAAAAAAATCCCAAAGTAATGGATTTATGTTAGGGCAGTTTTTTCTTTCTTTTTTTTATTGCGGCAAAATACACATATAAAATTTACTGTCTTAATCATTTTTAAGTGTACGGTTCAGTAGGATTAAATGCATTTACGTTGTTGTGCAACCATCCCCACCATCCATCCTCATAACTCTTTTCATCTTGTAAAACTGAAACTCTATACTCACGAAACAGTAACTGCTCATTCTCCCCTCCCCCTAGCTCCTGGCTGCCACCATTATACTTTGTCTTTATGATTTTGACCATTCTGAGTACCTCACATAAGTGGAATCATACAGTATTTGTCTTTTTAGGACTAGACAGGGCAGTTTTAAGTGAAAAAAAATTGATTACTTAAGCTATTTAGAGGAGGAGACTTTGTGGGAAGGGACCCTTGGATGGAAGAAGTAAACACTAGCTAAACCAGAGCAGACCCTCTGTGAACGAGAATATGGTTTAATATGGCAAAACAGAGCCATGATTTCACAGAGGTGAACCAGCCCTGGAGAAGCCCAGTGATGTCTACAGCATTGGGCTAGAACTGACCCTAAATGGAGTAGGATACTGGCTTTAGAACACCAAAGTAGGCTCCCTGGGGGAAAGAATGAGATAAAAGGCAACAAAAACAAATTGTCCGCTAGACCTGTTCCATTAGTGAATCCTAATTGTGAGACATTGTGGGTACTGGAACTCTGGGGATGTGTTTGATGGGTCATATTTAATGGATGGCAGTTTCTTTTATTTCTCTGGGTACTTTGTGGTCTGTTCTGTAAAAGGCAGGTGGGTGAGAGAACTGTTGTCAGCCTCATTGGTTAGGTACTGAAGAAAATAATGAAGTTTCGGGGTGGGAACTCCAGTCAATAGAGGCGTGGGACTCTTAAAGGGAAATTGGGTATTTCATCCTGCTGGCATCTCTGTCTGGCACAAGGAATCTGATTTTATATTCTTTGTCCCATAAAGGTAATGCCAATCCATGTAGTAAAAATGACCTATGTTGAACTTGAGATTTCTTATTGTAAAAATTCCACTTAGTCCTGGTTCTTTTACTAGCTAACAGCAGGTTCCCAGCCCTTAATTGCTCCAGGTTGGTCTCTAGCTGCTGGTATCTGAAGACCTTTAGTTGGTAGGATTAGTTTCTAATCCAGTACTAACTGTGCTTGGAAGCTCTTAGGAGCCTCACTCCCGCCATGGTGGGCACCTACCTTGCTATGTTAAGCCGACCCTCCAGTCCTGAGAGTGACTTTTATTGCCCATAGATTCCTTCTTGCCCTGTCCCAACCCACCAAACGGAGGCAGCACTGGCTTCATGAGTGTGCGACCTGTGTGCCTGCACAGGATTTCTTGCTCAGAAAGGCCTCACACTTAGTTTAAAGCTCTTTGGTTGTCATTTTGAAATTTTTAAGAATTTTATCATTGCACTGTGTTTTGTACGTGAAATCCAAAAGGACTCCAACGGGATAATAGAGCATGCATGTGGGCAGAGAGATACACTATATATGTTTGTAATTTCTTGCCATCTCATTCTCATGAGCGTTTCTGATGCCTCCTCATGAGCGGAGAACTCCAGGGGACTCACGATGTGTGAGAGTAAGTGTGACTAAGTGGTTTGGGGAGGGGAGGATGCTGACAGCCCTGAAAGATCATGCTTTCCCTTTGAACTAGAACTTGCTTCAGATGCAGAAAGAAGGTGATACTATTTAAAGAGACATGAGTGACCAAGGAACCCCATCATAACCTTTCTTACTCATGTTACTTTCTTGTATGAGCTAAACACTCACGCTGAAGATGATGACATAGAAGGAAAGGAAAAGATAGGGCAGCCCCGACTTCCCTTTCCTTTCAGTCTTTTCCTAATGATTAGGAAGCTAAAGGTAGAGAGTGCTGTAGAATATGTGCATACTAAGAAGTGAAATAAAAAGTTGGAGTTAATTTTGTGCATGAAACTTAGTGTTCTGGTAAGAATGAAACACATATGCATGTACGAGCTGCAAAATATGAATTGTGTAATTTTGGTGATTTTGCATAGGAGCGAAACGCTCTCATATTTGCATTTAAAAATTGCATTGCACAACATAGAGATGAACAATAGAATTCATCTTAATAATTTAAATTTTTAATTTTTCTTTACTTAGAATGACATTAAATAGCAAATAAAAAGCATCATGACAAGTTGAGAGAGAGACCGTAGAAGAAGAAAAGAAAAGCTTTATATTTTAGAACCTTTAATGGACTTGTTTTTTGCTTTTCGAACAACGTGCCCCACAAATGAGGCAGCTGGCCCTCCTCCTGAGTGCCAGCACTGGGGCAGAGTAGACCCGGCTTTCCCACCACACTTCAAGTTCTGAGATTTGGACTGAATGACTATTCTCTGGGCGCTCATCTCTCCATTCTTGGCCTGCTTCCATTTTATTAACATGGAAACACATATACCCATGCCTGTACACACCAACGCATGAATGGATATGAGTAGAAGGAAGGACGCAGCCCCCTATAAAGTCTCACCTGATTCAGGTTCTATTTCAGGGACCTCAGATGCTTCCGGTTCTTCAGGTAACAACCCTCTGGTCTCGCTTTCCTGGGCTTCAAACTCGTCACCTTCAAGCTCCTCTTCAGCCTCAGTTTCAGGCTCTTCCACTTCTAGAAAAAAAATGAGAATAAATAATCATTTAGTTTAGGTCGACAAAAATTCAGTTGGGTGCCAGGCATGCTGATAAGTGCTGAGCCCAAAACAAGGAATGGCCCCGACCCTCCTGGAGCATGTGGCTTTAGGAGAGAGAGAGAGATATACTAGCTACATATTTTATTTATTAAAATGTAGTGGTAAAGGGTGATGGTCATGTATTCAGAATGCTATGGGAGCACCAGCCTAAGGGTTCACTCAAAAGAAGAAATGTTTATAGCAGTGCCAGATGTTATAACAGTACAAGACTGGAAAAAGCCCAAATGTCCATTCAAAAAGGGAATGGCTAGAACTGCACTGTCTGATACGTAGCCACTAACCACAGGAGGCTATCAAGCACGTGTAATGTAGCTAGTCTATTAAATGGAGATGTGCTGTAATTATAAAATATACAATGGATTTCAAAGACTTAGTCTGAACAATTGAATGTAAAATATATCAATAAATTTGGCATTAAATACATGTTAAGATAATATTTTGGCTATAGCACATTAGATAAAATATAATTAATTTCCTCCATTTCTTTTCACTTTTTATGTGATTACTAGAAAATTTAAAGTTACATATGTGGCTTACATTATACTTCTGTTGTGCAGAACTAGGCTAGACTTTATTTTTTTCTTATAGCTAATTACAAATAATAGGGTATATTGATCAATATGTTAAGTGTAAATTTAAAAAGCATAATTCCAAGTTTTATGTCGCTGTTGCTGATGATAAGAAATATATGCGTGGAAGTCTTTCAGGGAGACGATGGGGTGAATGGTGGTGTCAGAAAATCCGTCTCCCCAATTCCCTTTAAGATATTTATGAAAGTGACTGAAAAACAAGCTACTTCCTATGCAGAGATGATATGAAAAAATAAATGAGCTTGTGTTTTGGACTCTTGTGGGAATTCCTTCCCTCAACGGGTACCTTCCAAGAATCACAGTGTAGTGGTATGAGATACCTCTGGTACCTGGATTTTAATCTAAATCTGGGTGATTAAGAACCCAGAGAAAAGCATCTTGAAGGGTCCTTGTATTTCAAAGTCTGAGCGGGACTGTAGAGCATGTGGCTTCCAAGTATGTGACTTGGAATGTGGTGAATCTTTTGTGTTATATGGAGGATTTATGGTGATACATACAAGGAAGAAGGGACATTTGCTGAACCCTACTAGGGTTGGGATGAAGTTATGTGCTCTATACCAGAAACTCAAAATGTCTTTTAACTGAGTATCTCTTATAGCAAAAAACATTTATCATATACCTCCAGTATGCGTATATTTAGTTTATAAGTTGTGTTCTTGTCCATATTAGGTACTTTATAAAACATACATATAAAAAGAATTTATATAATGATGCAGAAAAATGTAAAAAGTTCTGGGGCTGGCCTGGTGATTAAGTTTGCACACTCTGCTTCAGTGGCCTGGGGTTCACTGGTTTGGATCCTGGGCGCAGACCTACACACTGCTTACCAAGCCATGCTGTGGCAGGTGTCCCACATATAAAATAGAGGAAGATGGGCACAGATGTTAGCTCAGGGTCAATCTTCCTCAGCAAAAAAGAGGAGGATTGGTGGCAGAGGTTAACTCAGGGCTGATCTTCCTCAAAAAAAAAAAGTAGAAAATTCTAATACTTTTTCTAGAACCCTAATGGATAACCCATGTAACATGTAAATCAGGAATGGATTGAAAAGTATTCTAAGATCCTTGTACTATCTGTGATTTTGTCTGAGGGATGTGTTGTATTAGTTATCTATTGCTTCCTAATAAATTACCCAAAACCTAATAAATTAACCTGTTGGTTAAAACAACAATAATTGACATATTATCCTTGCAGTTTCTGGGGTCATGAATTTGGGAGTAGGTTAATTGGTGGTTCTGGCTCTGAGCCTCTCATGAAGTCAAGTGAACATGTCAATCAGGGCTGCAGTCATCTGAGGCTTGACTGGGGCTGGAGGATTTACTTCCAACGTGGCATTCAAAGCCAGAACTGAGGTCCTCAGGGAGCAGAGAGAGCCCTACCCAAAGTCCTGACCCACAGAATTGTGTGCAGGATAAAATGGTGGCTGTCTTACAGTTGGGGGTTGCTTATTGCACAGCAATGGAAAACTGAAACAGATACTCCTCACTCTTTTGAGTCATGGACCCCTTTGGCAGTCTGATGAAACTTATGGATCCTTCTTAGAATAATGCTTTCAAACTCATAAACTAAAATACATAAGAAACCAATTATATCCAAGTATATTTTGCACTATAGGACATTTGTGCATCTTTACTAATGCATTAAATAATAAGAACTAATAGCTGGTTAATAACTACCATAATTTTGCAATATTGATAAGCATAAACAAGATATACAACTGTAATGTGATATGAAAATATCTCCATTTCTATTGGTGACAAAGTCAAGGTACTGCTGATACTATTGTGTTTTGTTGCCTATATTAATTACTAGTTTAGGGAAATACTAAATTCCAGTTAAAGGTTAGTGAAAATAAAGTTGTAATTATTTTCCCATTCAAGTTCACAGACCTCTGAATTTTATCCATGGACCCCAGGTTAAGAATCCTAAAAGGAACTATTAGAGTAAGTTCTTCTATAATGGAGAAGGAAGCTTAAGTGCAAAGACAAGGGGTAGAGAAAGAGTTGGCTTGTTTTCTCAACTCCCGCAGGACCATCTAATAGATGTAATTCCAATAGCCATGTGTCATCCATGGCAAGGGTAACCATTTTTAGACAGGTGACACATGGTGTCGTACTGTGTACTCCTCTTAGAAGGTACACGAGTAGCTATGTGTGTCAGGAGTCTTTGCCTATGAATCCATTCTTCCAGTGACCACATAATTTATTATCCAAATTGGAACACCTTGAGAATGAATAGGAGTCAAAAAAATACTTCAGGACAATAGGCGTAAATCTGAACTCTCATGGGCAAACTGGGAAATATGGCCACCCTGTCTATAATTCACTGGAAATACTGCACTTGCTTGCAGTAATAATACAAAATTAAATGACACATTATTAATGATATTAATCTGTTTGCCTTTTGCCTTGTCTTTCATAACTTCTATTAGCCTCTGATTTTCTTCTTCTATTCTCAGTGCCTCTTCTGTGGCTTTTCTGAAATGAAAAGGTTCAAAATTTAATCATCTTTGGAAATTCACACATTGCACAATATTACAGGATTTGAGGCTTATAGTGGTAAAAATAAAGAGTAAGTTGTTCATAACATTCATTATACTTTTTATATTACGATGTAAATGTCTAATTTAGCCATATTGAGGCCAGTTAATTTTTAGGGGTTTTTTTGGGTAAGAAAAGTTGAAATGTTATACTTGGAAAAACTTTGGCTATTAATTAGGAAAACTGTCAAAATTAGTGAAGGATTGTTTAACCCCAAGTTGAAAAGGCAAATAGGAGAAGTTATACCACTTTCCCTTCTGATTAAATGAGAAATGTTGACAATATAATGCTAAGTGAAAAAAAAGTATAGTATAAAACGATGTAAAATACAACTGTAATTTTGCTTTAAAGTGTATATAAATGATGACTAAAGACTAAAGAAAACTAACCAAACAGTTAATAGTAATTATCTCTGGATGGTGGCATTATTAAAATTTTTAATTTTATTTAACATTTTTTGCATTTAAAAATCTTTCTATATTGAGTAAACAGAAAATTCATCAATTCATCTTTGTAATCATAAAAATTATTTTCTGATGAAATTTAAATAGACTTGGAATATGGCAACTTTAAACTGGAGGGAATCCATTTTTCATCAGGGTTGGAGCGCTATACCTGCCTTAATGGTGAAGACAGGTATAAGGAAAGTTAGTAAAATGATGGAGAAAGGCAACATTTATTAAAAATTAAAATGTATATACCTTTGACCTAGAAATTCTGTATCTAGGAATTTAGCTCTCAGGAATGGGCATACTACTGCACAAAGAAACATATGTAAGAAAGCGGATTGCAGCTTTTAAAAATAATATCAAAAAACTGTATCAAGTATTCACCAGCAGAGGACTAGTTAAGTAAGGTAGGGCCCATTCACATCAGAGCACCCTTGGCAGTCTTCCTAAGACTGTTGTGTTCTACAGGCCTGTCATTCTCTCATATCCAGCGCTCTTTGTGCCCTTTTCCCCTTCCTCTGAAAATCTAGTTATATTCTCTTCAAAAGTCACTATGACACCTCTTCTCCCAACAGATGTGTTTCTTGTTAATAGGGGGTGTTCTCTCACTGTATTCCAAATCCTGCATTCAAGCCTGGAGTCTTGGGGTTATTGGAGTTCTCTTCGTTCAAGACCCAAACCTGTGAGATGACTGGCTATTGTTTCTGCCCTCCTTCCCCATTCTGATTGTGTGCCACTCCACAGTCATTCTACTTAGTCCGGGCAGGGCTCTTTTGTGAAACTTTCCTTATCCAAAACCTGGATACAGCATGCTGCCGCTAAGAATCTAAGACCCGGCAAGAATGAGGAAGAACTTGCCTGCCAGTTATCACTACTTCCATAAATCACCTGCAGAGATGAGTCAAAGACAAATGGAGATGACAGAAATTAGCCTGCATTTGACTGGCACATTTGGAAACTGATGCTAGAAAAGCTGTAGAATTCAGTGTGTCTGTAGATATGTCGCCCAAGATGTAATTCTTAATCCCATTAATTTTATCTCTTTTCCAATCAAGTTTTAAGCCTTAAAATGTGTCTCTGATCATTTCTTTAAACTGTTTTACATTTTATTTGCTGCAGTATATGAAAAAAGAGTTTATGTTTTGAAATACTCATGTTGAATTTTTAAAAGCAACACATAGAAATGTAGAAAAGCCTGCTTCAATCTGGAGAAGTCTTTGCCATTAAGTAGTTTATAGAGATGTGCAAATTCAAAATCAAAAGAAGTAAAAATGGATTATAGAGATAGCTCAGAAAATTCCATATGGTAAAAGGGATGTGAAGGTAGAGAGACAGGAGGAAACGGAGATCTCTTTTTCAGTTTTCAAAAAAAAAATATAGATGTATATGCATTTTAAATTATCTGCTTAAATGTAGCCGACTTTCAGTCTAGAAATCACACGAATTTGTTTTACTCTTATCTCGATATCTTCTGTTCTCAAATATTTGACTATTTCTCATATACTGGAAAAAAATTAGGTAAGCCCTTAAATCCTAGCAGATTGTTGCTCCATTTGTAACAAAACTTTTAAAAACTAAAAGCAAAGGCCATTAGTTTGCAATTATCATCTGAATTAATACTTTTTAGTCAAATATATCAATCAATAATTTTATTAACTAATCTAACTAAATTATACTTCATATATTTTTATATTAAATTCCTAAAGGAAGGGCCAACTTAGGTGAATAATGAGTGCTGGAAAAAAATCCTCTGATGCACACTTCTCAGCTACCTGCCCTCCTCACCAATCACCCACCTCTCAGCTTCATAATTTCTAGAGTTTAAAGAACTCTCCTAAATCCTAGCTCAAATTGCTAATATCTGAAGCGGAAAGGAAATAGGATTTGAGAACGCTCCTATAGGTGTCATCATTATTAGCAGGAGATTTACTGGACTAACATAAATAAATTTAGTTCTGAAATGTCTCAGTTTTATCACTGAGAAGTAGGAATTCCCGTGGACAAATGAAAATTTTTAGTACCTAAAGAGCATGTCTCAGCAAGGAAGAACAATCAACAAATTAAGCAACTGTTTCTTTTTACACTTTCTTCTCCAATCTCAAGAACTTGATGGTTTATTAAAGCTTGATAGATATGTGTTCACATCTGTGAAAGTTCTTCATTGGCCCTGGATCAGAGGATAAGTTCTCGACGTTGAACCTGTCAACTATAAATAACTAGTCTTGTTCTCCCCTATGTAGAAAGTAGTCAGCCTTCCGATTTTAGTCACATCACACAGGTGTATTTTCATTTACTTTTTATCCTATTATTTCTTCAATTTGTGGATACTAGTGAGCAAAATTGTTGAAGTCATAGATAAATATGGTAAAAATGAAAATCTTACTCGTATTCATTTTTTTTTTTTTACAGTCTTTTGAGAAGAGATGTTTGATTTAGAATAAATTTGATTTGGGGCTGTGAAAATATCCACAACTCTGTACTTTAGAGATGCTACAAGTATTTGTGAAATTACTGATTTTCTTAGAATTAATTAGAATTGGATCTAGATAGTAGACTGTCATTTTGATTTAAAGGCATTTCATAAATATACATTGTACATAGATATTTAACAGTTATAAAAGACCCATTAGCCTGTTTTATTATGCCAGGCAGGTTTACCTTGCTGCCTCTTCCTCTGTTTTTTTCTTTTGTAGTTCGTCTAATAATCTTTCTAAAATCTTAGAGTCAATTTCAGATTTATTCTCCAAATACAGTTTGTGAAATAAATATTTTCCTGAAATACAGATGAAGAGAATAATATTAATTTTGAAGTTCAATAAAATATAGTGAGATATATTTTGGAAATTAACAATGACAAATCATTTCTACCTGTATCCAAATATATTTTCCTTTAAGCATTTACCTAAATAGAGCCCAGATTCTTTAAAATATTGAGACCATCTTAAATCCTTTTATAACAATATATATTACCATGGTATAAATAACTAAGACATGAAAAGATGACCGTATATGTGTGGGTTTATTTCTGGGCTCTCTATTCTGTTCCATTAGTCTATGTGTCTGTTTTTACGCCAGTACCATACTGTTTTGATTACTATAGCTTTGTACCAAGTGACAGAATAATTAAAATTTAGTTCTGCTATCTTTATGTACTTAATATTTCCCATTTGAGGTGAAGAAGGACTAATGTATAGTCTTTGCCCTCAACCTTATATATTTTTCATTTAAAAGTTATATAAAGTGCTGACTGGGAAGAGGAAGTTAAATCCTCAGCCCCAGAGAATAATGATAAGGTACTGACAGAACATCTAGTGATCCAGTACATTCTCTCTGGCCACCTACTCCGTGCAGTGGATGCCTCATTTGTGTACCTCTAGGTCATGCAGGGATTACTGGGGTGGTATTTGTACCTAGAGAGGGTGGGGAGTTTTCCATTTTATATTTTAACTAAAAATAGTATCAGCAATAAAACTCCACTTTCAAATTTACATAATAAATATTTACCAACCATTGTTTTCTGTATCCAATAAACAGATTATTAAATCAGGTATAATTCCCTTCTCCATTAAGATTAGCCATAGTTCTTTTACAATAGGGCAGTTGTCCAATATCCATCCTCCATATTTTGGGGCACCAGCAAATCTATCCTTGTTTTCTTGAACTACCTGTGAAAAATGACACACTGATATTACCATGATAGCTAGACAAGTCAAGGATGCTATCTTGATAAATAATTTTTGTGAACCTTAACCAAGCATCTTCTTATTTTTATTTTTATTATTTAAAAAAATTTAAATCCAACTATTTAATTTGAAATTTTTACTTCACTAATTTACGTATGGATGGCATAACAGAAAATATCATGTGGGGGCTGGCCCGGTGGCACAGAGTTAAGTGCCGACTTTTCTGCTTCTTGGCAGCCTGGGGTTTGCCAGTTTGGATCCCGGGTGTGGACATGGCACCACTTGGCAAGCCATGCTGTGGTAGGCATCCCACGTATAAAGTAGAGGAAGATGGGCACGGATGTTAGCTCAGGGCCAGGCTTCCTCAGCAAAAAGAGGAGGACTGGCAGTAGTTAGCTCAGGGCTAATCTTCCTCAAAAAAGAAAAGAAAAGAAAAGAAAAGATCATATGATAAGAAGAAAAAAGAAGAATTAATGCAACAATATCTTAAAGAACAAGAGTCATATGATAATTGGCAAGAAATTCCACTCTAACCAAGTATCTTTCAAGTTCTTCTGACTCAGAGGGAGAAAAAAAAGAGCCACTTAATTTTAAAAGAGAAACGATTTTAAAGCAATAAAGTTGTAAGTTTTAAAAATAAAGAATGGAAAGCAAAAGCCTTTATTAAATAAATGTAACAATCCTCTTTGCTATACGTTATTCAGTATTACAGAATTCAGATCCTCATTCAGAAGGCTTAGGGTAGGGCCAAAAGTCTGCATTTCTAACATGCTCCCAGATGACAATGGTCCACGGACCATACTGTGAGTAGCAAGGTCCTAGTCCAACTTCCCTTTTTTAGAGACAATACTCTTCACTCTCCTTTGATTTTCATCAGTGTGAGAGCTGAGAGGTACTGAGATGTCTACTAATAGCCAGAGGAAGGAACTGGGTCAAAACAAATCTTGCAGGTGATTAGAGAGTTCCGCTAAACTCTCCCTTACCTGCCGCCCAATCACAATAGCTTCAACACAAGTATGGCAATTAGTAATGTGGACCTGTGAATACACCAAGTCTGAGGGTTTTAAACAAGTTTGTATGCCATCAGGTCATCACAGAATATTAGAAGTCAAAGGGGAAAAGATGTCAAGAGGACCACTATAACCCTCCGACCTATGCAGAATTTAAGGTAATCTGCTTTTTGAATTTCCAGCTAAATGAAGAGCCCTTTGGAAAAAAAAGAATCTTAAACACTTTGAAAGTTTAACATAAGATCATTGGGGGTAAGAGGGAGAGAAAAAAAGCTATAAAGAAGAAATATAAGTGAAATAACTCAGACAGAGAAAGACAAATACTGTATGATGTTACTTATAGGTGGAATCTAAAAAAACAAACTCATAGAAACAGAGAACAGATTGGTGATTGCCAGAGGTGGGGGTGGAGGTGGGGGGAAATGAGTGAAGGTGGTCAAACTTCCAGTATAAGATAAGTCAGTCCCAGAGGCCTAATGTACAGCATGGTGACTATACTTAACAATACTCTATTGTATATTTGAAAGTTGCCAAGAGAGTAGATCCTAAAAGTTCTCACCACACAAAAAAAGTAACTATGTGAGGTGATGGATGTTAACTAAACTTATTTTGGTAATCATTTTGCAATATATACATATATCAAATCATTATGTTGTACACTCTAAACTCATACAACATAATATGTCAATTATATCTCAATAAAACTGGAAAAAATATAAATAGTTAATAAAAAATTTTACTGTCCAAGTTTCAGTAGAAGATATGAAAATTAAAACAACATCAATATATAATTTATAGTTTCCCCAGCTCAGTCAATTTTTTGGAAAAAAAATTTAATGGCTTCATAGTATTTTATCAAATGAATAAATCTTAATTTGTTTAATCATCCTCTGACTGTTAAACATCTAAATAATTTATAATTTTATTATAACATAGTGATGATGTGATGAACATCTATATAAAAATCTTTGTCCAAATATATATTTCTTTAGGTTAGATTCTAGAAGAAGTGTTTTTGGGTCAAAGACAATAAAGAAATGAATATTTTAATGGCTTTTCATACACATTGACACATTACTTTCAAAACATCTACATCAATTTTTCACTCCTCCTATGTGACTACATCATTACAGCCTCACTAGTATGGGTTGCTATAAGTTTTAAAAAGTCTTTGCCAAGCCAGCCCTGATGGTCTAGTGGTTAAAGTTTGGGACTTTCAGCACTTGGGTGGCCCAGGTTTGTTTCCCGGTCATGGAACCACACCACTTGTCTGTCAGTAGCCATGTTGTGGCAGTGGCTCACATAGAAGAACTAGAATGACTTACAACTAGAGTATACAACCATGCACTGGGGCTTTGGAAAGGGGGAAAAAAAAAGGAAGATTCCCAACAGATAGTAGCTCACAGCGAACCTTTCCCAGCAAATCAAAAAACAAAAAATCTTTGCCAAGTTGACGAGTGAGAAATTGTACCTCACTGTTTTAATTTTCATATTTTTATTGAAACTTGAAGATTAAAACTTTGCAATTAACCATTTGTATTTCTTCTTTGATAAAATAATCTGTTTACATCTTTTGCCTGCTTTTATATTTGGGTATTAGATTTTCCTTGATTTGTAAGAAATCGTTATATTAAGGAATTAACATGTCATTTATTATAAATACTTTCCTCAGTTTGACTTTTGCTTTGAATTTTGATTTTCATGATTTTTTTAGTAGAGAGGGAATCATTATTAAGTAGGCTCTCTATTGAGACGTTGTTTTGAGTTCCTCCACTGCTTTTGTGCTTAGAATACTCAATCATTCCAAGATCATTTCAACCTCGCTGCACTTTCTTCTAGTTAAAAAAAATGCTGTTTTTACACTTAACTACTTAATTTATATAGAATTTTTAAAATTTGGATATAAGTTGATAATCTAAATTTTTTTCTCCCCAATAGTTCATTTTATCAACACTACTAAGTAATCCTTCCTTTCCTTTTGGATTGTCATGTAAACTTTAGCATGCACGAAATTTTTGTCCGTACTGAGGTCTGTTTCTGCGCCTTCTCTGTGGTTCTGTTGATTGTTGTTTGACTGTTAGGCTTAAGTACACTGCAGCATTACAACACATTTTACTAGCTGGTAGAGCAAGGCTCTCTCTATTATACTCTGCCAAACTCTTCCTACCTAGTCTCAACTTTTGGTTCTTCCAAATAAACTTCAGAGTTATTTTGTCAGTTTCTAAAATATATTGAGATTTTTATTAGAATTACATCAAATTTATACATTAATTTGAGAAAACCACCTTAATAAGATTTTTGTCTTTACACATAAGAAATTTAGTTACTGACCTGCTACTTTTCAAAAATAGGTTTCCTACTCATAGAGATCATAACAACTGATGGGAGGTAAACAGCCGTCTGCACAGGTCTCTGCTGTCTTGAGAAAGACAATCTGATAGGAGCTTTGATGTTAAAATCTCCTTACAATCCCAGATTTAAATTCCCCTACAATTCCAGAGTCACAGTTTACCATCTAGTGACACTACGTATATTCTTATATCAGAAGTGTTTTAGTAGCACTTCTTGTAGATTTGTACCCTCCAGAATAAACTCGGAAGAGAATGGAGAACATTTTCAGTGAAGGGCAAGGATGGGACTTCCACGGTGCTAAAGACGTCCCTCACCTGCCTGTCTCCTCTGGGATGCTCTATCTCACCTCCCAGGGAGAAATGCTAGCCCGACCTTCATGGAATTTCTACCTCTGGTGAGTTATCTGTTCACTACTTAGCACATAAGTTAACTACTGGATTGTACCTCAGCCTTCCCACCTGACCCATAGCTCTTTAAACAAAAGAACTGCGTTTAATTCACCTTCATATCCCTAGGACCTAGCACAGTTCAGGGCAAAGAGTAGGTGCTCAGAGTGTTTCTGAAGGAATACATTGAGGACAGAACAACATGAAGAGAAGCAGAAGTTGAAAAGTCTGTGTGGGAAGCTCAGAGGGCGACAGCAACTCACCAGGGGTACAGCCAGCGGTTGGAGGGGCCCACCCAATGTGTTATAGAGTGGTCCTAGACTCTCACAGAATAATTTTTTTCGTCTCACTTAATTTTAAATTACATAATTTTCAAGTTACAGAGAAATATAGAAGTTCATTGAGAGTCCAAAACTGATTGGTTCTCTTTGACTTTTCTCTGAATGCTTACTCAAGGTTTCTGTAAAAACAGAGCCATATGGACATCTTGTTCTTTAGAAACGAAAGATACGCCTTCTGATTTGCTATAGGTAGGGCATAGTATCTGAGGATTTATTTTCCTCCTAAATTAGAAAATCACTTGTGTGTCCACTCATCTTCTCTACGAACATACGTTCAAGGTGGTTGGATGAAATTAATTAGCTATGGAGCAAAATTTATCTTCGTTTACAAGTAATTAGATTGTAGATAAAATGTCTAACTTTGGTATTGGCTTCATATACACCACCTTTTAACCAAGTGAACTGATTTAAAGACAATAAAAGTTGATGAAGAATCAACTTCAAGGCTATGAAACTATATTGCATAACTGTTGACAAGTGAACAGCTCTTTGAAGATTTACAAACAGCATAAGCAATTGTTCATTTCGGGTACGCTACACATAATGTTGACTATAAAATGTACATGAATTTGAAGGCTACAGATTACAGCACTTTCAAATGAGATTCTAAAATAATTATACATATACTAGAACATTTTCTCAGTTACTGTTAAATCAATGATAGAAACAGACAGCCTGGATCTCTTACTTCTTTGAGGACCTCCTCTAAGATTTCAGCATGTTTTTCATACGGCTGCTGGAAGTTCATACCCTTTGCCGTTTTCACAGTCTCCTCTATCACGGCGAGAACTTCTGGATGCTCTGCAGTCACCTCTTCCTGTAAGTCTTCTACTGAGTCTAAAGGAAAAGAAGGTAATAAACCAATGCCATGAATAATTTCAGTGAGCAATTCTATTTGCAATAGAACATAATTGTTAATACCTGAGCCAAGAAAGTACTATCTTTGTGTTACTGCAGCACATGCTAGAGGAAGGGGGAAATAGACTGGGGAGGAGATGTTAAGTCAGGAATCACAAAATACCAGAGCATTGGCTTAAAGCCAGTGCATCAGAATGAAAGTGAACAAAGCAAGAAGAAAGTTATGTAGAGCAGGAAACCCGAAAGGGCTTTCCAAGAGCTGCTGCCTGTTGCTCTCCATACCGTGAAGTGAGAAGTCTGTTCTCAGGGATGGAGAGAGCCAGCAGTTCCTGGAGAGCCAGAGTGGAAGAGGCAAGAACCCACCATATTCCTGCAGTCTTGGGAAGGGTGCATGGTGAGGCAGAAATAGCCAGGCAAGGCCACTAAATGTGCTAGAAGCTGCTAGTTGTCCACCCAGTATCCATTCTCCTCTTCCTTAGTAACTGAACCCTGATTTTCTTGGGGTCAGAAATGTGCCCAGCTAGAAACACTGCATCTCCCAACTTCCCGTATAGCTTGGATGGCCAATAGATAAGATGCAGGCAGAACTGTTTTGGTGAGTCTTCTTGTCATTTCTTTAAAGACGGATAACTCAGCTAGATGGGGTGGCAGTTTTTGTCCTTTGCCTTTTCTTTCTTCCTGCTAGGCACACTGATATAATGGCTGGAGCACCAGCAGCTATCTTGTGAATTGCTATGGTAGCCACCTGCCAGGGATGGCAGAACAGAAAGACAGACCTCCTGTCTTCCCAATGTTCTTTTTCACCAAAATAATATATCATGTTATTTTTTCTGTGTTCCTGCATGTCCAACTGTTCACAATAGAGTAGCCTTTAAGATACAGTAAGTTGGGTATTAATAATGTTTTTTTTAAAAAAAAAAAATCACATGTTTCTCCTTCAAAATTCTAAAGGGATTATTTGTTATTTTTAGATCCACCATCCAAGAAAACCAAATAACCCAAACATTAATTCACCTGGTTTTGGATCCAACTTTAGATCTTGACTAGAGTCTTGAGGACTTCTTTTAAATATAGACACTTCACGGACTTCTTTTTCATCAGTAAATAAAACGTCGTTATCATCTAAAGAACAGTAATAGATTGTAGATGATTCCCAAAAAAGATTGTGCTATGGGTCCCAGGGAGCCAGGACTCATGTTCCCAATTTTTTAAAAATTAAAATAACAACCATAATAATCAAACAGGTAAACATATCTATCAGCAGTAGAAAAAAGATCATGACTTAATCTGTAACAAAACCAAGATCAATTCTTTTATACAATGCCAGTAAATGTAAATTGAAAAAACAGATCAAATTTTCCCTTCCTGACTTAACTGACAGCCTCCTGGCTCCAAGAGATAGAGGCTGTGCTTATCTGAGACACGGGGGGCAAGGAGGGTGCTTTCCCCAGGGCAGGCTGGCGGTGTTGGCATCCTCCAGCAGTGCGTAGAGCACTGATGCCTTCTTTACCTCAGACTGCCTCCCCCAAAGAGGAGAGAGGAGGAAGACCATAGGTAAGTTTCTGACAGTGCCCAGTTCAATTCCTACTAGGCTTGAAATAAACACTAGGCCAGCACATCTGTCTGGATCAGGAGGAGGAACCGACCAAAAAAAAATCAGCTCTACATTATACAACACAGTAAAGTATAGATGATTTTAAAAACTAAATACAAAAAAGTCAGACCAATAAAAGAAAAAGAATATAAGTATATATTAAATCTCTGGCTGAGAGGAAGACTTTTTAAGCCTGAAAGTAAATGGAGGAAATCAACAAAGGGAAAATAATGATTTGACTATGAAAATATTAAAAATCCCTCTGCTTCAAAAACAGCAAGGTGTTTTAAAAGGCAAACCACCCAATTTGGAAAAAAATGTGGAAAACAAGTGACTAACATAGAAAGTTTATATAGAAACCATACAACTGATACAATGATTTAGAAAAATGGGCAACAGACAAAAACGGTCACCTCAGAAAAGAAGAAATATGAGTGACTAACTAATATGAAAATATGAAACTTCAGAAATAGTCAAATTAAAATTAAAATAATATTTCAAAAGAGAAAACACCGAGGAAATGATGACATATATTTTGTATATTACTGAGCAGAATATACTTTGGAACAACTATTATGCAAAGTCATTTGATTCTGTCTATAGCTTCCTACTCATTAAACTGTTGACACCACTGATGTCAACATGTGGACAAAACTTCATGTAAAAAGTCCATTATTTGTAGTATAAAAACAGTAGCAAAAAAATAAAGTCTGAAAAATAACAAGTTTCCAACAGAAAGAACGAGTTAAAACTATTATCTAAAAATAGGGAAATTGTACAGTAATTTAAAATGAGTGTTAGAATATTTCCTAATGAAACAATATAATCAAGTGGTACATTATAAATCAAAAAAGGTAAAAATAATTTACCTTGGAAGCTCTCAATTATGTTAAAATATGAATGGAAAATTTTTATAAGGGTAAATAACAATAAATGATAACATTTCATAGCTAAAACTCTAGGTTTATCATGCTCTGATTCCAACACATTAAAGGAAATAGAGAGCTTTTAAGAAAGAATTTATTATTGTATGATAATGATTGTATCATGTTTGGAAACATTCAAAAAATTGGGGGGTTTTCTAACCATATTAGGCTCCTGGTTTCTACATTTTCTTCTTCATTCTAGTAAACCTATCTCTGTTCTACAGCTGTTCAGTTTAAATCTGTAAGAGAAAAGCTAACTTTTTTCTCCTGAAGTTTCTAATTTTTGGAGTAATTTTAAGCTTCAATACAAACATGATAAAATATCAAATAAATGGAAATAAGATTCATAAGCATGGCATTAGCAGTTCATTTTGTTACCATCTTTATCAATTCTGGCAGCTTGATCATCAAGGACATTTTCTGATGTCGTTTTGGTTTCTTCATTGTCCTCTGAAAAGCCTTCTACTTGGGATTCATGAGCGAACGCTGAGGCAAAGAAATAATTTGCGTTATCAGCTAATCTGTTGATGTTAGGAAAGACTTGGCTAATAACATCAGCAATATATTTCTTTACCATCTTCACCAAGTGAAGAGCGGAAGTCTTCTAAGCTTTTATACTCATCAGTTGGGAACTTGTCATATTCCCGTCTTTCAAATTCTTTTTCAATTTCTCTCAAAGCTGACTGGGCTGAAAGACAGTAATTGGCTGTTAGCAAAAGGTAGTTGTGGATAGCGAGACAGGTCTAGTGATTAAATCCTCTGCTTTAAAGTCAGAGAGACTTGGGTGTGAGTTCTGACTCAGCGTGGCTGTGGAAAACACTAATCACCCTGTCTGGATTTCTACTGGGCGTAATGGGGATCATCAAACCAAGAGCACTGTCACAAGGATTAAATGCGACAATGTATGGAAACACTTAACTTAGAAAATGCTCGGCTCACAGGAAGCCTATTTCACGTTAGCTGCCATCTTCCGTATTATTATATATTTTTCTATATTAAAAACCTCCATACTCTTGGGCCATCCTGGTGGCGCAGCGGTTAAGTTCGCTCGTTCCGCTTCGGTGGCCCAGGGTTCGCCGGTTCCGATCCCAGAGGTGGACGTGGCACCGCTTGGTAAGCCATGCTGTGGCAGGCGTCCACATATAAAGTAGAGGGAGATGGGCACGGATGTTAGCTCAGGATCAGTCTTCCTCAGCAAAAAGAGGAGGATGGGCAGCGGATGTTAGCTCAGGGCTAATCTTCCTCAAAAAAAAAAAAAAAAGAAAAGAAAAGAAAAGAAAAAACCTCCATGTTCTCTACCAACAAATTTACCTTGAAAAAATATTGGAATAAAATTCACTACCCAAAGAATTTCAATGTTTTAAATTTTGAGAAGGGTTAGCTGCATTAGTGAATTTGATAAAGAAAAGAAAAAGCTTTTAAGTTTGCAGCGTATGAGGGAGAGCATCTATTTCTATATTCTGGTGGGAGAAGGCGATTTGTGGACAGTTTTAAAATCTATGATTTCATGCCATAATTTGGTATGAAAGGCATCACTCTAGACTCCAGGAAACATTACAGATCATTGTTCTTCTTCCAGAAGCCCGGCTAGCTCCCTTTCTTGATCCAGGTTTCAGCTAAATATCCCCTCTTCAGAGAGGTCACCCTCACACTCCAGCACCCCGACCCCCATCACTGACAGCCCCATTACTGGGTTATATTTCTGTCTGCTCACTTGCTTTTTTTGCCTATCTCCCATCTGTTAAAATGTAACTACCACAAGGGCAGGAGCTTCATGCATCTTGTTTTCCTCTGGAGCCCAGGGCCTAGAATCATGTCTAATGCAAAGTAGATGCTCAAGGTTTTGCTGAATGAATTAATGAATTCATTTTGTTCAGCCTTAAATAGGTTGAGTAACAAGCCATCTTAGTAGTCTGGGTCAATATTTCTCAAACTTTAGTTTGTGAGTTGTTTATGAGTTTTTTTTTAATTTGGGATTTTTTTAAAGGCAATATACTAAAAATATAAATTCAATCTGGATCATCGTTGGATGGCATACAATTTCAATGCTGGTCTGTTTTTGGTTGTTTCTATAATCCGTTGGGCCCCACGTTGGACTCTGTTACGTGTTTATATGCTAATAAGAAAGAAGGGAGGCAGATTTATTAGGCAAATAATGTGTGCTTGCCTAGCAAAAGCTCAACATTGCCGTGTAGGAAGAGATAATTTCCTTGTTATTTAAATAGTTTCAAGCATAGAAAATGATGGGAAGCTTCCTAATTTACATAAAAACTTACATTATAGCAAAATCTGACAAATAGAGCACAAAAAAGAAAACTATAAACCACTTACACTTAAAAGTGTAGAAAAAATTCTAGATAACCACAAGAAAAAATATGTTATAAGAATAATACATCACGACCAAGTAAGGTTTATTTCACAACTACAAGAATGGTTTAAAGTTGGAAGTTATACCTTAGTATAATTGATCAAATCAGTAGGTCAAAGGATTAAAAACTTTATAATCATCTTGATAGATGCTGAGAAGGCATTTAATGGTGTTCAACATATATTCCAGATAAAAATACTGAGTAACCTTATGGAGAAACATTGGCAAGAATCCATTTAAAAAGGCCCACTACCATTGCCACTATTTAACATCATCCTAGAACTGCTACCCACATAATTAGTCAAGAAAGGAGATAAGCATATATAATGGGAAAAGAAGAATCGAAACTATACTTCTTTTCAAATGATATGATTGGCTATCTGCAAAACTTAAGGGATTCAACTAAAAATCTATCAGAACTGGAAAGCAAGTTTAATAAGGTGGACAGTTACAAAAAACAAAAACATAAAAATCACACACCTTTCCAATATACTGGTAATAACTACCTGGAAAATATAATAGAAAAATGATCCCAATCAATAGTAACAAAATGACAAAGTATCTACGAATAAAAGTACAGACAATGCATGAGGATAGTTATAAAATGTTAGGAAGGGTACAAATATTATACCAAAAGGTGGAGATTTTATCTGTCTGCATGAGAAAATTTAATAAAGTAAAGATGTGAATTCTCCTCAAGTTATTATATATATTTTTTATTGGCACCTGAGCTAATAACTGTTGCCAATATTTTTTTTTCTTCTTCTTCTCCCCAAAGCTCCCCAGTACATCATTGTATATTCTAGTTACATGTCCTTCTAGTTGTGGCATGTGGGACGCCGCCTCAGCATGGCCTGATGAGCGGTGCCATGTCTGTGCCTGGGGTCCGAACCAGCGAAACCCTGGGCCAGGGAGCAGAGTGCGCACACTTAACCACTCGGCCATGGGACCGGCCCTGCATCATGAAGCTTTAATAATCACTGTTTGTATTAAAGGCTATAAGAGAAAGATCAATAGAACAGAAAGTGCAGAAGTTTCCACACACACACATGCAAACTTAATATGAAGATAAAGAAGGCATTCCAAATCTCCAGTAAAATTACAGAAAATTTAGTAAATGTTATTTGTAAAATTGGCTCACCATTTGCGAAAAATAAATTTAGATCCCCGTCTAACACACAATTTATTACAAAAATAACATATTAATTAGAAAGAAGCATTATTTTAAGATGAGAGAATGCAATTTTTGCATGTACCGTAGGATCACAAGCATTACAAATATGAATAGGAAAAAGAGAGGGGTGGAGAATGCATCAAGTTCTTAACAGGGGACATCTCTGGGGACTAAGTATGAAGGCATTTTTTTCCATCTGCTTTTTCCAGTTTTCCGTGATCACTTGCGAGACAGATGATAACAGTACACACATTGATTTGAATCCCAATCACTTGCTGGCTGTCAACTATGGGCGAGTTTCATAACCCCTCTGAGCCTTAGTTTCGTCATCTACTAAAAGTGGAGATAAAAATACCTACTTCATAGGACTGTTATGAGGATTTAGCATAGCCTCAATATATAGTAAATGCCCAATGAATATTAATCTACTATTACTTTTGTAATGAGAAAACTTTATTAGGAAAAGACTATTTGGAATTGAGGCAGTGATGTCTATATTAGGGGACAGCATCACTGTGGCTTCTGAGAAATCCAAACCGCGGTGGCTGAATCTAGTCTAAAATAGTTGGAGCTAATCTCAAATTTTGGGTCTAGATCTTTAATGCAAGAAAGATCGCATGTAGTGTATGGGAAATGCTGCATTGAGGGCATTCCCGAAAGAGGAGATGTTTAGATTAAGCTGCTTTTACATGTTCTAATGTGACTGGTTACAAAAGTGCCAGCTATAGATATAAATTCTACCAAAACCAATCAATACATTTCAAAAGTAGTCATGAACTGAGAACTCTCATTTTTCCTGGAGAAACAGAGAAAACAACCCCAAAACCCTTGTGCTTATTCTAAAATAATGTGATAAGGAAGAGGCAGAATGGCCAGGGGAAAGAACACCAGGACTTTGGAAAGGAGGGTTCAAGCCTCAGCTACTAGCTGGGCGAGTTTCAGGAAATCATTTGACCCCCGTGTGCCTCAGTTTCCTCATTTGTAAAGTTAGAGAATTGTGTGAACTGATCACTAAAGCTTCTTCCAGTTCCACTGTTTTGTGACTTTTTGAGTTCACAATTAATATTTTCCCAATAGAAAAATTTAATTTACAGTTGGGGCTGACATCCAAGCCTAAAACAACAACAGGAACGATGGCAGCAACAGCCAATTGCACGAGAGTTAGGCAGAGTGGTGTTGTCGTAATTGGCGTAGATAAAGATATAATTCAGCTCAGTCTCCAGCCCGGAAGCAGACCTCTGAAAGTTAAGAAATCCAAATTTGGAAGTTCTTTCTGATGCCTTTCCTTAGAAGTCTAGAATTGAAATCTTTTTCTCTGTTTATGAATCAGGTTCACGTATATTCATTCCTTCAACCATTTATTAAGAGGCTACAATGTGTAAAGATGCCAGGGAAATCAAGACAAGCAAACTGAGTCCTTGCCCTCGGGGAGCGAGGCCTAAGTGTTGATTTAACCTTAAAACAGACATTAAAAAAAAGGTGGTTCACCTTGTCTTTTAGCTTGTAGTTCTGTGAGAAGCCGTTCTTTCACAGTTTTGATAGCTGCTTCAGTGATCTCAGCTATAGTATTTCTCACTAACGTTTCAAGGGCTTTATCAAAACGTGGTTGAACAATCTTGGCGTAGTCAACTACCTGCAAAGAATATTTGAGAAAAACCAACATAACTACAAGTTACTGCAAATATGAAACACATTGTTCATCTCTCTCTATTTATATCAATTTCTATACTTATCTATCTCAAAAACATTAATGCTGTTTGACGTATGTTATGTTCAGAATTCATTGATTTTTGAGTACTTGCTTTCATAGAAACTCAGTCATATTTTTCATGTACGATTATTTATATATGTATCTATCCTGTAATATATAGATTCAAGTTGCACATATATATATTTTTTAAAGATTTTATTTTTTTCCTTTTTCTCCACAAAGCCCCCCAATACATAGTTGTATGTTCTTCGTTGTGGGTCCTTCTAGTTGTGGCATGTGGGATGCTGCCTCAGCGTGGTTTGATGAGCAGTGCCATGTCCGCGCCCAGGATTCGAACCAATGAAACACTGGGCCGCCTGCAGCGGAGCGTGCGAACTTAACCACTTGGCCATGGCGCCAGCCCTGCACATATATTTTAAAAATCAACTTTGTATGTATAATTTACATACAATAAAGGCATCCATTTTAAGTACACAGTGTGAAGATTTTTTGCAAATACATACATATGACAACAACCACAATCAAGATGTAGAACATTTATGTCACCCCAAAAGTTCCCTCATACTCCTTTATAATCAATTCCTGCCCTTGGCAATCACTTTCTGGCACTATAGCTCAGTTTTGCCTTTCTTAGAATTTCATATAAATGGAACCATACAGTATGTAACCTTTTCCAAACTTTTTCCCCTTAGCATGTTTTGAGATTCATCAGTGTAATTATATATATCAGTAATTTGTTCATTTTTATTGTTGAGTAGTATTCCATTGTAGAAATATACCACAGTTTTTTACTCATTCATCTATTGATAAACATTGAGCTGTTTCCAGTTTTCGGCTATTATACATAAAGCAGCAGTGGACATTTGTAAGGAATTCTTTTCATGGACATATGTCTTCATTTCTCTTGGATAAATACTTAGGAAGGGAATTACTGGTTCATATGGTAAGTGTATATTTGACTTTATAATAAATCATCAAACTGTTTCCAAAGTGGTTGAACTATTTTACATTCCTACCAGCAATCTATGAAAATTGCAGTTACTCCACATCCTCACCAACAATTGGTTTTGTGAATCTTCTAAATTTTAGCCATTCTAGTGGACATGCAAAATTATCTAATTGTAGCTGAGATTTACATTTCCCTAATCACTAATAATTTTGAGCTTCTTTTTATGTGCTTATTGGTCATTCACTTACCTCCTGTTTTTAAGCGTATGTTCAACTTTTGCCTATTTAAAAAATTGGATTAAAATTCTATATACATTCTGAATATAAGGTCTTTGTCAGGTAGATAATATACTGCATACTGAATTCTTGGATGTTAGAAATAGATTTCTATTTGCCTTTTAAGTTTAAATAATATTTCCATATCTCCAGACTCATTTTGATTTTCCTTCAGTATGCTTATATTACTTTATTCCATGCCAATAAATATATATCTACACCATCATTTTTTAGTGGATGCACAGAATTGTAGTTGAATGTATGATAACGTATTTAACGAAAATACCAATAATATATATTTAGGTATACATGTTTTTGTATTACAAATAGGCTATAATGAATACATATGATGAATACAGTTATGTATACATCTTTGATAGTTTCTTTAGGAAAAAAATCCATAAAATAGAATTGACACTTCAAATGATATGCATGGATTTTATACATATTTCCAATTGCCATCCCTAATGGCTATATTCTTACAAGTAGTGTATGAGAATGCACTTTTCTCTATCCTAGCCACACATCAATATTGTGTGTTAATAGTGATCTTTAACTCTGACAGTGAGATTGGCATGACATATCTCGGTTTTTTGGGCATATTCCTTTTCTCATGTTTAATGGCTATTTGTATCTATTATTTTGTGAAGTGCCTGTTTGCTATTTTTTTCCATTGGGGCTTCATCTACATATCGATCTGTAAGAACTCTTTATATGTTTAAAATTAGAATTTCTCTGTCTGACAAATACTGTGATGGTTTTAAAACATGTCCCCAAATCCTTTAATACTCCTTCTTTCAGAAGGTGGCGCCTAAATCCCCTTCTATTTAGTGTAGGCAGGACTTAGTGATTTGTTTTAAATGAACAATATGGTGAATTTTTCATTAAAAAAATGAAATGACAAATCATAGAGTGGTAGAAAAATATTCATAATGCTTATAATAAAAAATTGTATATGGATAATATAAGGAACTTGTACCAATAATATGCAAAGAAATTAAAAAATGGACAAGAGACTTGAACAAACACTTCAAAAACAGACTATCTGAATGGCCAGGAAGCATATGAAAAAATGTAACCTCATCAGCCATTGGGGAAAAGCAAATTAAAAAAACAGTGAGATACACCCAACAGGACAGCTAAAATTGGAAAGACTGACCATAATAAAAGTTGGCAGGAATATGGAAAAACAGAACTCTCACAAACTGCTGATAGGATTGTAAATTGGTAGAATTAGTTTGGAAAACAGTTTGGCATTATTTACGTAAGTTGAATGTATGCATACCCTATGTCCCAGAAATTTTACTCCTAAAGGTACCTCCAAGATATATAAAGATATGCATGTGTGCACCAGGAGACATGCACAAGAATATTTACAGCAATATTATTCATAATTACCCCAAACCAGAACAACCCAAGGTTTATTAACCCTCAAATGGATAAATAAATTATAATATAATTCAATCACTAGAATATAATAAAACAATAAAAATGAATAAACTATAGCTATAGGCAATAGCATGGATAAATATCACAATCATAATGTTAAGTTGAAAGAAGCAAGGCACAAAGGACATAAATTGTTTAAGTCCATAAAAAAAAACCATGCAAAACTAACCTATAGTACTTGGATGTACACTTACATGGTAAAACCATAAAAGAAAAGTACAGAAGTGAAGACCACAAAGTCCAGGGCAGTGGTTCCTTCGTGGAAGGAGTAAGAAGACTGGTATTGGGAAGAGGCATGAGGGGGCTTCTGGGGTGCTGGCAACATTCCATATTTGACCTGGGTCGTGGTTATATGGGGGTTTGTTTTCTCCTGATTCAGCGAGTTTCACTTTTCTATATGTTAGTCATATTTTTCAAGAAAAAGTTAAAAGCAAAGAGAAAATGTGACCCCTGTGATTAAAAGAATTCAACAGCACTTGGAATAAATTCACACTCCTCCCCAGGACCTGCATTGCTCTGACTACATCCTCAACCATCTTCATCTTGAGCCATTTCTCCTTTCACACCATACGCTCCAGCCACGCTGGCCTTCATGCAATTCCTCTACATTCCAATCCCTCATCCCATCCTTTGGCTCTGTCTTCAAACTATATCCCAAATCTGTCTGCTTCTTACCACCTCTACTGCTATCACTCTGCTCCAAGGTAAAAATAATTTCTCTTCACTTACTGAGGGTGGGGAACAGGCTCACTGTGGGGAGAGGGCAAGGAATTGACAGGCTAGGGTGTTGGGATGGTCATCTTTGCAGATACCGAAATCACCAAGAATTATGACGGGAGTGAGTATGTGGAGAGAAGGACAGTGGGCCAGGAGGGATGCAGCCCAGGGAACAGGAGATGAGTGGAAGCAAGAAAGGCAGTAGGTGGCATGGTCTGCATGAAAGGGTCTGCCGTCAAATCTGGAGGCTTTGGGGAAGCAGGGAGAGGCTATGGTGTGGAAGCTGCAGTAAACAGCAAGGAGGATGCCTTCTCCCACTGGACCAATTACCCAATGGACAGTGTGAAATTAAGAAAACCGAGTACAAATCCTGCAAATCCTAAAATCCTACAAATTATAATCAAATATAGATAGGTAGAAAGATAGCTAGCTAGCTAGATAAATAATTACCTTTCCTTTGTAACTTTCTGCCAGCAAATTGCTAAGTGTTGTTTTCCCTGAAGATGGCGGACCAAAGATGGAGACTTTAAATGGTGGTGCTGGCATAGGTGGAAGGAGATAGGGACGCGGGTTCAACAAAAATGTTTTTAATGCTTCTTCTGATGAAAGACAATATATTTTACCTAGAAAACTTAAAATACGCCATAATCATAAACAACTGAAAAGAGGCATGGGCAGGTTTGAAAGTTAAGTTCTGAAAATCTTACCTACCTCACAGAACAATCTGCCAATCCTAGAGCAATGTTACCTTCTTTTAACATCACGGGACATGTCTGTCCCCACCTGCTCCTCTGCCATCTATATCTTGGTGCAACAAGTTTATAAGATGCAAGAGTACGGAGCAATTCATCCTGTAAATAATAAAGGCTACATTAAAAATGTGGGCATAAATTTTGCTGAAATTAACAGTATCAAGTATTTCATATCTTATTTAGTAGTGCTTTACCATTTAAGAAATTATTTAGAAAGTAAATTTTGGCTTTTTCTTAATTGCAACCATTCTGCACTTGTCCAAAACTTAATAAGGCAAATAAATTTCATTTCTGTTATAAGACTATATTTATATTGTACTGGGCATTTTCTATTAGAAGGTAGAATGAGCATAAGGTAAATAGAGTGTTTTTTCTTTTTAAAGGATTGGACAAGATGCTCTCTTTTCTTTCTTTCCTTTTTTTTTTTTTAAGGGATTGGACAAGATACTTTCTTTTTATTTTTCTTCCTTTTTTTTTGGTGAGGGAGATTGGCCCTGAGAAACATCTGTTGTCAATCTTCCTCTTTTTTTTCCCTCCCCAAAGCCCCAGTACATAGTTGTATATCCTAGTTGTAAGTCTTTCTAGTTCTTCTGTGTGGGATGCCTCCACAGCATGGTTTAATGAGCGATGTATAGGTCTGTGCCCAGGATCCAAACCGGTGAACTCTGGGCTGCTGAAGCAGAGTGCAGGAACTTAACTACTCAGCCATGGGCTGAGCCCCAAGTGTCTTCTATTACCTGTTTCAGAAAACAATGTCATTTTTAAGACATTGGTCTTAAAAGGATCTTTTCGAATGTCACGTCTGCTCGGACAAGGGAAACAAAAGAAAAAATAAACAAGTGGGACTTCATCAGACTAAAGAGCTTCTGCAAGGCAAAGGAAACCAGGGTCAAAACAAAAAGACAACCCACCAATTGGGAGAAAATATTTGCAAATCATATAGCTGACAAGCGGTTAATCTCCATAATATATAAGGAAATCACACAACTGAACAACAAAAAACAAACAACTCGATGAAAAAATGGGCAGAGAACATGAACAGACATTTCTCCAAAGAAGAGATACAGATGGCCAATAGGCACATGAAAAGATCTTCAACATCACTAATTATCAGGGAAATGCAAGTCAAAACTACAGTGGGATATCACCTTATACCTGTCAGAATGGCTATAATCACCAAGACAAAAAATGACAAATGTTGGAGAGGTTGTAGAGAAAAGAGAGCCTCCATACACTGCTGGTGGGAATGCAAACTGGTGCAGCCACTATGGAAAACGGTATGGAGATTTCTCAAAAAATAGAAATACCATATGATCTAGCTATCCCACTACTGGATATTTATCCAAAGAACTCAAAATCAACAATACAAAGAGACTTATGTACCCCTATGTTCACCACAGCACTATTCACAATAGCCAAGAGGTGGAAGCAACCCAAGTGCCCATCGACTGATGATTGGATAAAGAAGATATGGTATATATACACAATGGAATACTACTCAGCCAAAAAAAATGACAAAATCGTCCCATTCACAACAACATGAATGGACCTTGAGGGTACTATGTTAAGTGAAATAAGCCAGACAGAGAAAGACAAACACCGTATGATTTCACTTATATATGGAAGATAAACACACAGACAAAGAAAACAGCTGAGTGGTTACCAGGGAGGTGAGCACAAAGGGTGAAGGGGTGCACTTATATGGTGACTGACAAATAATAACGTACAACTGAAATTTAACAATGTTGTAAATTATTATGATCTCAATTAAAAAAAAAAGGTATCCTGCAACTTGTTTTAAACCTTGAAAGGATATAGATTAAGGTTACAACATAAAGCGAAAGGTAGACTTTCAAACGGTTAAAAATAACTTACATTTTCCATTACATCATTTTCTTCCTCTGAACTCTGAAGTTTAGTTAAAACAGCTGCTCTTCTTAGGTTCAGATATTTAAGTCGATCCATAACTGCCTAAATTTAAAGAACAAGTCTTTAAATACATTGGCATTTAAATACCTCAAATATTCTGAAAGTGATGAGTTCATGAGTAGAATACTTCCTTGCCTCTTCCTAGCTTCTGGTGGTTTGCTGGCAAACTGTGCCGTTCCTTGGCTTGTAGATGCTTCACTCCAATCTCTGCCTTTGTTGTCACATGGCCATCTTCTCCCTGTATGTCTAAGTCTCTTCTCTCATAAGGATACCAGCCATATTGGATAGGACCCACCCTAATTCAGTACGACTTCATCTTAACTTGAATATATTTGAAAAGATCCTATGTCCCACTAAGGTCACATTGATAGGTATTGGAGGTTAGGACCTCAACATATTTTTGGGGGGGACACAATTCAACCCATAATACTCTGCCCTCTGGTCCCCAAATATTCATGTCCTTAGAGGTCTAGCTCTATGGGACCTCCTCAGGCAGAGGGAAGACAGCCATGTGAAGATGAAGGCAGATATTGGAATTTTGCTGCTACAAGCTGAGGGACGCCTGGGGCTACCAGAAGTTGGAAAAGACAAGAATGGATCCTCCCCTGGAGGCTTTGGAGAGAGCATGTCCCTGTCAACACCTTGATTTTGGACTTCTAGCCTCTAGAACTATAAAAGAACAAATTTCTATCATTTTAAACCACCTAATTTGTGGTAATTTGTTATGGCAGCACTAAGAACCTAATACAGAGTCTATACAGAAGAACATGAAACATAGAATCCGAGATGAAAGATGATGAGCTAGACAAGGTTCTGGTGGTATATGATAGTCCATGGTAAATTACATTATATGTTCACAATTCATCCTTCCCTCTCTTCCCTCGTTAATTCCCTAGTTCATGTTGGGTGGAGTACACTTCCCTGTCCTATTGATACTGAGCTTCTTCATATAACCTGTTTTGGCCAGTGGAATACGGGCAGAAGTGCGAGGGTGTCAATGGCAACTGAGGCCTTAACAGGCTTGGCAAGTTTCAGCCAGGCCTATTGGAGCTTCTGCCCTGTATCTTGAGGAAAGTGTGCCCTATGTCATAAAAACTGGTCAAATTCTGGATATATTTTGAAGGAGAAGCCTGCTGCGCATGCTGAAGGATTGGATGTGGGAGGTAAGAAAAAGAAAAGAGCAGCTTGAAGCTTGGATCTGACATGTACTGAGAGGAGAAAACTGTGGGAGGAGTGGATTTGGGGTGGGGGAATGGTGATGGTGGATCAGGAGTCTTATCTTGCACACACAGTTGAAATGATTATCAGACATCCAATTGGATATATTGAGTAGCAGTTGATTATACAAGTGTGGAATTCAGGGGAAAGGTCTAGGATAGTAATAGGAATTTAAGAGTTGCCAATGTTTTGAAGGTATTTTAAGCCATTGGACTAGATGAAGTCTTTCAAGCAGTGAGGGTAGACAGAGAAGAGAGCACAAGGAGTGAGCGTGAGGGTCCTCCGACTCTAGAGGTTAGAGACGTAGAGTGTCCGGTGAGGTAGAATGGACTCTACTGGTGTGGGGTCCCAGAAGCCAAAGGAAGAAAGGAACAGGAAGGAAGAAGTGATGAGCTGCGTCAAATGTTGCTTCTGGGTGAATTAGACGGAAACTGAAAAATGACCACTGGTTTTGGTCTGGAGGAGATCACCGAAGATCTTGGCAAGACCATATTCCAAGTGAGAAGCTTCTCCCTAATTTGGCTTTACCACCAGCATTATTATTACGTTGCTACCAAATATACCGAACCAGAAATCTGGGTATTGTCTCTCTCCCTTAGCTGCTACATTAAGTCACTCGCCAAGCTCTGTCATGCAGACTTCTTAAATAACTTCAGGTCTGTCTTCTTCAGTCCATTCCCACAATCACTACCCTACCCTACGTCAGGCCATCATTTCTGATCTGATCTATTGCAAAAGTCAGAACTAGTCTTCCTGCCACTAATTTGATTCTTCTCCAGTTTTTTCCTTGCCCTGCGGTCTGAACGATCTTAAATAGAAACAGCACCATTTTCATTCTCTAGCTTAAAACCTTTCACTGTCTGCCCACTCCCTCATGATGAGATCTAAACTCTTTAACATCTTTCTTGAAAAATCTCTGCTTATTCCTAAAGTCTTGGCACTATTCCACAACCCGCCACCCCTGCAACCATCCCCCTAAAAAAACCCTCTATGTTTCAATCCTACGTTCAGTTCCTAGAACTCACTATGCCCTTCTTGCCTCTGGGGCTTCACACAGACTCTTCCCTGTGCATGGAACACTGTTCCACCTCCCCCCCGCTCCTAGCCTTTGAGGTCTAATTCTTACTAATCCTTAGGGTTTCAGTTTAAAAATAATTTCAAACAGATAGCTTTCCTCACCAGACTAGGTTCTGCTTCTGCCGTGAGCTCCTATAGTAACTTGTACTTCCCTGACTCTAATACTAACTGCCCTTTAAACATTTACTTTCCCCAATATATTGGGTACGACATGAGGAGAGGAACTCATGGACTCATCTGCCTCCTCTCCATCTGTATGCCCTAGAGCTTATCATAATGCTGGACATCTATCAGGTGTCTAAGAAAAAGGTAATGTATTTTCGTATTGCACTGTATATTTTTATATTTTATAAATTGAGTACTACAAATCACTTTGTATCATTTTTGTAATTTGTATTTTCTGATTATTTTAAAACAATGAGTGTGTATAACTTTTAAAATCAGAATGAAGACATTTTCAAAATGAAAACACAACCGAGCTCTTAGATACAGAGAACAAATTGGTAGGTGCCAGAGGCAGGGGGTGGGGGCTGGGTAAAATGGGTGAAGTGGGTCAAAAGGTATAAACTTTCAGCTATAAAATAAATAAGTCGTGGGGATGCAACATACAGCATGGCGACCATAGTTAATAATAGTGTATTGCATATTTCAAAGGTGCTAAGAGAGTAAATCTTAAAAGTTCTCATCACAAGAAAAAACATTCTGTAACTATGTATGGTGACAGATATTAACTAGACTTATTGTGGTGATAATTTTGCAATATATACAAATACCAAATCATTATGTTGTATATATGAAACTAATATAATGTTGTATGTCAATTATACTTCAATAATAATTTGATTATAGATATTTAAAAAAATATTTATTGGACATCTTTTTCTAAATTACCTGCTCATGCTCTTTGCCTTTTTTTTTTCTATTGAGGCATTTGCCTTTTTTCTATTGAAATATCAGAAGTTTTTTCCTAATTAAATAATAAAAGATATTCAACAGTTGTTTATCACAAGTATGGAAAATATTTCCCCTCATTGTCTTTGTTTTTTTAATAGTGAAAATAATACTGTATTTTCAAACATGCATATATTCTTTTTTAAGGATACAGCTTTATTGAGATATAGTTCACCCACTTAGAGTGTACAATTCAATGGCTTTTAGTATGTTCAGAGTTGTGCAACCATCACCACAATTCATTTTAGAACATTTCCATCATCCCCAAAAGAAACCCTGGACCCATTAGCAGTCACCCCACGTTTATCCCAAGATCTCCCGTAGTGGTACCCCCATTTCAACCCAGGCAACAACTAAGCAAACTCGCTGTCTTTATAGATTTGCCTATTTTGGACATTTCACATGAATGGAATCATTTGATATGTGATCTTTTGTAACTTTTCTTTCACTTAGTATGTGTTCAAGATGCAGCCATACTGTGACATGTATCAATACTTCATTCCATTTTATGGCTGAATAATATTCCGTTGTATGGATACGTCACATTTTATTTATCCATTCATCAGTATATGGACATTTGCCTTGTTTCCACCTTTTGGCTATTGTGAAAGGTGCTCCTATGAACATTTTCATTTGAACACCTGTTTTCAATTCTTTTGGGTGTATACCTAGGAGTTGAATTGCTGAGTACTTGTGAACTCCATGTTTAACCTATTGAGGAAATACCAAACTGTTTTCCGAAGAGGCCACACCATTCTACATTCCCACCAGCAACGTATGAGGGTTCCAATTCTTCCACATCCTCAACACTTGTTATTGTCTGTATCTTTTTTTAATTTTAGCCATCTTAACGGGTGTGAAGTGGTATCTCATTACAGTTTTAGTTTGCATTTCCCTAATGGCTCATGTTAAACATCTTATGTGCTTATGGACTGTTATTTGCTTTTGCTTTTCTTTGAGGCATTTTTTTGTCATAGAGAGATTTTTAAATTCAAATGTAGTTTTGATTTAACTATGGACTGATGAATAAACACAACATCAAATTTTTAAGTGTTAAAATGAAGTTTTCAAAAATAAATGGTGTGAAAAATGTAAAATATATTTCTGGTGTTTACTAAAATAAGTACAATCTAGTCAATAATTTTTTGATTTTCCAAATTGTGGAATATTCTTAGTGAACACTGGTTGCACTTACCATGAAGAGCTCCTCTGGGGGCTTATTTCCATCCAGCTCAATGAGATACTGGGAATCGTGTTCAGCCATTACTTCCTGTAGATAACAGAAAAAACCCTTATAATCTGGGATCATTGGCAAAACTGAATACAAGGTCAGAATCTTAATACACTATGAAGAAATCTTTAAAGGTAAATTGTTTGCTTTATACATGATGTAATGTATGTTATTTTCAGTGCTCAAGATCTTTTGCAAAAGCCTACACTAATCTTCTTACAACGAATTTTATTCTCTTTCTCTTTTTTTCAGTTTTTCTCCACACTGAAGTCTTAGAATCCTTCCCAGCAGAAAATGTTCTGGGGCATCTGTCTCTCTGCGTAGATTCATAAAATAATTTCTGCCAAACTGATAGTTGAAAGACGAGATGGGTCTGTTTTACTTTTTGCTCCTCTGGCTATGGGTGATCTTCAGCATTCAGATATCCATAACCTCCGTGCATTTTTCTGTTAGATTGCTTCTTTTCCCTAACATTCATGGAAAGTCTTGAATTCTTATCTGTCACACGGATTGCAAATATTTTACCTTGCTATGATTTATCTTTTGACTTTGTTTATGGTATCTTCTGAAATATAAAATATTTTCATAGTGAAATATAACTGTTTTCATTGTTTCTAAATTTTCTTTTTTGCTTAAATTAGGTTTTCTCTGTCTCAAGATCATGTTAACATTCTTCTAAATTTTCTTCTATGATCTTTTTTGGTTTTTACTACTAAAATCTAAGATCCACCAGATTTTATTTTTGTACATTGGCAATGTTGAACTCTATCTGAGCCCTGTGTTTCCAGAAAGTAGGGATTGTCAAGAGATAAGACCCACCTCAATCCTTCTTCAAGGACTCAGACAAGATCCGTCTCCATCCTTCTTCACGATTCCCTTAAGACTTGGGATGGCTCCTTTGTTTACCTGCCTCCATATCACCCCAGGCTCCTTTCCTTTTCATTGAGAAGGTCTCATTAATGAATGTTCTCCCTATTGCAATAGTCTGAACAAAATCATCTCCTTAATGTTCGGTGCATTTACCTTTCACAATATTGTGTGAGGTTGGATCCTAAGTGCTTCTTGTCTTCTAGATGGATAGCACATTATGACAGCATTATTTATTGAACCATAAATTACCATGTTCTGAACAAGGAAGTACAGAATGCTTTCCTTAAGCTAGATTCTTAAGTGTGGCCTTACTAAGTCAAAGGGTATGAACACTCCTAAAGCTAAAGATACATGCAACAAGTCAGACCAGAAGACGTGGGAGACGAAGACAGGTGAGAATGAAGACTCAGCCTTGGACTACCCCTGAGGCAGGATGTAAACCACAAACTGAGGCAGGTTAGTTTGCTCCCACTTGCTCTCATGTCTTTCGGAGGCATACTGAATTTGGGTGGTCTTGGCCTCCCAAGTGAATTGACATCAGAGCCAGATCAGAGCACACTAGAACTGCAGGCTCCTCCCTTTTATGGCTCTCCCCTGCCTCCCTCTACACACACCAGTACCCCGGAATTACCATATAAGGCAATTGTTTTGCTGTTCAGCAAGTGTCACGTAGGCTTAACGTCTAGGTTCTTGGCTTTGAAACTCTTGCTTTGTTGGCACTGGGGCAATCCATTCTTATCTGTGCTCTGCTACAAGGCGTGGAAGTTTTCCACTTCGGGACTTTTTGTGGACAAGCTATTCAAAAACGACCACCCTAATTTATGTTCCTTTCAGCAGGGCGTGAGAGTGTTTGCTTTACTGTATACTAGCTGGCATTAGGAATTCTTGTTCCTTGTTCAATTTTAAAATTTGATCATGGAAATATTTCATTATTTAGATTAGCATTTCTTTATCATCAGTGAAGCTGAATATTTTTTCTACAGGCTTGTTACTCTTTTGTCTTTCATTTTTATGAATTGCCTGCTCATATTTGTTGCCCATTTGTCTTAGGAGGGTGAAAACTTACAGGTTTTAAAAAATCATTTCTATGACCTTTTAATATACTAAAGCTTTCAATCTTTTTTTTTTAACCACTAGGCCACTGAGGCTGGCTCTAAAAGTATCTTTATTCAAAGCTTTAAATGTTTTATCATATTTGATGTGGATATTTTTCCACTTTGTTGTCTTTTGATTTGAGTGAGGTGTGGTTTTCAAAAAATTTTGTTTCCCGAAGTTTTACATGTAATGAAATTGAAGCTATCATTCTTTTTCCTTTGTGATCTCATCAGTTGCTCAGCACTGTTAAGCTGCTGTTAACACTGTTAAGCACTGAACACCTGTTAACCATTTGCCACTTGCCAGACCATTGAAGCTAGGATGTAAGACCTGGTCTGTATCCTTGAAGAGACTGTCTCTGCTCTCCCCACCATGAATATAATTTTCTAATTTTCTGAATATGATTTTAATTACGCTTTGTTTCATATCTAGTGCCAGCCACTTAAGGAGTATGCAGAATATTTTCATTGAAGGAAGAAAGAAAGTTATAGAAAGACATGTAAATCATTCTTAAGAAGTTATGTTTAAAGGAGAGAGATACAAGAAGAGGGAGGAATAAAAGTTATACCTAAGAAAACAATGAAATTTGGTTCTCATTTTGGGGGGTGAACAATGAGAATGAAAATTATCTGCTCATTTGTCTTTAAAAATATATAAACATTAAGGGCTAGCCTGGTGGCATAGTGGTTAAGTTTGCCTGCTCTGCTTCAGCAGCCTGGGGTTCACAGGTTTGGATCCCAGGCATGGATCTGGCACTGCTCATCAAACCATGCTGTGGCAGTGTCCCACATATAAAATAGAGGAAGACTGCCAGATGTTAGCTCAGGGACAATCTTCCTCAAGCAAAAAAAGAGGAAGATTGGCAACAGATATTAACTCAGGGCCAGTCTTCCTCGCATACACACGCACACACTATATATATATATATATATATAAACAATATAAGACAGCATGAAACAAATTCTCTAGTTTCTCTATCAGATGGGAAGAGGCACTTGAGGACTGTTTTTCATTTGTCTTTGTAGTTCTATTGCTTAGCATCATGTCTGGCCAAATGCCCAAGTTTAATAAATGTTTGTTAAATAAATCTCCAATGCAAATTTGGCAGCCTGCCCAGGCTTTTGACCATATAAAATATGTTTTTCATATAATTATAATTTTAGTAATCATACTTTCAAACGCTATTATTTTAATTAAAACTTTTCTGTTATATAATGGCCGTATCATGTTTACATATAATCAACTTTGAATGGGATACCCATGGAAACCAACCTGGGGATAACTCTTCTTTAGATAGCAATTTAACTAGATTAACAATGATTCCTTCTAGAATAAAAGATGCACCTTAAGTGTACATTTGTTTTGATAAACCCACAAATTACAAATCAAAAACGCTTTTACAAAATAGTCTCTTAACATGAGTTTTCCAACCTCCTACCATAAATAAATTCCCCTAGTGAGTTTTGGGAAATGCAGTTCATTTATCACTTTTCCGTAACATTGCTGCTTCGCACGAGTAAAATAATGGTCTGTGAAACAGCCTTTGGGATGCAAGTTTTATTCTAGCATCCTTCTACTGAGCTCAAGAGGAGGAGAATCAGGCAGATAATATATAGGGATGAAGAAAGGGGAAAGCTATTTAACCAGTGATAAAACACAAACATCAATATTCCCATTTTCAGCAATAGATCTTGCTCTTACTTCCAAAGAACGAAGAATTATTTCCCTATAAAGTTTAACTGTGTGCCCAATATTTTCCAAATAATCCTCAGGCCTCTGAACTAGATGTTGAAGAATTTCAGCCACCACCTGCATTTCGGCAATAAATGCCTAAATGGAAAAGAAGAGATTTTAAATATATTGATGTTAATGAGTACTAATTTATAAGCCACATCCCTCCCTCCTCATACCTAGATGCCACTTTGGGGTGAGAAGCAGAAGGGAACATTAGAGACTGAGGATTTTTATTTAAGAGAGATTGAATCCCCTAAGGGGCCTTTATCAGATGGAATAAAGCTTTAAATTGATGTGGACGTTTAATTTCTTCTTGCCCCTCAATAAGTACGGAAGAGCAGGAGAAGAACGTCAGATTTTTAGAGACAAAACAAAGAAATTCGATTTTCTCTGAATACCTGAGCTTGTAGTTCATCCATTCCTCCCCTCAGTAAAGACTGATGAAGTGCCTACTATGTGCCAGGCACTGTTCCAGGAGCTTGAGATATGACAATGAATAAACCCAACTAAGACCTTGGGGCTCATGGAGCACACATCCAGTTGGGGAAGACAGAGCGTAAGCGGGTAGATAAATAAATATATAACATGTTGGGTGGTGGTAAGTACTAGGGGAAAAAGATAATTCAGGGTAGAGGGGATGGAGAGTGATGGGAGAAGGTGCTATTTTACATCAAGTTGTCATAAAAGGGCTCTCTGAAGAAGTGACATTTGAGTTGGACCCAGAGGAAATGAGGGAGAGAGCCACACAGACTCATGGAGAAAGGACATTTCAAGGCACAGGGAACAATATATGGAAAAGTTCTCAGCCCAAGTCCTGGTAAGTGCTCAATACCATATTTATTATTCTATTACTATCATCATATTTATTATCTAATTATTAATTCTAGTTTTTATCAATACATACACATCCATATTTTATACCATTCAAATCATATCTATTATATAAGCCATTTTATAACCTATTTGAAATGTTTTAAATATGATTTTAATGGTCAAGTAATATATTAATATCCTTAAACATGATTATTTAATCATTATTCTATAGTTGGACAGAAATGTTTCAAATTGTTCACAATTCTAAATAACGTTTCACCGAATAGCTTTGTAGATAAATCTTTATATTGCTAATATTTTCCCTTAGAATAGTTCTTAAAAGTAAAATGACTGGACCAAAGATTATACATTTCACGGTGGCTTAATACACATCATCTTTTCCAAAAGACGCTGTCATTCTCTCTCTAGCGGAGGGCTTTGTTAGCATCCTTGTGTGTTCAGTCAGTACACAACTTCTTATTAAGCACCTACTGTAAGCTGAGCACTGTTACAGGCTCAGGAGATATAGTCCCTGCTGCACAGAGCTTACATTCAGTGGGTAGACAGATTATAAACAAGTCAGCAAATAACATAATTTCAGAAAGTGATAAGAGCTGTGAGGAAAATGAAGCAGGGTATAGCATTAGATCCGTGCTGTCCAGCATGCTAGCTACCAGCCACACGTAACTATTGAGCACTTGAAATGTGACAAGTGGGGATTGGAAGGTGCTGTAAGTGTGAAATACCCACCAGATTTCCAAAACTTAGCATGAAAAAGGAATGCATCCTTCTTAGAATTTTTATGTTGATTACATGTTGAAACAATATTTTAGATCTATTGGCTTCAATAAAATATATTATTAAAATTACTTTTGCCGGTTTCTTTTTACTTTTTAAAAAAGTGGCTACTAGCACATTTAAAATCACCTATTGGGAGTATATTTCTGGGCTAGGGAGTTGCTTGCTGGTCTCTAGCAATGCAATCCCTGGGGTGAGACCTGGGTGGCGACAAGGAGCAGGCTTGTGAAGAAGATAGAAAAGAATGTGGTGGGCAGGGGGCAGAGGAAACAGTACGTGCAAAGGTTAGAGGTGAGGCTGAGTTCAGCCCAGCTGAAGACTACTTGGCAGGCCACGGTGGCTGGGACTCAGTGAGCAGGCAGGGAGAGAGGGCTGGGGATGATTTCAGAGTGGCTGGGCCCACGGCTTTGTAAACCATGTGAGGGGGCTTTGGGTTTTCATCTACAGTTAATAAAAAGTCACTGGGGTCATATTTTTTTAAAAAATGGCTCTTCTGTAAAAAATGGAGTGGGATGGAGTGGGAGTCAAGGAAAGTGGAAGCCAAGAGAACATTAACAAAGTTAGGACAGCAGTTCAGGAAGATTGTTTACACTTGTGTGTATATAAGGATGAACAATTTCACATGGTTATTGGCCATCAACCCAAGTAGGTGGCAGGCTTGCTTGTCTGACTTCTGAACATGGCTGTGCCACTAGGTAGAGATCATAGCAAATCGGGTCCCTGGGGCTGAATCTAGTCTGAAGATATAATGTGATTATTTCCCACAGCACTTGCCTACACTGTGTTTTAAAAATTTTGGATTGGTGGGCCGGCCCCGTGGCCGAGTGGTTAAGTTCGCGTGCTCCGCTGTAGGCGGCCCAGTGTTTCGTGAGTTCGAATCCTGGGCGTGGACATGGCACCGCTCATCGAGCCACGCTGAGGCAGCATCCCATACGCCACAACTAGAAGGACCCACAACTAAGAATATACAACTAGCTACTGGGGGGCTTTGGGGAGAAAAAGGAAAAAAATAAATAAATAAGTAAATAAATTTGGATTAGTTACCAACTACTCTCATTTTAAAATGCTGATTTTGGCTTCTCTGGAGAAACCAGACTACTTGGTAAAAATAGGTTAACATTCCCACATGGCAATAGTCATCTGGGCTGGAGCCAAGAGGCAGCCATCCTCTGAAGAAGGGTATGCACACGCACTCTAGCTGTCCAGTGGAACCTTCTGGGGAAATGTTCTGTACCTGTGCTGTTCAGCTCGGAAGACACAGCCATATTTGGTCTCTGAGCACTTGAAATGTGGCTAGTGCTATGAGGAACTGAATTTTAAATTTTATATCATTTTAATAAATTTAAATTTAAATAGCCACATGGGGCTAGCAGCTACCATATTGGACAGTGTAGTCCTGGCCTACTCTCTAGGCCTCACTCTTTCCAAGTATACCTGGCCGACATCACAGATTGTCCTGTAACTGAGTGAGTTGTGACTATCTCACCATCTTTGATTAAGATGGTGTGCTTTATTCATGCTAACAGGACACACTTTTATTCCTATTTGCTATGAGGTTTTCCTTTGTTTAACAAAAATCTGGAATAGATGCTGGCTATTATCTAACAGGTATTTGCACATTATTTTATGTCTTTAAAAGGGTTTTTAAAGACAAGTTTTTTAATTGAAATATAATTGACACATAACATTATACTAGTTTCAGGTGTACAACACAATGATTCAATATTCGTAAATATGCACAATAATCACAATGTCTAGTTAACATCCATCATCAAACATAGTTACAAAATTTTTTTTCTTGTGCTGAGAACTTTTAAGATCTGCTCTTAAATGAAAGAAGAAATGTGAAAGATTCATTTAACCCATTTAACTAGCAGATGACAAAGCTGAAGTACACACAACCACTGAAATAAGATTGCAAAGTTAGATGCAAGGCTGCTCAATATCCTACAGGGCAATAAAACTGTAATCTTTGGGGCTTGTCTTTTCTCCTGTACAAATCATTTGCAACGTATCCATCTATAAATTAACATCTAACTTCACAGAATCTAGGCCATAACAGAAATAGTATTTATTTATGATAAATTTATAATGAATTATAAATTGTAGAAATTATTAAAAATTATATAAAGTTATATATAAATTCATTTCTAACAGAAATCACAGGTCTATTTCAGTAGAGCAGGGATTGGCAAACTATGGCGCGCCCTGTTCCAGTGGGCCAAATTCAGGCCATCACCTGTTAATGGATTTGTTAATATCAAATTTTCTTCATTAAGTCATGGTAGAAGACTTCTTCCAATGCCCTATGGCATTGTGCTTACTTTGCATTGACCTTGGGATGGTTCTAACAACGTGTATA